AATATAATATTAGTATAGTAAATGCTACCTGGAAGTTTTTAAACCTCTGCATAAGCACAGAATTTATAATGTTTGGGGAATGATGGTTAAAAAAAATTGGCTAAAATTGGTCATAGAAACCCATAATGGAGAGTTTGTTTTAAAAGCAAATTCAAATTCTCAGGATTTGCTGGTAGCTGATAAATTCAGCCCAATTCTATCTAAGAGGGGGGGAAAACACTTTACTGTAAGATTGGTAGATTATCAGTATGAGCATCACCAATAAAAACAATTTCATAATGAAACCCAAAGGCGGTAGTTTAAGGCTAGCTGTTGCAAAGAGTTGCCAAAGCGGGCTACCATTTGCTACGCCCATTTAGAAAAGTCAAACATCTCACTTTAACGTTCCTCCTCAGATAATTTTAAACATCATTTCATTTGATCTGAAGATCTGGGGGAAAATAGCTGTTTTTACAGCACAACACAGTTGGCAATTGTTCACTTTCACAAAATGTGGGCTGGAACGTGCCTGACTAACGATTAATGATGCTCATTAAAAAAATGAAGTTCTGGTAAAATTCATTAATGTTTGGCTTGAGTCTTGCTAACAGTTACGCAACATTAGGAGCAAGGCAATTATAGATCTTGGCGGCAACTCGCTGGGAGATAAAAGAAGGAAATAATACTTTCTTCTTAGTAACTCACCCACAAGACCTAAGAGGCATCTTTGATAGCAACTGGAAAGAGCAGGTGGAGAGAAGCACATACAATTTATCTCTCCCAACTTCTTTCTACCTGGTATCCTCAAAAGATTTTCGGATTGCAAAACTCCTGGAGCACCTCAAGCAAAGAAACGAAACTCCTTATCCATGAGGGATTTCTAGAGGAGCTCGCTTTTCATATTTTCGATCAGAGCTCAGCAATAAAACATTTACTTCAATTTTCAACAATCCAGATTAACTCTCACCAGCCAGCAAGGAATCAGTTAATGAGACTTAGAAGACACTTGCTCCTAAGTCCCAAAAGGATTTGTGTCACAATTTGCAAACATTTTGGTATGTACATATTTCCAAGGCTTCTTACAAAGGGATGTGAGGTTAGTATTGAGGGACATCTTCATGTCCCATATGTAGTTTTATGTATGCCTTATTTCCTGGTGTAATCAAATCCCAACTTTTAGCAACTTTAAGATACGTGGACTTCAATTCCCAGGATTCCTCAGTCATGCTGGCTGGAGAATCCTGGGAGTTGAAATCCACATATCTTGAAGTTGCCAAGGTTGAGAAACATTTTAAGGTGAGGGTCTTCAAACTTGGCCCTTTTATGATTTGTGGACTTCAACTCCCAGAATTCTTCATCCAGCGTGCCTGTCTTGAAGTCCACAAGTCATAAAAGGGCCAAGTTTGAAGACCCCTGTTTTAAGGTGACCCTTACATTTTGTGTCTTGAAGATGGGTGCTAGGGCAGACTTCAAATTATAGATTTCAGATTATAGGTAACTCACTCGTGCAAAATAACCATTTGTTAAGCACGTAAATTAATTGCCTTAAATTTGTGATGTAGTGGATAAAACACAATAGGATCAGGGAGACCAAGTTTTCAGTCTGTTCTCAACAATGAAAATGTCTGGATGACTGTTCATTTTCCCAGTCCAACTTAATTTTCAGGGTTATTGTAGGAAAAAAAAGGGAGACAGGAGAGTGTTGTATGCTATTTCAAGCTTCTGGGATGTATAAATCTAATAAAACACGCGGAATGGGTAGTGTGCCATAAAATACCCTTTTTTGTTCGTGTTTTGATATAGGTTATTTGCTTGGTATTTTATGAAGTATAATGATTTCTTGGCATCTGGTCAAGTTTGGTATCTGCCCAAATTATGGATGATTAATGTAACCACTTAGGCAATATTCAAGAAGTATTCTGTTACTTGCAAATTATATTTATATCCAAACCTTTCTAAGAATTTAAGGTGGTATATATGATTCTCCTAATGGAAGAAACATTTTCTGTATGTTTTAAGCTTGAAATACTGTAGCAAATTTTAATGTTCCAGACTGAAAATATAATACCACAAGATCCTGATCTTTGTCCTGGATTTGGAACAAATTAAGGCATGTTGTACAGTACTACAATATATTGCTTTATATTTTTCCAAGCCACAGGGTCCTGGAAAATGCATTAGTCAGTAAAACAGCCCCCCCCCCCAAAATAAACCTGAGCTCTGGGTAAGTTACCAATTCATATTTGTAACAATATTAGTCTAGTATAATACTTTTTCATAGGAGATGCCAAATGCAAAACTATGTACTATGTAGCTGCATGACTGATAGCATTGCTTGGTTGTTGAGCTTTCAGCTTCCCAAATGTGAAACCGTGTTGCGTTGTTTGTTGAGTTTTCGTGTCACACACAACAAATATCCATTATACATGGACACTAGGAAGTTCAAAATAGCCAGAAAAATTGTTCATCAATTATATTGGGATACCAGGCTCTCTTTCACAACAACAACAACAACAACAATAATAAAGTTGGAAGGGACCTTGGAGGTCATCTAGTCCAACCCCCTGCTCAGGCAGGAAACCCTACACCATTTCAGACAAATGGCTGTCCAGTCTCTTCTTAAAAGCTTCCAGTGTTGGAGCATTCACCACTTCTGGAGGCAGGTTGTTCCACTGGTTAATTGTTCTCACTGTCAGGAAGTTTCTCCTTAGTTCTAGGTTGCTTTTCTCCTTGATGAGTTTCCATCCGTTGCTTCTTGTCCTGCCTTCAGGTGCTTTGGAGAATAATTTGACTCTCTCTTCTTTGGGGCAGCCCCTGAGATATTGGAACACTGCTATCGTGTCCCCCCTCGTCCTTCTCTTCGTTAAACTAGACATACCCAATTCCAGCAACCGTTCCTTATATGTTTTAGCCTCCAGTCCCCTGATCATCTTGGTTGCTCTTCTCTGCACTCTTTCTAGAGTCTCAGCATCGTGGTGACCAAAACTGGATGCAGTATTCCAAGTGTGGCCTTACCAAGGCATTGTAAAGTGGCATTAACACTTCACGTGATCTTGATTCTATCCCTGTTAATACAGCCCAGCACTGTGTTGGCTTTTTTGGCAGCTGCAGCACACGGCTGGCTCATATTTAAGCGGTTGTCCACTAGGACTCCAAGATCCCTCTCACAGTTACTACTATTGAGCAAGGTACCTCCTATACTATACCTGTGCATTTGGTTTTTCTTGCCTAAATGTAGAACCTTACTTTTTTCACCATTGAATTTCATTTTGTTAGATAGCGCCCAATGTTCAAGTCTGTTAAATTACTGGATTAGACAAAGGAGGTCAGACTCTAGGCAAGCCTTGGCCATTGAACCTCACTGAATGACTGAGATGGTTTAATTCCCTCTTAAACCAGCCTACCTGATAAGGTTGTTGTGGGGGAAAATAGGAGTGCACTTCTATTGTTCTTGATGACTGCTTTGTTTGGAATTAATTCCTCCTGAGTATTTTATCCTATTTCCTGAGCTGCATTATCCAACCGACCCATTGGAAGAGCCGAGGTGGCGCAGCAGTTAGAGTGCAGTACTGCAGGCCACTTTAGCTGACTGTGTTCAGCAGGTCAGCGGTTCAAATCTCACCGGCTCAAGGTTGACTAAGCCTTCCATCCTTCCGGGGTAGGTAAAATGAGGACCCAGATTGTTGGGGGCAATGTAAATATATATATACATTGCTTACTGGTGTACACCGCTTAGAGAGTGCTCGCACTTAAAGCGGTATATAAGTCTCATAAATAAATAAATAAATAAATAAATTTAATATACTAGAAGAGTCCAGTATATCAATCATAATTTGGGGGGGGGGGAGAAGCCACTGGTAGGCAAAGGCATAATCACTCCTTTTCTGAATGCAGTCGGTTTTGAAGTATGAAAACGTGGGGACCGAATTCAAGGTGTTTATGCCATCAATGGCCAATCTACATCCAGGCCCTGGAGAACTTTCCCCTATATTGTTACAAAGCTATGGAATGATCTTGTATCTATAATATACATTTATATCTGTAAAGGTTCATGTCTTTTGCCAAGCTTTTCATAGCGGTAGTCATTTTCGTATTTCGAAAAACACAACGCACAAATTGACTAGAATGAAATAACTTATTTCAGCCGAAAGGCAGAGCTTAAGTCAAGTATTTTTAGGACGATTGCCTATTCTGGCTGATGGCTCCTCCCAAGATCTGTCTTTTCCATGGTAACGTTTCCCCTGATCAGTCATGTCTGACTCTTAAGGGTGTTCATCTCCGTTTCCTAGCCAAGGGACCCAGCGTTGTCTGAAGACTCTTTCCATGGTCCTATAGCCGGCATGGCTATACGCCAAAGGTGCACGGAACACTGTTACCTTCCTACCAAAGTGGTACCTATTTACTTGCATTTGCATGCTTTGGAACTGAAGATGGGCAGGAGCTGGGGCAAGAACAGGAACTCACCCCATCACAGGATGCTTTGGTCTTGAATCGTCGACCTTCCAGTTGAGTCTGGGCCACCACACCTAGCAAGTGTCATGTCTTTCCCATGAGACATTCTTTAGTTGAAGGTTGAGCCTTGTATGTGCAAAGCAGGCACTGAAGCTTTGAGTTACTGTTTCTCCTCAAGGAGGTAGTTGAGCGAAGTATGCTAATCGGAGGAGCATTGAGTTGCTTACGCAGGTCAAACAAGACAAGCCTCCCGATGAACTGTCAGTTGATACAAATGCAAGAGACCATTTTATACTTGCTTATGAAAAAAAAAATTAAGAGATACTACCAATATTTAAATCTGGGCTTTCATACCAGAAAAATACATTTCAAAGCCCACTAGTAAGCATGATTTTATTTTTCTGATATTAAAAATAACCCACAGAGAAGGCTTTTAGGGGTTGCATTTGAGTCAAGATGTCGATTTATTTCAGAACTGAAACTCTAATCTTGAAAAAAGATTCAGCAGTCAGGAAATGGTCAATTCTGAGAAACATTTTTTCCCCCAAAAAAATTATGAAAAACCAAAATGCAGTTAAAAACCAGCTTTATTGTTACAACCAACTTTGAATTATTTACATAATATAAATCTCTTTGCAAGATACATTCCTTCATTGAAATCAATGATAAAAGGCCTTAATATAGAGCTTCAACAATGCTTAGCTAAAAAAAAAAAAGTTCACTCCAGTACAAGCCAATGAACAGAAAGCACAATTTTTAGTTCCATTCATAACATACAAATGAGGGATTTTTCTCTCCCTTTCATTGGACAGGCAACCCTTCACAGGACAAGACTCAACAAACAAAAGATTTAAAATGCAAGGAGAGAGCCAAAGGGGGGCGGGGGGGGTGTCTCTTCCTATACGCTGTTGTGGTTGTCACACAGGGGTGGTCAGCCTCAAGAAATGAATCCTTGTAAATGCAAAAAATTTAATTACCCCAAGATGTTGAAAATATTTTTACCCCGCTGACACAATTGACAATTAAGGATGAGGCTCCTGATGCAACTAGGATCCACCGCTGAAAATAGGTTATTTATCAGAAAACACAAGAAGCCACTTTGATACTTAATTAAGCCCAGCAGTAAACGTTGCTGCTCCTTGTGACTGATATTTTTAATCGGTATTTTCACAGTTGAGCCACTGGGTTTGCTGGTCTGCGTTAGTATTTGTCTTCAAACTGCGAGAATTGCTTTTACTGTCATTTATAATTTATACAGCACTTTCCATCCGCAGTGCTTACAACTCATTTAAGTGCTTATTTATTATCTCAATCAACCTATTAATTAGCACTTGTAGTATGGAGTTGGAGAGCCAAGTCGAAAAGAACGTGCTCCAGATTGCCCGCCATACTTTGACTGGGTTTCAGAATGCTGTCAAAATGGCAGGCTCCCCCAAGAGGCTTAAGATTTTTTATTATTATTTTTTTAAAAAATCCTAAATACACAAATATCAATTCATCATTTAAACACATCGGATATCAATGTATTCTACTACATGAAGATCTTATATAGCAATATTTCAATAGCAAAACCAAAGTAAGGACTTTCATCTTCAGAGGCTGGGCAGGGAATTTTTTTTAACTTTGCTGGAAAAAAAAAATCACCAAAATCAGAATTTGTTTTCTGCCAATTCGTTTAAAACTGGCACGGACTTGGCAATTCATCACTATGGCCGTATTTATTAATTTAGCTAACAGAAATATCAACTTTTCTTCGTATTGTCATATGCAAATAATTCTCATGGATCTTCTCTCTGCCCGCCCGCCCTCCTTCCTAATCTGCATACAACCCAGTAACTGGTAGGCACCATTGGGTGTTACAAAGCTTCTGCTCCACTTTAGGAAGTCTCTAGTTCAGTGTTTCGCAACCTTGCCAACTGTAAGACGTATGGACTTCAACTCCCAGAATTCCCGAGCCAACTGAATTCTGGAAATTGGAAGTTCACACGTCTCACAAATTGCCAAGGTTGAGAAACATTGCTTTATCGTCTATAACAGGGGTAGTCAACCTTGGCTCTTTTATGACTCGTGGACTTCAACTCCCAGAATTCCTGAGCCAGCATAGCTGGCTCAGGAATTCTGGGAGTTGAAGTCCACGAGTCATAAAAGAGCCAAGGTTGACTACCCCTGGTCTATAATGATGCAGCAGTCAACAATTATTTGTTCAGATTCCCTATATGTGGCCAATCTAACTAAACAGAAACTGAACGCCAGGCCAGCTCTGCAGAAAGACTACAGATTAACTATTCATTTCAAGCCCTCACAACTTTTGTTAAGTGTGCACGTGTAAAAAAAATTTTAAGACGCACAAGTAAATTAATTTTAAAAAGGAGGCTCAACAGAATACAACTTTTCAAGAACATGTACTAGGACTGACAAGGACAAACTTTCACTTTTAGGTGTAGGGTTTCTTTAAACCAAAAAGGAAATGAGAGGAGAAATTGAGAAAAAAGTGTTCAATTTCATCGGTTTTACGGAAGCAGCAAAAGGCACCCTTGAACGCTTGCAACTTCAACCAATGTTGACAAATGCTCTTGCTTCATGTGTACAAGATTTTTTTTTTTTGGAACAATGTCCATGAATGTCCATGAATCAGAGGGTGCAAATCCAGATTTTATGAAAAGCTCTGTGTGAAACAGGAGTAAACCAAAGTTCTTTTAAGCATGTCTTCATTGAAATTTAAGGATTTGACTGTATCTTTTGCTGTTGCAGGTTTATATAGGTGTATCTTCCTTTTGCTTGAGCTATTTCTATACACAGGTTTTGATGGTGTTGTTGTTTTAATTTGCAAGGGCCTCTACTGTTAGGAAAGGAATATGTACAAGGGTTTTTCAAAGCGAGAATTACCTGTGCGTGACAAGCCCGAATCGGAGTGGACCTTCATTATATCTCAGGAGAGAAAACCACTTTTCTTCTAATTAGCCAACCTGCTTCTTACTAGAAGAATGGATATTGTCACTTAAAAGCAATTGTTGTGCTAACTCAGGTTTAGACTGATTAGCTCTTCCAACGAAAATGTATAAATACTAAGGCAGACATTACAAACACAATGAAAAAGACACCTTATGTAAGCTAATATTATCCTCAGATACTGCACCCTATTTGTTTTCCAACTGGGAATTCCCTTGAAGGCAGCCTATTTAACAAAAAGAGTTCAACAGATGTCAAGAACTGGATATCGGTTTACATCCAAATTCTACAAAAAGGAACATACAACGAAAATACATAAATTCATAAATGCGAGGTACCATACAATTCACATTAATTTACAAATGGTTATTTACACTATTATATATACACAGTCAGACCCGGTTACCATAAATTGATTAGCTAATCCTACAAAATTCACATTAAGAATCCCAGGCCAAAAGTTCAAAACAATACCAATTTTCTTTTAAATCCCCCCACCGTTACACTAAAGAAGCTTTGATGTCTGAATCCATCAGGTAGAGGTTGATGAACCTGGTCTGATTGCCAGTGTGTTGAAAAATTCACGCATTTCTGCTTTACAAAAGCTACTAGGCCACTATGGTCTGTAGGCTTATGTTTACAGTGTTGAATCTGTTTCTAGTAACTCCTTATTTTCACTACAATGTCACTAATGGTGGCATTAGAATCTTTAGCTTCAAAGTACAGGCAACAGATTAGCTTATTGCCAAGTCACAGCCAGAATTACCTGAGGTTGTTTTCTAGAGCTCTGGAAAATAAAAGAGTCAAGTACTTGCAAAAATGAGAGCAAGCTGGAAAGTGTGACAAAGCCATCTCAAAAATCCAACAAAAGAGGAATAAAAGAGCAGAGAGTAGAAAACGACAGTTCTGAAATAACAAAATATAACTATATTAAGCTACATGTACTACTCTTCAAGGTAAATGGACATTTTCTCTTAAGATGATTTAAAACCACTAATTATTTTTATACATCTTTTTATGTATTCAGAAACACACTGTGCTGGAATATGTTCAATCTAACACAATTCTGGCAAAAATGGAGACACGATTGAAATCCAGCCACTTTGGAGACTAAGCCAAAATACATCTCTTCTAAAGAGCTCATTATTTTTTTAAAAAAAGAAAAAACTTTTAATTGGTTCATATTAAGCTCAGTAGAAATGAAATAAAAGTTTATCAATCTTTGCAGATCCATCCAGTGATCATGGAGGCACATTTTTCTCTATCCAGCTTAACAGAGGAGCTGAACCATACTTTGGATATTATTTTTTTATGTAACAAAAAAGGAAGATGATAACAATCATTATGATGAACTCCGCCTAATTTCTAAGGGCCTCACTGTAAGATGGCATTAAAGAATATGCAAAATAAATACAAAGACCAAAAAAAAGGAGTTTTCTTATTTTCTAGAGCTCGAGCAACACCCTTTACCCGATAAATTACAAATTTCCTTTAATTAGCTCAACACTGATCATCAAGAGAAGCTGCCCAATTTATGTACAACTGTGGTAAGAGCTGAAATGTATCTTCAAAGTAAAACTACCCTTCTCCATATGAAAGCTTTAAGCATGAATAGAATATAATTCCTGTTACCATCCAGATAACCTGAAGCTCAGAACTAACCACACAGTTATGTTCATCATATCCATACACCACCACAGTGGGGGGGGGGGGGGACTGACCAGAGAATACAGATTCTATCCTAGTTTTCCTAAACTAATTTCATTGCTGAATAGTGGACATTTGAGGTACCGCTATTCTAATTTGGGGCATTTGAGGAGAGTGGTTTTAGAAATATCTCAAAACGTATCTTGTCATGTTTTTATTTCTGTAAACAGAAGTTGTCAGTGACTTTGGGTTAACATTTTTATTCATTATCCTACATTAAATCAAGTCAGTTTTATTTTTTAGCCAATGTTTATTTTAGAGTTCTTTAAAATATTTCTGAATAAATATTTTTACTGAGTCTGGGCAACAGATTCCCCACTTCATCACTTTTTAAGGTATATCTGCCTTTGCACATAATGCATGTGAACACATAGACTATATGGGCACTTAAGTGACCAAAAGAGACAACAAAAATAAAACCAACAGAAACTATTACTGAACTTAATAGCACAACTTTCAAAAGTTTAAAGCAACTTCCCCATTCTTAAACACACTCTCACACGTACGCTAGCTAAGTAAACATTGTGTTTCACATTTTTTTGAAATTTAAACTATTCTTGAGAGGATGGCTTTTGAAAAAGAAGACTCAAATGTCCGTGACCAATTCTCCTTTTTCAAATGCCACTACCGTTTACTAAAGAAAGGATGACGAAGAAGGTGGAACCAAGACAAGTCAACGAAGAAAATTATGAGCCCTCACCAAGCCTAAAGAAATACAAATTAAGTGGTACACTTTTGCTCCCAATTATTACAGGACTGCTCCACAAAAACCCTGTTGGTTTTTACTACAGTATTTATCAAAGATTTAAGAAGAAGAAAAAAACTTGTTAAGGAGGAAAATACACGACACCTGGATGAGTAGTCATTTAAAGCTTACATTTCAGGGTAAAATCCCTCTTCAAATTTAAAAGCCAAGAGAAAGTGGGTATCATTTCCTTAATTGATTTTGTGAGCAGGCCTCCACAAAATTTTTTGCTTCCACTATATACAAGAACGGTCATTTTTTTTTTCCCCAGACAGTAGCTTGCTAGAGCTGAGAGAAACAAGAGAATGAAAATTATTTTGTTCCACCCTGATATAATCTCCAGTCAGCATTAGTGGCTTAACTTGAGTTACAAACTGGGATCTGTTATTATGTAGATTCCATGTAGTTTATGGTTAAACAACTGAATGCTGTAGCAATTTGAGATGTAAAAAAAAAGTTTACGGGATGATCGCCTGCACCCTCTCCCTTAAGGAGAACCGATAAACAGCAGCAATGGAATGTTAAACTCATAATAAATAATTCATGTCTCACATTTCAAAAAAAAAATAATACAAAAAGGATTAAATTTGCTCGCCTTGTGTTTCAGAAATCCATTAGAGCTCCCAATCCTTCCACAATATCAGAAAAGACCTTCATTTGAAGTTTACCATTGAAAGATTGTTATTTAGAGGTAATGAAAAGCCAAAAAAAAAAAAAAAAGAAGGAAAAGAGGAAGGAATAATACAAATGTAGAGCTGTTCCTATTATGTACTCATGACAAAAACAGTAAGGAATCTTCTCAACAGGCGGATAACCAAGTTCTCAAATTCTACTCAGGAAGTTTTAATGCCATTACTTCATTCTTCATTTTGAAGTACTGATTGAAGCGAACAACTGCATACCTGCGTGAGCAAACAAAAGCATTTGGTGAAATATGATTTGGGGTACAGTTTTCCATCAATCATAATATTTAACTTTTATGCTCACTTATTTTTAGTGTTTCCTGCCATCTAGTGGTTAGGTGATGTTTCTGTAAAAATTGTCACAGAGATATGCAGATAGCTTTTCCAACTTTTTACAAAAAATATGTTGGCCAGATTATATAATATGGATGGTAGATTAAGGTTATATTTCTACAGACATTTCACTCAGTCACAGGTCAAATTGGTTAGCAAATCTCACCCATTCAGCATTTATGTTTTGATTTCATGTAGCCAAAAATATTAGTACTATACATTTTTAATTGGCATTTATAACCAGCATGCTTACCAAGCCTTAATAAGGTTAGGATTATGGTTCCAGTAAGCATGGCGTATATCTGGGGCTATATTTTGGGACTTCAATTCCCATGTCACTTCAGCTAATGTGGCACATAATCATGCTGGCTGAGGCATTACGGGAATTGAAATAACACATCTAAGGGATACCTGGTTAGGAAACGTTGATGCACTGGATTTACGGGGGGGGGGGGAGCATGAACATTGGACACTTCCTGCATTCTCGCTCTTTAATCTATTTAAATTAATTTAATTCACAATGATTTAAATTAGGCTCCACTTATTGTTATAATGGGTTTTTAAACATTCTAAAAGTTAATTTGGTTGAGCTGCAATTCTCTGAGAGGGGATAAAAATAGTTTGCATTCATAAATCATTAGCACTTGATCCCAAGCACCGTTCATCAAACTTTGAGTTAATGAAATTTTAATAATTATAATCAAAGAAGCAACTCTTTCTGTGTTTATGCTTTACTATACTTTTATGCAACTCATTATTCTGAAAAAAAAATATTTGTATCAACAAAAATCTATTTCACAGTCAGTTATGGTTATTTCAAATTTAAAGATCTGTATTTTAAACCCCAAAATGTTTACAAAAGTATTACTTGAAAGCTGAAAACAACATGAATACAAAATCCTATGAATACAGAAGATTTTTATATAAGGTAGGGAAGTGGTGGCGAACCTATGGCATGTGTGCCAGAGGCGGCACTCAGAGCCCTCTCTGTGGGCACATGTACCATACCCCGGAGATGGCAACTGTCCCTCTTCAAGCAGCCGCCCGCTAACTTGCCAAGGTCCCACGTGGCCAGATGCATCCCAGCACGGCTGGTTTCCCTCCCCCCTGTCCCGTCTCTCCTGGCCTCGCATGCTCTCCTTTTCCCAGGCTGTCGGCTGGCCATCGAGCTCAGAGGTGGCTTCTCTGAACTGGGCTGCAGAGCCCCAGAGTGCACCGGTCGAGGGGCCGGTAGGCTGTGGCTGCTGATGGACACCGTCGGCCCCCATGTGCTTGCTGGCCTCTGTGTGCGGTGGTCAATGGTGTCAGACAGCAGCCACCCTGGCCCTTGCCTCACCTTTCCCCATAGCAATGGCACCCCTGCCCTGCCTCGCCTCCCCTCACCCCACAGGACAAGCCTCCTGCCCACAGAACAAGCCTCCTGCCCACCGTCCCACCCACCAGTGACCCTCCTGGATCTCCCCCAACCCCGCCCGGCCCCCACAGGAGTTCCTGCCCACAAGCAACATCGAGGTGACCATGCCTACCTTGGCCACGCCCACCCATTCTGCCATGACTACCACGGCCACACCCACACAGTGGGCCACACCCACCTGGCACCTAGCCATAAATAAGTGGGTTTGGGTTTGCAGCTTGGGCATTTGGTCTCTAAAAGGTTCGCCATCATTGAGATAGGATGACTCTGTTAATTACTTACCCTAGAAAATCGAAGTCAATAGTGGAGTATTTGGCTTGAATTAGGGCCCACAATCCCCAGAAGAAATGAGAAGCCTGCAAAGGAAGACAAATAAATCCTGATCAGTGAAACTAGTCAGAACGGTCTTGTTTTCAGAGACTACTTAGAAAAAGCAATGCAAGAATAATGAATGCTCAAAGCATGATGTTAATATTGCATTCCACACTATTTGAGTTTATGGCAATTTTGGCCAACAAACTTTTAAGGCCAAGATTTATAACAGTCTTCCCCAACCTCAAATTCTGAAGGCTCCAATTGTACTATACTTTTGTTTCCTTTGAAGAAGGATTTAAGACTTCTACAAAGAAAAAAATACAGTTAATATATAATTTAATGTAAACATTAAAAAAACACATCTATTCTATCCCTCTATATTTTGACATGAACAGCTTCTAATGTAATTTTCAATATCAAGCCACAATTTAACAGATACAGTTAATGAGTTATAAACACAATAATGAAAATAATTCTGTAAACTTAAAACTGAAGAGGTATATTTCCATTAGTATGCATAAATATTAAGGTTGCAATATCTATGTTTTGAAAGATACCATATCTCCCTTATTCACACAGATGATGTATTTGTTTTTACCACTTTATTTTATAGTTGCTTGATAACAGTTCCTGTTTTTTCTATATTACCCTATCGTGTGATACCTCATAAACAACATCAACAACATAATTTCTCTAAATTTGTTCACATGTGACTTGCAAATTAGACCTCATGCATTAATAATCTGAAGTGGTAACATGGCACATATTAAGACAATATTATAATAATCCATTCATTTATGAAGTAAGGGCTTTACACATACTATACTAAATAATCCTATTCAATTCTACAATCTAACCTGACAGCTCTTATAAAATTTGTCATTCAAAATAAAATTGAAAAACAATCAAAATCAAATCAAACACACACACACACGCATTAAGTTTATGTAGCCAATAAGCTATTTTTATGGGAAATACTTTTTAGCCAAGCAATTTATTAAAGTCACATGTAAGTATTAGGTCTCACATGAATAGAGTAGTGGTTAAAATTATGTGAACCCTCTTGAAGTTTTAATAGTTCTCCATAAATATGACCTAAAACAGAGGTCCCCAATCTTTTGGGCAACAGGGACTGGTTATATGGAGAGAGATTTTTTCATGGACCAGAGGGTACGTGGTTTTGTGTGCTGCCTGCATCCTGCTGATGGGATTTTGCTTGTTTGTGTGGCCTGGCTGCTGACATGCCAGGGGTTGGGGACTCCTGACCTAAAACATTATTTGTTCTCCAAACAAGTCCTAAAACTAGAGACAATCCAATTAAACAGAAGACTCAAAAACATATTTGTTCATTTCTTTACTGAAGAAAATTACCTAAAGTTACATATCTGTGAGGGGGCAAATATATGTAAGCCTCTAGGACAGTGTTTCTCAACCTTGACAATTTTAAGGCATGTGGACTTCAACTCCCAGAATTCCACAGCCAGCAATGCTGGCTGTGGAATTCTGGGAGTTGAAGTCCACATGCCTTAAAATTGTCAAGGTTGAGAAACACTGCTCTAGGATTATCAGTTTATTTGAAGTGGAAATTATAGCCAAGTATTTCAGTCAATGGGGAGGGGGGGGATAATCAGAGCAAGTGTGGGAGGTCCTGCCTTATCAGTGGAGTTAGAGGCAGTCTCTTACCTCTTCAGGGCTGGGAAGGGTCAGGCCTGGAATGGCTTGGTGTGGATACATGGCTAAGGATCAGTAACATTCGCTTAACAAAACTACAGTTATTGCGAATCGCTAAGTTATGTGTTTATGTGACATCTTATTTTATGACAGCATTGTTAGTGACCAAAATTCCAGCCCAATTATGGTTGTAAGGATTATCTATAAAAATTATGCTAAAAGGGCCTGAAGGAGGCAGTTCATGCAAGGAATTCAACCAACATCTGTGCTGAAGCTGTTCTGGAAGGAGGAAGGGATTAAATCTCCCTACGATGAGGTCCACGTCTGATCAACAGACACTGGAAATGTTTAATTGAAGTTACTGCTACCCAAAATGCTATACCACTTAACTGAAAACATAGCTTTTGCCTCACACAAACATGTAGCTTTGATCGTTTTCAATAAATAAGTGAATATACTTAATGTTTTTGACTGATTTAATTGGATTCGTTTTGCCTAGTTTTAAGGCTCGTGTGGGGAAGAGATCATATTTTAGGTCATATTGATGCAGAAATATTGAAAATTTAAAAGAGTTCACAAAAGAGTTTACAATGCCTTGGTAAGGCCACACTTGGAATACTGCATCCAGTTTTGGTCACCACGATGTAAAAAAGATGTTGAGACTCTGGAAAGAGTACAGAGGAGAGCAACAAAGATGATTAGGGTACTGAGGCTAAAACATATAAGGAACGGTTGCTGGAATTCGTTATGTCTAGTCTAACGAAGAGAAGGACGAGGGGGGACATGATAGCAGTGTTCCAATATCTCAGGGGCTGCCCCAAAGAAGAGGGAGTCAAGCTATTCTCCAAAGTCTTTGAAGGCAGGACAAGAAGCAACGGATGGAAACTAACCAAGGAGAGAAGCAACCTAGGAGAAACTTCCTGACAGTTAATACAATTAACCAGTGGAACAACCTGCCTCCAGAAGCGGTGAATACTCCAATCTGGGAAGTTTTTAAGAAGAGATTGGACAGCTATTTGTCTGAAATGATATAGGGTTTCCTGCCTGAGCAGGGGTTTGGACTAGATGACCTCCAAGGTCCATTATTATTATTATTATTATTATTATTATTATATTATTATTATTAACTTCTAAGCATCTCAGTATGCTAGCACTGATAAATTATCTTTCTTAGGAGTATCTGCATCCTTTGACAGCCACACAGATGCTCTGCTGAAAGGGTGGGCACAATCAGCCACTTTGCTAGTGACCAACTGCTCAGATGAGGCCAGCTTTCATAGCAGCTTTGTGAGTCGTGAAAGAGATGGATTACCTCTTGAAGAGAGATAATTTGTGTCTTCTAACACACTAAACAGAGCACCTCTTTAAAACACTTTGCAAAGCCCTCATGTAAACGTACAACAAGATGTATTTGTAACAATAAAACAGCTTTCAAGTAGCAGAAAATATTCAAGTACTTCCCAGTATATGGAAATGCCTTATTTCTATAGCACTTTACTGTACCAGTTCCTGCTATATTTCAGTATGGAACTAAGGGTAGCCTTTGACTTACAACAGTACGTTTCGTGACCGTTTGAAGTTACAATAACACTGACAAAAGTGACATATGACTAGTTTTCACACAATGGAGCATCCCCACGATCACATCATCAAAACTCAGATGCTTGGGAAATGGTTCTTATTTATGAGGGTTGCAGTGTTCTGGGGTCACGTGATTCTCTTTTGCGATCCTCTGACAAGCAAAGTCAATGGGGAAGCTAGAGTCACTTAACAACCGGGTTACTAACTTAACAACTGCAATCATTCACTTAACAACTGTGGGAAGAAAGGTCATAAAATGGGGCAACATTCATTTAACAAATGTCTCGCTTAGCAACAGAAATGTTGGGCACAACTGTGGTCGTTAAGTCGAGGACTATCTCCAACACTGTCTATTTTATGAATAACAACATTCCAAATAATTTGGTTCTGGTCTCATAATAACGGCAGAAAACAGAGGCTAGTTAGGAAGGTCCTCAAAAAACAAGTCAACATGGTTAACATCAGAATCAACTTGGTGACACCTGATAAAGCCCTAGAAACTTTTTTTTTTCCTCTGCAAATGAACAGCGTACAGATGGTAGTAAGCAATTAAAACAGGCTCATTCCTATTTTCTAAGGATCCTTTGGTTTTGACTGGAAATAGGTGCTTTGGAACATATGGCAGTGTAAACACAATTGTCGGTGGCTATCATTAAAGTAGCGGTATCTGTATCCATCCCTGAAGCCTCACAGCAGCTGCACTGTCCTAGAGTCAGACACAGCTGCTTTAATGACCACAAAGCAGATCCTGCCTTTAAGCTGTCGTGTACTCCTAAGTTACTTCTTCCCAAACTGCACAACCCTATTTATTTTATATAAGCAGACGATGCTGTAAAATGCTTATGTGTTCTGTGATGAAGAAAAGCAAATGAATTTACTTTTAACTGCACTTCTTTTAAGTCATCTGTGAATTCACACATTATGCCCAGTGCAAGGGTCTGTCTGACACTTTCTAGAATTGTTTAGAGAAGCTCACTGCACCATGTACCTAAATAGGACTCTTGCTGAATTCATTATCTAAGACTCACACAGGAGATCTGAAGGAACGGTGAAATACGTTGAGACAAATGGGGCAGGAAGACGTGTTGTCTGAATTCAAAGGTAACGACTGAGAAAAATGTGGTTATGGGTAATAGTAAGTTGTCGTCCCCTATGATTTTGGTGCTTCACTAAGATGAGTCACTAATAAACTGCTTACTTGGAAGAGAATATGGTTGTATAAATCAACCAAAGAGGGTATCTTTCAAAGACTGCATCTCAATCAGGGAGTAAAGAAAGAGCCTATGTGTCTGCCTAATATAATTCAACTCGGAAAGAAGCTCAAGGTTGTGGATGCACACTTGTGGAGCAAGTATGGATCAGAACGGAGCATTTCTGTTTGGTAAGTTCATAGTAAAGTTTGATTGTTACCTCTACTCATTTAGCAAGATGTTTGGAGAAAGATGACACTCTTTGGACAGACTTTGAAAAGTCTGAAAAATCAGGATTAAATGCTGGTACTGGTAAAACAATATCACGTGATTATGATAAAAACAAAACTAAAACAGGAAGATAAGGAATGAAACTGATGCTTCCGATGTGTTGCAAGTAGTCCTTGACTTACAACCGTTTGTTTAGCAACCATTCAAAGTGCGACAGTGAAAAAAGTGGCATTTTTCACACATATGACTGTTGCAGCATCCCCACGGATGCTGATCAACTGACTCATATTTATGATTGTTGCAATGTCCTAGGGCAGTGATGGTGAACCTTTTAGAGACCGAGTGCCCCAAAATCACACTGCCCCCGGCCCACACCCACTCCATGCCCGTTCCACCCCCCATCCCCCGCCCATGCCCTACCCATCCACCGCCTCCATGGCTCGCAGCAGCAGATTGCCCAGGCAGCCCTGCAGTGCTATGGCAGCCACACCCTCCACCTGCATCCCGCAGCATCATCGCGTGATCATCAAGACTGTAAATAGCCCTCTCATGAGTATTCAGCTTCCAAAGGTTCCATTTCTCTTAGTTCAGTTGCCTCCCTGCTCACCAGATCCTCTTTCGTGATCCCAATGTGGATCTACTGTATACTCTTTGAAATAGCCTAAGATAGAAGGCTATCTTAAGTACTATTTTCCTTCCATATTCTTGGTCAAAGGCATGACTGCTGCCCAATCATGCCTTTGACCAACCACTGGATCCCTTTTCCAAGTATCTCTCCGTTAGTCACAGGAATCTTCTCAAAGTCTTTTTATTCAGGCTGATCCCATATTTGAGATACAACCAGCCTTCTTTTGGCCCAAGATTACTGTCTTAGTGAAGGCTGCAACTAAGCTTCAGATTCTTACTATTGCCATCAATCCATGGTATCTGCTCTACTAAATTCTAAGCAGAACTTTGCCGATCACTTAATCTATATCTGTTAAATTAGAATGTCTGTTCCTACAGCAAACAAATTGGATAGCAAATTCCCTTGCTGTCTTCTCAGATGATAAAATACTAAGTTTAAGATGATACTGTTCCCATTGTCCAAATTCTAGTGTTTTCAGTCTTGCTGAAGACCCTAAGGCAGTGATGGCGAACCTATGGCACGCATGCCAGAAGCGGCACTCAGAGCCCTGGCTGTGGGCACACCTGCTGCCACCGCTACCAGCTCGTGCAGGTCCATTAGCTGCCGCTGGCACCCGGAGCGGCAGCCCCACCCAGCATAAAGGAGGTGAAGCAGCTGGCTAGCAAGCTCAAGTAGAGGTGGTACAGCACACACCCCACGCACTCGCTGGCCTCTGTGTGTGGGGGCTGATGGTGTCAGGCAGCAGCCACCCCTGCCTCGCCTTGCCCCGCAGCAATGGCACCCCCGCCCTACCCTTTGCCTCACCCCGCAGGACGAGCCTCCTGCCCACTGCCCCACCCACCAGAGACCCCCTGGATCTCCCCCACAGGCAGCCCCCAATGAGCAACATCAAGGTGGCCACGCCCATCCCGGCCATGCCCATTCAGTCTGCCGTGAACATCGCAGCCACGCCCACCCAGTGGGCCACACCCCTTGCCCCCCCCCGAGGGCACCACAATGCTGATGCAGCCCTGGCACTTTGTGATAAATAATTGGGTTTGGGTTGCGATTTGGGCACTCAGTCTCTAAAAGGTTCACCATCACTGGCATAGATAAAAAAAAAATGTGCAAATCACAGAGACCATGCTGAAAAACCTACTTGTTCAATATGTAAAGTAGCTGAAGGGCATCAGGCAAGGTGGGCCTCCTCTACACACACACACACACACACACACACACACACACACACAAAATCATATAGTTCTTGCCAGGAATGCCATGATTTAAGCCATTTTTCTGGGACAAAATCCCCAACTGAAATTTTATTTTTGCTCCTGGTTAAGAATAAACAAAAGACCAGCATTTTCATAGAAACAGCAAAGATGACAAAAGCATAGCACTTGTGGATTTGGTATGGTCAACAAAAGAGAGAAATCACGAGAATCCTTTTTAGGCATATGTTCTGGAAAATTTCAGAACATTTTATTTTGGCTTTGAACTGTCATTCTAGAAGTAATTGAGCAGGTTTTTTGAAAACTATTTCCACAAAAACTCTGCCAAAGAACCCCTTGCACAATGAGTAGGATCTGGAGGAAAAACCAAACATTCCACAACCCTACAGAACATTCTTTTCCTGGTAGGTTTTACATGTACCAACTCAAATCTAGAAGCACTGAATTTTCACTGCCACAAAAGATGAACAAGAGTATCTAAAACCTTGTCAAGATCGCTTGCACCCAGTCTTGGTGTTAGCAAAATAAAATCTAAACTTACCAGAGCAAACTGGTTCACTTGGACATAAAGCAGCTCCACCTCTTTTTCAGTGACATCTGTTCCAAATCCTTTATATTCCTTGTAGGCTTCCAAGTAAGATCTCAACCATTGCTCCTGCAGCTTTCTGCTTGGATAGAGGCTATAGTCAACCTCACTCACTCCTACAAAACAGCAACTCGTTAAGAAGAAAAATTGACATTTCAAAATGTTTAAAACAAATTCTATATTCCTGTGTTCTACTTTGCTCTTTATTTTATCTCAGGATCTGAAACAGAAATTATGCACTCATTTGACCCAGGTCTTGGCACCTAACATTCTTTAGTGCCCATCAAACTCCCCACGCTGTTTTATTTAAGATTATTTGTATTTAAAAATAAGATAGGAAAAAAGCAAAGGAGTAGCCTTAAGAATACTGTTTTGGTTTTTTAAATAATTCCTTAGGCACCCATGAGCATCCAAGAAACATTTTTACAAAATGAAAATGGGAGATGACTAGCCAAAGCTTTTTTTTTTTTGCCTCCTGGTGCATTGGGGGATTTCTGACTTGTGTGCAAAGAAGGGGGGCGGGACAGAAGAGCAGTCGGGAGGCAAGTGCTAGACCCAAGAAAGGAATAGAAAGGTAAGTATATCCACAGCTACTCTTTAAAGATTCCACAGGCAGGGTTTAAATCCAAGCGCAATCTCATTTCAGGTTTCACTCTACAGTATTTAAATATTAAATTATAACGTCCCACAAAAGAGATTAAGACATTTTAGTATTGCCTTCTCCAATAAACTAATCTGGAATGACAGTCTTAATTGAGGAAATTTAGGAACCTCTTTTCTTTTTTCTTTTCTTTTCTTTTCCAAGAACTGCCCCCTTTATTTCTCACCCAACAATCTTATTTGAAGGTCAGAGGGGGGATAGCAAACTTCAGGGCCTTTCTGAAGGGTTCAGGAGTTCATAGAGCAGGGCTTTTCAACCTTTTCACCCATTGTACCACTTTTAGGATATGGCAATATCCGAGTACCACCAGTCGCCTAGCAAGAGGTCAAAAACTTGATGACCAAAAAAAAAAAAAGGAAAAAAGTGATAAAATACAGGTAGTCCTCGACTTACAACAGTTTGCTTAGTGACTGTTCAAAGTTACAATGGCACTGAAAAAAGTGCCCCCCAAGACACCCGCCTGCCCGCATGGTGGCGCTCTTCCTCCTGTCCGAGGTTTTCATTGTGAGCATTTCTGTTGAGGATTGGCAGTGGGGGTGGGGTGGGGTTGTTTGTTTTTTATTCCCAGGGCTGTCAGGGCTCAGCGGAAGCGCCAGGATCAGTGCCAGGCTCCAGCTAAAGCTCGGTGCTGATCCCGGCGCTTCTGCTGAGCCCAGAAGAAGCGCCGATCAGCTGGAATGTTGCAGCATCTCCAGGGTCTTGTGATTTACATTCAGATGCTTGGCAACTGATTCATATTTACGACAGTCAGTGTCCCAGGGTCATGTGAAGTGATCAAAACCTTCTGCAACCACACAGCAGATGGGGGGAATAAAAACCAAACACCCCCCACCCCACTGCCAATCCTCAACAGAAATGCTCACAATGAAAACCTCAGAGAGGAGGAAGAGCGCCGCCGGGCAGGCAGGCAGATGTCTTGCTCAGCTGTGGCTTGGGGGGCACTTGTTTCAGTGCCATTGTAACTTTGAACAGTCACTAAGCGAACTGTTGTAAGTCGAGGACTACCTGTACTTCATCACTTTTTTTCCTTTTGGGGGGGTCATCAAGTTTTTGACACCTTGCTAGGCGACTGGTGGTACTCGGATGTTGCCATATCCTAAAAGTGGTACAATGGGTGAAAAGGTTGAAAAGCCCTGCCCTATAGGCACCATGAAGAAAGGGAAATAAGGAAGTCCAGGGACATTTCAGGCTGACAAGAGAGAGGATTTATTTTAGGTCATTAGGTCTTCTTCCCATGAAAGCAGCTATGTGCGCAAACCCATGGAAGCAGTCGGAACACGTCTCAAAAGATGCTTGCAAAAGATGCTTTAAGAAATCTGAGAAGTGGGTCTACTTGTATAGCTGCACACTGTGAGGCACTCATCCAATCCTGATGCAAGCTCTAATGTCCAAGCCATTAGCAGCCAGGTTACTACCATACCTGCAAACTCATTGAAGTGGTTCCCAATATCATAAGCAAGGTAATTATATCCAGAGTACTCGTAGTCAATGAACTGAACGTCACCTACACGAGACACAAAAATAAAAATTTTTAAGAGTAAGAGTTGGGAATCTGCACTGTGCCACTTAATACCTGCCAGTGTGTTCCACTCTGCTGTGCTCTGTAGCATGCATTTTAGGAAATACCAAGATTGCATTTTTGTTTGTTTGTTTGTTTTAACAAACATAATAAACTTCTTTACCAAAGATACCTGTTCTTAATTACTTAGGGATAGAACCTCTGCTTTTGTACCACAGGGGGGCATCAGTTATCTTACATTCCATTAGTTAGAGGGACTTGGTCTCTGAATATAACATTCAAATCATTTTTAAACTATTCCTCATCCAAAGTTAGCAGGGCTGAATACAAAATAAGTTAGTACAGTTACAGACAAGGGGTTCTTTAATAGAACGCTTATCATTTTGCTTAAGGGGGTATACGTGCTGTTATTTTGCTTCCTTTACACAAAACTTGTTCATTTTGCTTATATTACAGCACATCTTCCCCAAGTGTTTACCTACTATCAGAACATCTGCATGAAACCATACAAGTTGTAATCAACTATGAATTCATATTGTCCTTAAGTCTATCCTGACGTATCTCTCAGATTAAAATGTGCAAAAGGAAGCAGCACTATAGGTTTCCAAGCAATAGAGAACGGACTTTGAGCCCCTGAACAATTAAACTGTTTTTCTTTACTTTAAGTGTGTCTAATAAACATATGTGGCGATACAATCATAAAGACTAGTTTATATTATGCAGTGCAAGAAGAGGCATTAAATGTTCTCACTGCTAGAATATATTGCCAGCAATCCTCAGCAATCATTCCGAAGCAGCTCTCGGAAATATAGTTCCATAAGGCGGCTGAGGATATGTCTGTCTATATTCCAAATAGTCTACCTACAATTACATATTTCAGGATTCTTTGTGAAATGCAATTATAGTTCATTGAGAAAAATTCACGTCAGATACATAATAAATTTGTATCTTTAAGATGCCACAAGATATTCTTGGGATGTGGGTCGTGGTGGAACAAACTAATATAGTTAAAACATATACAGAGGCTTCTCATAATAGTATCTTACAAGCCAGGGAGTAAATTTATATCATACAGGCAGTGATGGGATTCAGCCGGTTCGCACCAGTTCGGCAGAACCAGCAGCTAATTTTTTGTGGCCCAGGCTCAGAATGGACTACCAGAAGCGGCATCCACACCGAGAACTGGTTGTTCACATATTTGAATCCCACCACTGCATACAGGCAATTCAGAAAAATATTTTAAGTGGCCTCTAAACAGATCCTGTTTCCCAAGTCGCTCATCTTATAAAGATGATTCAGTAAAAACAAATGCACGCTCAGTTTAACTCTTCTTTTGCCATCCAAATACAGCTAACCTTTAACAGAACTATACTTTATCTGAATGTTTGCAGTTAAAAAAACAAAACCAATAAAGATAGCAGGTGAAAGACCTGCATGCACAATACTAAGCAAATCAAACATTATTTGTATTCCAGATATACATTAATTATGTCTGCAATGCTGTTATCACCATACATTAATCCCTTTGCTAACTTCCAATTATAATTAACAATATTACAAAACAAAACAAAAAAGACAGAAAGAAAGAAAATGAAGCTAAGATACAGATGAGGCTGTTACCAGGCTCCGTGCTCTCCTAGGGGGAGGTGCATGCGAACAAGTGATGCGATAATACCTCCAGTCAGTGCCTGTAAGTAGCACGGTGCACGCCGCCACTTGGCAGCAACAATGGCATACCTAATCTGTAGCAGATGAAGAAAATTTGGCAAACTCATATTTGACAAGACACAAAACTTTAAAGAGAAAAGTTCTGCATTTCACCGCTCTTTCTTTGACAGACTGACATTACAGTGGAACTCAGCCTTAAATTTAAGTTTTGCAAGAAATTCAATCTCTGCCGTCAAGATGCATGGCTCCATTTCGTTTTGGCGTTCAAGGAAATAAGGGCTGATGCAAGCAAAATGTTGTCATTTGGATGCAATATTCTTCATTTGTTTTTGGTTTTTTTACTCATATAGTGAATCATAATTACGGGCAAAGGCGTCGTTTCCCAAATATTCATGGGGATGATGTGTAGTACAGTCCCCAAAAATCCTTCAAGAGTAATTAGAGCCCGACTCCAAATAGGTTTTTTTTAAGAAATCCTGATTAAAATTCTATTTATGGTGTGTGAGACATTCAAAGCAATATGAGCATCCAGCATGTAGTAAAGGTTTATGCAAAAACAGTTGGGACTAATTCCCTTTGTCAATTTCCTCTTAAAGAGTAGGGATGCAAACAACTATACAAATAACATGCATTTGTGGTCAATGCAAATAAAATTGACAGTATTTCTTCAGGAAAATTAAAAAATGAATGTCAACATTATTCTACTCCCACTTCTTCAAAGTTTTGAGTACTTGTTACTAATTGCGAAGCACTAATGCAGCTTTGCCTGTTATTTTTTCAGACAAAATTATAGATATATTATGTAAGGTAACACTATTTAAAAAACAAGGTTGATGCTAGCTTGAATTCGTAAAGTACCAACCACCAGATTTAAAAGAATATGCTTGGTTTACTATATCTTTAGAGATCATTAAAAAGTTTTAATTTTCAACTGAGTAAGCTACAATAACTAAATTTAAGAGCTTAATGCACTGATATGTTTTTATATACAAATGTAATCCAGGAAAGAGGAATTTAGACTGTTAACATCAGATGTACTGGAACTGGAATGTTATTTGAACACTTTGTTATTATTAATAAGACAGTGCAATACCTTTACCAATAGCACATTTTCTGTTTTATGTAATTAAAAACTATAGGAGAATTTTTTGACATTAAAATAAAACAATCTTCCAGTAAGAAGCTTCAGAAAAATAATACAACTCAAATATAAGACATCAAAAGCTCTTGAAAATTGAGTGCATATTTCTCTTTAATTCTATAATTAAATTTCTCTTCACATTTGCCATCTGTGCCCTATTTAACAGCCTATTAATTGGATCTGAGTATAACATTTTGCAGGAATTATTTACTTATTTAACCAAAAGGAAGACTTACTTCCCCCTTGTCCCTCTAAAAAAAATTAAACTTCCAAGAGAAAAAGTCATCTTCAAATTTGCTGAGATTATAATAGCAGCCAATTAATTTTTTCTTCTTAATAATTGGGGCAGGGATTTCATACATCTTATATAATCACTTCAGAAGTTGTGCTATACTTTTAAAAGGGTATGGACAAAGACTAGCTGAACAGTTGATCTCATTTTGAAATGATCTAGTAACATTTTAAGTTCAGGTCCTTTGAGTACTAAAAGCGAATAACAAAACTAAATTAGAGATTAAATGTTTCCTGCAGTTGCTCTAATAAATGAGTCACAACAAATGTGTTTTGATTCCTTTTTTCCTTGTTGATGCACTACAGGAGGAAGGAGGAAGCAACCAAATTAAGATTTGTTTAGCATTATATCCGTACTGTTTGTTTCTGTCTCAATATGAGTTGGGACAACTAGTAATTAGTTTAAAAAGTGACTCTAGATCCAGACTTGTTTGCACAAAACTAGAGTAAACAAATCAGGGTTTTTTTCAAATTCATACTCATCTGGAGACATTATCTAAACAATTTTCTCTGGAAAAGATTTGTTATGACAAATTAAGTCAATAATAGTAATAAGGAGAGAGCAGTGCATCAAAACTTAATTTTTTTCAAGTAGCTTGCAAAACATTTCAGCACGAGTGATGTATTAACAGCACTGTATAAGAATTTACCTTTTACTGCACAAAAAGACACTTAAGTTTAAGTTAAAGTTAAAGCTGAGTTTCCACTGCAAAAATAAATGGTTCCTCTATAACACTGTTATGTACCAGTTTCATAAACACTGTTGCCAAGTACAAGACAATACACAGTTGTTGTTTTTTTCATTTTACTTATTCCACAGTTAAAGCAATACTCCATATTTCAGCAATGCAGAAGTCTTAAGCACCATTCGGGGTTGCTCACAAGACCACTTAAAATCAGAACTAACAAATAATAGTTATGCCTATTATTTGTTAGCTTCAACTAGCATAACATAATCAACTTGTACTCAACTTGTATTCTGCCCTAACTGTGTATGTGTTGTGCTGCAACATTTAAACATGTACATGTAATGGTACACTCTAGCTCAAGGGTAGGCAACCTTGACTCTTTTATGACTCGTGGACTTCAACTCCCAGAATTCCTGAGTCAACATAGCTGGCTCAGGAATTCTGGGAGTTGAAGTCCACGAGTCATAAAAGAACCAAGATTGCCGACCCCTGCTCTAGCTACTATATATGCTTAGTACTTTTCCTCCTTTAAGAAGTTGCAAGCAATTTTACATGTTTTACATCCCCCTCCCTGTTCCCAAATACTAAACACTCACACACTGGTTTTTGTAGAATTGCTCTTAAATGATGTACTGCTCTCACTGATTTATTCTCCATTCTGTTCACAAAACAAAATGACAGTAGATTTGTTTCAAACGTAGGCATGTGACGCCTAGAAACTTTGATCGTGTTCTGAACTCTTTGTCAAGATACTTGTTTAGAAAAAGTTCCATCAGCTCTACAGAACAGACACTTTCCTCAGATGTGATAACTCCCAGTTATATGAATTAAGTTTACATCTATTATGCAAGCATACATTAGGACTTCCAAGTCAAATCTAAGGAGAGTAATCTAGACAGGTGGCCAATAAGTCACGTTAACATATCGACAGGTGAGTGTCTTGGCTGCAAGAGAAGAGCTATGAGGTATTTAATTTCTGGCTGTGATTAAAATCTCACAGATGGGTCAACAGAAAAAGCAATACTTTCACTGGTGTCTTTCATCTAGAGTTTGGATTGAATTGGAAAAAAAAAATAAGCATAACTGTCATGGTATGGCTTGCTTAAGAGTATAATTTCCAGATAGGAGAAAGTATAATTACTTGGAATTATTTATAATTACTTGAGAAAACTGAAGTCATATGATCAACTAGGAATTTCATATACTACTTCAAGTTTTTAAGGAGCTACTTGCTTCAATATCAGTAAAGAAAGAGAAAATATTAAAAAGTTCCATGCCCTTTAGTTATATCAATTTAAGGGGGACATTCTGTTTATTTTATCCCCTGATAGAGCAAGCATCAGCTTCAAGGCACAATGATCTATGATTTATGTTATCCCATCTATTTCATACATTCTTGAATTTTGCTGATGTAATTTAATTCAGAAAAGGTCTTAGTCCAAGTTAATGCTGGTTAAACAGAAGTTGTATTTTGAACCTGGAAAGGAAATCAAATTCCCTCCATAGTAATTTCCTTCTCTATTCCAGTATGAACTACATTTGTACTGATTTTAATGCAAACAAAGATCTCTCAAATAGTCTTGAGAACTTCAAACCAGGCTTTCAGTCTTAGGTTTATATTAAGACCATAATCTGAGCTGGTGTACATGTGATTCAAAAATACAATGAATATGAAGGGAGGGAAACAGGCATGCATTGCTAGCTTGTCCACATTATTATTAAATAACCAAGTTATGTCACTGAAAACAGTAAGTGTTACAATGCTTTAACACCATTGGATCATATTATAAATTATAGGCAATTCTGACAACATAATTCTTTTCAGAAGTTGAATGCCTCTGAAATTGATGGCAAGTTAAATCAAAAAGCCAATTTTCAAAATATTTCCAACAGAAAATATATTTACAAACAGATGTTCAGCGTTAAGGATACCTATGTACCTCATCAGCAGGTATAAACAGAGACTTGGAAAGTATCTTTTCAGATACTTCTCCATGCAGAATTCCTCCAGGGCATCAATATATCTGATAATTCAGAATACAAAGATAATACACAATAACCCAGAGACATTTGCTCCCAAAGCTATCAGAAATAATAAGTCTGGATCAAAGATAGTTAAGACAACAATTTAGTCTTAAACTGCTGCTGTATACACAGTACTTAGAATAAAAACAGCTACATGGAAAATAATATTCTTTACTATATTATACATCTTCATATATTAAAATATCAGTTATGGCTACTAAAGCAATGTATAAGCAACATTTAGAAATACTCTAAAACAGATTTGAAATTATCCACCCCTGCAAGCTGTTGCTCTATATCAGGCAATATAAAACAATTTTTAAAAGTTACTTACAGCTGTGTTCCATACCTACCTTGTTTTCCATTGTAGATTATATTTTTACACAAGAGATCATTATGACAAAGTACCACTGGTGAACCTAGGTTAGAGAGTCTCTCCTTCATCCATGCCATTTCATCCTGTAGAATTTGACGGCTGGGCACATCATGTAGAAATCTTTTAGAATTTGAAAAGAGTTAAGAAAAGGTTCAATGATACTTCTCAGAACTTCATGAAGATTCTCTTATTTCAGTAACGCAAGTTAAAACTTTCTGAACTCCATATACTCTAAAACTATACTTTCCTTTTACATTTTTAAACTAGAGAGGGATACTATGGTATATTCATGTATGAGCTCGGAAATAATTGTCATAGATATCGTTTAAAATACCTACCTCACATGCAACTCCTCATCTGCAAATTCTGCAGGTGCAAGAGAGAAGTACTTTCCCATCTTTATCCATAAGTTCGACTTGGGTATCCATCCATTGTGAGCATGAATAGCATGTATTTTAGCAAGTTGTCTTGCTATCAGTCTGAAATAAAATGAAATTTACATTAAAAAAAGCACTGTAATTACAAACACATTGTCTTTTATTGGTCTCAGCTCAGAACAATGAGAAATCAGTTAGGTGTATATTATTAGGACAGCAGTGGCACAGAAATTATAATTATTTTGGCACAGAAATTAGCAAATTATTTTGTTTTAAATGGGAAACTCCACGGTACCATGTTATTTTTAAAAAAGTCTTGTACATATGATAGAAAGTTGTATGAAAGAGGATGTTGAACCAGAAAGGACTTTAGTTCAAAAGGATTAACTTCATGGCAGAAAGATATCTTGACGGCTGGAACATCACCTGTTCCATTTTGTGAAAGGTTCCATAATGTTCCAAAGGGTTAGGTTATGACTGGAACCAAAAATTATTCTTCTAAAAACTGCATTGCTTCTACACCAAACAGATGTATTATCAGCACTTGGCAGCCACCTAATAAAACCTGAACTATAGGCCTGTAAGTGTTTTGCAGAATGCAGATAGCTACAAAGGGAGACAAAAATACCATTTTTCTTGTTGTAAAAAGCAAGAATATTAACAAAAGAGCAAGGAGGATCCATTATATAATACCCCAATAGTTCTACAAGCCACAAAAATCAAACTGACTCTTTGCAGTAAAACCTACAGGACATTTATTTTTCTAAAATCAGCTCATTCAATCACCTTAGAAGAAATTGGATACAGTATACATCATGTTAACCAAGTATATTTTAAGAGGTGTGGTGTGTGTGTGTGTGTGTACATACATACATACGTGTGTGTGTGTGTGTGTGTGTGTATGTGTTGTAGGATAACTTAAAGCAAGTTGGAGCAAATGACTAAGGAAAAGTATACTAAGAAGCCTTGAGTATTGTAGAGTATTCAGACATGGTTTGAATAAAGAAAGCAAAAATATTTGACAATAAAATTGTCACTCAATCACAAAACAGTGCTGCAGAACAAAAGTGGCACTGGAATAATTTTTCATCCACTAAAATCTACATCATTAAGATTTTAAGCTATTAACTAACTAGATTTTAGAACAATAATTTGTTTTCTCTGGAAATTGAGATTTATTTAATCAAAAAATACTGCAAGCACAATATTGTAGCTAACAACCTCTTTGAATAAATTGTGCATAAAAGAAGAATTGCAAAATGGTTACCGAAATATCTCTGGGTTGCAAACATGTTCTGGATCCAGAGCTTCTCCTTGCATGAACTCATAGCACAGGCCATTGCTGAAGGTGCAGTAAAGCTGGGGTGCACAACCATGGGCCTGCAGCACACGGAAGCTCTTCACTTCCTCCTCTCGATCAACTAAAAGTTCCGTCTTATTCCCGTAAATTCTAACAAGGACAACATCATCCATTTTTTCATCCATGTAACAGCCAATAAGTTTATTTGTGATTCCATCTGTAAATATCTGCAAAGAAAAAGCAGTAAGTTTGGTTTAGTGAAATAGCTGTATATAGTAATAATAATAATGATGATGATGATGTTGCTGTTGGGACCTTGGAGGTCATCTAGTCTAACTCCCTGCTCAGGCAGGAATCCCTATACTATATCTTAACTACTGTTACACTATGTTTGGGTTATGGCCTTGAAAGTAGTTTGCTTGGCAGAACTTGGTTGACCTTTTCTGAGTTCAGAAGGTAAACTGGATTGGGCCTGGCTAATACAGGTAATTCTTGACTTACAACCATTCATTTAGTGACTATTCAAAGTTATAACATCACTGAAAAAAGTGACTTATGACCGGTTTTCATGCTCATGATTGTTGCAGCATCCTCATGGTCATGTGATCAAAATTTGGGTGCTTGGTAACTGGCATTTATTTATGACAGCTGAACTGTCCCAGGGTCATGGGATTGTCATTTATAACCTTCCCAGCTGGCTTCCAACAAGCAAAGCCAGATTCTCTTAACAACCACGATTCGCTTAACAACAGTGGCAAAGTTAGTAAAATGGGTGCAGCTCCCTTGACAACTGTCTTGCTTGGCAACAGAAATTGTGGACTCTATTGTGGTCATAAGGCAAGGATTAACAGGGAGACTTATTTAACCAAGGTTGTTATGTCAATCAGGAAAGTAAAAACAAAATATTTCCATGCTCCTCTCAAGATGGATATGGATACGTCTGCTTAACTTGTCTAAGATTTAACTTTTCTCAATCAATAATACAACCCACTTTGCGGGATACAGAACAGCTGAGTAAAATTACTTCCCAATTTAGAGATATCTCCGCTAAACTTAAACATCTTTGTGAATGATGGCACTTTAGAGTCCAGTGTATCATAAAATTTATTAGTCTAACCATAACTCAATAGCAACAAAATGTAATTAGAGAAAGATTCACTAAGTGTGAAAGTATGCTGTCAAGTAAAGAGAATCATTTTATTAAGAGCAAATCTGAGTACCGGTAAATAGAAAGAACAATAAAAGAAAAGAATGCTAACAACAAAGTCATTAGGCAAGGAAGAGAATGTAGTGAAATTCAATACTTGAATCAAACGTAAACCCAATATCTACACCAGTTTAAATTGTAATTAATTGGCTTTCAGCCAGTCCATTAACAAATTTGGATATCTATTCAAGAGAGCCTTATTTAGTTTAGATGAAAAGAAATAACATCAGGAACCATAAGGAAGCCACATCCCAAAATTCAGGACAAGATCTCTTCTCCAGTGGGTTCATGTATATGAGAAGCAGCAGAGATAAAATAGAATCCAGCAGTCATCTGCAACAAAATATCAAGGAAGGTTTAGTGACCATCAGAAGTTACAATGATACTGAAAAAAGTATGAGTTTTTCACACTAACGACTGCTGCAGCATCCCCATTGGTCACATGATCAAAATTCAGACACTTGGCAACTGGCATGTATTTATGATCGTTGCAATGTCCTGGAGTCATGTGATCACCCTGGCGACCTTCTCACAAGTAAAGTCAATAGGGAAGCCAGTTTCACTCAACACAGCCATGTTACTAACTTAATTGTAGTGATTCACTTAACTGTGGCAACAGAGGTCATAAAATGGGGTGACATACACTTAACTGTCTTGCTTAGCGACAGAAATTTGGGGCTCAATTGTGGCCATAAGTGGATGAGTGCCTGTACTCTACCTGCTTAATATAAAACATTTTTGTAATATTGTCACTTTTCCAGAATGTATTTCAGTATTCCCCCTCCGTCCCGCAGTTAGATATTTTAGACAGCAGAGGCTGCTGTGGTACTTTTCAGACTATCCTGAAAAGTACCACAGCAGGTACTATGTCAGCAAATCCAAGTGCGAGAAGTTCAAGAAATGGTTGCCAGGAGAGAATATTAATAGAAGAGGAAATAATGGGTTGCTGGTAGAACCTGCCTCATGAAACATCAATCTTGACACACCCCTATCTTTATGCTACGGACAGCAAGCATTTCCATTGGAACGTAGCTATTTCTCCGTCATACACACACAGAAAATATAATTTTTCTCCCCTATTTAAATAATATAATCCCAGGCTTTACCATTGTCATCCTTTTGCAGAAATGTCCTAGGTATGAATGAGTTGCTTACAACTACTGTAATAATCATATTTAGTAATTACTAGTGCTTCCCAATAAGCTATATAAGAAAATGTATCCTCTCCCTCCTCCAATGAGTTCAAATTCTCTATTAAATTTATATACAACCGTCTGGCATTAGCTCAAGTGGGTTTCTTTGTGGCTTTAGTATATTGAGTTCTAACTACATTTTAATCTTACTATTGCACTGCCAGGACCGCAATGATGTTGGGAACTACACATGCAGAAATTATATGAAGGAATATTTCTGCATGTCAGGATACAATTGAGATGCCTATCTATCAAATTATTTATGAATATAAATTTAAGAAATTAAATGTGCAATTATGCTTCACTTGGACGCTTACGTTCCACATTTCGTACAGCATACCATAGATTTATGTCCATTAACAGAGTGAACAAAGCTTACAAATGAACTATAAGCCTGTCTCCAAAAATAATCTTTTACCCAAGAATGCAAAATTACAGATAAAGATGCTTGCATCAAATGAACTAGAAACTACCAAAATTAACTCATTTTACATAGACAGATGCATTTAAATTATTAATATTTCTAGTATTTGCTGCCTATCCAATAAAAATAGGAAGGTCAAGTTACAAGTAACCCCTCTTGTATCCAGAGCACCTGGACACAAACCTTCTGCTCTAGAGCTCCTCCTTTGGATTAGCTTACCTCTGAAACAAAGGTGGCCTGACCCCTCTTGAGGTCCTGGAACACTGTCCAGACCTGGCTCTTCTTCAGGACTTATGCAAGCTGTTCCTGAGGCCGGAGAGAGGGTGCTTAGTGAACCAGTTTTACCACATCGAGTTGTTTTTAAGTCTAATTACTGTAACTTGAAAATTACAGTATTAGCTGCTCAGCACCGCTGGACTGAAGTGTTTATCAAATATCTGTACAGATAATTGACTTATGATCACAATTGAGCCCAAAATTTCTGTTGCTAAGCAAGACAGTTAAATGAATTTTGAACCATTTTACGACCTTTATTGATTGCCACAGTTGTTACAAGTGAATCACTGCAGTTACTAGTAATATGGTTGTTATGTGAATTCGGGCTTCCTCAACTGACTTGGCTTATTAAAGGGTTACAATAGGTGATCATATGACCCTGGGACAATGCAACTGTCATAAATATGAGTTACTTTCTAAGTGTCTCTGAATTTTGATCACCTGACCCATGGGGATGCTGCCACAGCTGTAAATGTTAAAAATTAGTCACTTTTTTTCAGTGCTGTAACCTTGAATGGTCACTAAATGAACTGTTGTAAGTCAAGCACTACCTGTATTGCCCATCTCACCTGCAGGACTCTGGGTACACATCTTTACAAATAAAACGGATAAATGAATAATTCAATTTTTGAACTATGTTCTCAGTCTTTGTATGTGCACACATGGATAAACTCCCTACGCTTCAGTGGCAAGAACTGCAGTGACATCATCAGATCAGAGTCAACTCTGTGGAATGCAAGTTTAAAAGTAAGAACCGTGGTTTCTCAAGGTGCTTATGCTTCCATTCCCATCTTTATATTGCAATTTCTCTGACCTAAAACCTTCCTGCTGAAATTTACTGTAATGGTGATGTGATTTAAGATTACTTTAAGATTCTTAAAGGCTGCTTTTCTTTGGAGAGTTTTTTAAAAAATAAATAAAACTAGTCTCTCATCTTGTATTCTTTCATCCTTAACCAAAGAATTTACTATAGCACTGAAATTGAAGGGTCATTTGCTCAAGCCATTCTCTTTCTCTTAAGGCTCCTTAAAAGATGTTGAGACTCTATAAAGAGTGCAGAGAACAGCAACAAAGATGATCAGGGGACTGCAAGCTAAAACATATGAAGAACGGTTACTGGAATTGGGTATGTCTAGTTTAATGAAAAGAAGTACGAGGGGGGACATGATAGCAGTGTTCCAATATCTCAGGGGCTGCCATAAAGAAGAGGGAATCAAGCTATTTTCCAAAGCACCTGAAGGCAGGACAAGAAGCAACGGATGGAAACTAATCAAGGAGAGAAGCAACCTAGAACTAAGGAGAAACTTGCTGACAGTTAGAACAATTAACCAGTGGAACAACCTGCCTCCAGAAGCGGTGAATGCTCCAACACTGGAAGTTTTTAAGAAGAGACTGGACAGCCATTTGTCCAAAATGGTGTAGGGTTTCATGCCTGAGCAGGGGGTTGGACTAGATGACCTCCAAGGTCCATTCCAACTTTATTATTATTAATAATAATAATAATAATAAATAATACTATCTCTTCCATACCATCAAGAAACTTAAAAGCTCTTATGATCCTTAGAAGCCAATTTTTTCTATGTGTGTAAACTATTATTTAAAGGGGGGAGCTCCCGTCCTCACCTCAGCTCCTGCCAACCTAGCAGTTCAAAAGCACGCAAAAGTAAATAAATAGGTACCACTTCGTGGGAAGGTAGCAGTGCTCTTTAATGTCATGCAGGCCACAGGACCACAGAAATGTCTTCAGACAGTGCTAGCTCAATGGCCTTGAAATGGAGATAAGCACCAACTCCCACAGTCAGCAAGGACTAGGGCAGGAGTAGGCAACCTCGGCTCTTTTATGACTCATGGACTTCAACTCCCAGAATTCCTGAGCCAGCATAGCTGGCTCAGGAATTCTGGGAATAGAAGTCCATGAGTCATAAAAGAGGCAAGGTTGTCTACCCCTGCCCTAGGAGACTAAAATCTGAAGGGACTCCTTTACCTTTTTTACACTATCATTTTTCCTCAATACAAAGCCACATTCACTGATCGATCACCGCTGTGTATCAAATCTAAAAGCACGAAAGCCAACTAGGGGTCTTAGGTCAGTCACTCTCAGTTCAATACACCTCACAGGTGTATTGTTGTTGTTGTGGAGAAAAGAGGAGGAGGAAGTATTAGGTATGCCCTCAGTTATTTATAAAAATAAAGGCGGGAGACAAATAAATATTTCACATTTGTCTGATGTAGTAATGAGTAACTGATTCATGTCTAATACAACAGCAGATCCTACATTGCAAAGTGACTATGATGTAATGTAAAATACAAGTCAGCAATGTTTGCTATTAATAGCATAACATATTTTCCGTCATTTTTGTGGCCCTAAGCATGCACCTACTCCGTAATGAGTAACTGGTATGTCAAAAATTGTCAGCCTTTATTCACAAACAAGGTATTTTTTTACTAATCCATTTAAATTCTTTTTGCAGATATAGCTTTATAGCTTAAAATACTTTGAGTAAGATACCAATATTATTAAAAAAAAGATATGTTAGTATAATGTAGAAGTGTATTTTACAGATTTTGAAAGACTTCATTGTGGTATCTGTAAGTTCTTGACCAGGACCAGTAGACATTTAAGAAAGCTTAAATGTACGCAATTAATATAAATATATTTGTAATTTATGATAGATTTTCAACACAACTATAAACATATCCATTTCTATTAAAACATATAGCGTAAATATTTGACCTAAATGAGGAAAAAAAGGTTCTAACTATTTTTAAACAGTAATTCAATTATCCATGTTGAGTTGTAGGAAAACTTACAAGGATACAGGTCTTCACCAACTGTTTTAATTACATTATTGCTTCTTTTTTACTTGTTTATTGTGAATCTCAATTTTGTGATGACTTTCAATTTTGGAACAACACATCTACAATTATAACATGCAACCTATTTTTCTATGTTTATTATTTAAATGTATATGCTGCCTGACTCTCAGAAAAAGTATTTTCAAAAATCTAGCTGAAACCAATAAAATAGGTAGTGCCCAAGCTCATAATAACACTCAGCTTCCTAAACTGATGTAATGTAGTAAATTATTCTTTTCCAAAGCAACCACATTATCACCTAGCCCACGTATAAAAAAAATTATCTCTACTCTTATCTTTTTCTAAATGTGGTCATTGAGGCATAGGAGCAATTTCCACTGAAACAGTAATATGAATGAACAAATGCAATTAATTAGTGTTGGAACAGATATCTACTTGTAAAATGAAGTACAAATGTATCTATTTGAAATATACCCAAACTTATACATGTTCAATTTTTCAATGTAAATGAAAGCCACTGTTTGGGATTATAATGTTCCAGGGTTTAGAACCAACAGAAGAAATGTTTTGGATATGCTTTATGGAGTTTTACTTTCCTTGAGAGCACTTTAATTAAAATGTTTTAGCACTTAAGTACAAGAAATCAATGCTCCCTATAATATGCAACATGGGTAAAAACTTCAGTATATTTGATAATTAATTGACCACTTAAAGTCTACTATTGTATTAAAAATATTTTGTATTCTCAAAAAGGTTCTGCAAATTTTGATATTAAAAATTCCATAAAAGAAAATTACTTTGAAACAATGTAATTAAACAAGCGATTAAAGAGTTACCATAAAGCTCATCATAGTACTTTAAAAATACATGTTTTTGCATAATTTGTGTTGTCTATGAACTACATTTGTAATAAACCTTTTCACAGCCCTGAAAATATTTAGTATAAACTGATTAATCGTATTCTTTCAGAATTTTATTTTTAACTTTCAAATATAATTGCTATATTATATTTGATTATTATATTCCATTTAAAGTTTCATTATTACTTTAATACCAATATGGAATTTTACTGAGAACAAGTCACATTTTTAAAAAGTATTTTATATATGTAGTACAAAAGAAATTGGATAAGTGAGGTTCTTTGAAAAGAAACTGAAGAAGGGAATATAAGACTACATTTACAGCCTGTTATTTTCCAGCTATGAAAGGCTAGGAATTCATCTTTAGTCAGGCACATCTGCAAGAGAAGAAATTTTATTGAAACAAAGGTAATGGCCTAAGCTTGCCCAGGTGCTTTCCTCCTGGGTGAATACAATTATCTCTGGAAAGGCTAACATTTTATTTTAAAGTAAAATAATTAACCCTTGCAGTAAGCATTCTAATAGACATTCAATTTTTATACCATTACAACTTTAATATATAGGAGGATTTATTTTGTGGACATATTGGTGCTCTTTGAGCTTGTCTGCTTGCAGATGTTTCATTACCCAACTATGTAACATCATCAAATCACCAAGCCCAGAGAGCACCAAAACATATTTAAAGGGTACAATCAGGAAATCCTCCATTCTTCCTTGTTCACATTGCGTTCACCCAGATGTGCATGTGTATGACAATGGCAGAACAATAGCTTTAACGCTTAAAGATTAACAGCATGAATCTAGAAGCATCTTAAAGATTAACAGAGCTATGATGCAAGCTTAGGCATTCAGCTTCGATATGATACCTGTACAAAACCGTTCAAACTCAATCAGAAGGCTAATCAGGACAATGGATGCAAAAATAAAGACTTGTGCTTTTAACACACCACACTTTTAGTCACTTGCCCTGGAAAGAGATAAAAAAGGCTGCTGTCATGACACTCCCAGAAGCCGGGATGGCTAAGCTGCTTTCTCACCACTACAGAACTGGATGCTTGGGGGGGGGGGAAAGAACCCCACATTCATTCCGCCTAAACTTAGCTCGTGTGAGTGTGTGTGTGTCCTTGTGTGTGTATGTGTGTCCGTGTCCCAAGCCACTAGCCAGGGTATCATTCTTTCGAAATGGGTGGAAAAGCCGTGCCAAACTTCCAACCATCCCAGTTTGGGCGTTTGGAGGGGGGGGGAGAAGGAAAAAAAATCCCTTTTTCTTTTTCCCTCCCTTTGCGGGAAAGCAACTGAGAAACGGCAAGGCAAACGAGCCAAGCCGCTCCGTTCCCCACCCACCTCCAGACACGCTCCCTTGACACGCGTCGCAGGCAAGTCAGAAAGGCGACGCGGCGGTGTCTCCTCGTCCCTTTCCCGGCAGCCGAGCCGAGTCCGGGGCAGCGAGGGGGCTTCCCGGGGAAGGGGCGCCTCCTTCCCTCCATCTTCCCCAGGCGTTCTGCCCTCCTCCCCGCCGCCTGCCAGAGGCGCCAGACTCCCAATTCCCACCGCACCCCAGTGGGGCGGGAGACGGGCATGGCCGTCTGAGAGGGGCGTCTGACTGGGGAGCGGCGGGGCCCAGCTGGCTGCTCAGCCTCGGAGCGGCGAGAAAGGCGACCGAGGGGGACGGGGAGGGGGAAGACTCGCCTTGGTTCATTCCGGGCCCGCCCGCCCCTCCCTCCCTCCCCAGCCCCTCGCAGGCCACCGCCGCACCCCCTTCGCAGCCGTCGGGCCGCCGCCCTGGGCTTTACCTTCAGCGTCACCTCCTCAGGCTTCCAGTCGGGCCTAAGCCGGCGGAGCAGCTCCAGGGCCCCGCGGCGGTAGCCCGGCTTGCCGCCGCCTGAAGGGTCCCTCTCGCTGACGAAGATGTCCAGCTTGGGTACCTCAGGCGAGCCCGACGGGACATGGATGTAGTTGGCCATGGAGAAGACGACGAGACGACGACGAGAGGGGAAAAAAAAGAGAGAAAAGAGCGAGCGTGTGAGGCTTCTGAGGGAAAAAAACGGCGGCGGCAACTGCGGCGTCACGCGAGCTGCGCAGCCGGCAAATGAAAGGCGCGAGACCGGCGGCGAAGGAAAGGAAGGGCTTCTCTCCTGCCCCGCCCCCTTTGCGCTACGACCAGAGGCTCCGCCCCTTTATTGGAAAGGCACCACGCAGGCGTCGCTCCGGCGCAAAGCAGCCTGGGAAAAACGAGGAGCAGCGAGTCCCCTGCCTTCTTTGCGGCAGAGGGGCTGCTTTTCGCCCGGACCGGGGAGGGGAGGTGAAGAGAAAATGGGGGACGGGTGTCTCTGATATTGATATTTAGTATGGCTAAGATGAAGGGTTGTTGGTTTTTTTTTTTGCCTGGAATTGGGAATGCGGACCGAAACGGGCAACTCCGCTTTCGGCCAGTGTTTCCCAGCCTTGGTAACTTTTAAGATGAGTTGGCTTCCCAGAATTCCCCAGCCAGCCGTGAATTGTTAAAGCAGCTTGGGAGAGAAACTGGGTGGGTCCAAGTGATGATATAGCGTAGGGGTCTTCAAATTTGGCCCTTTTATGACTTGGCTTCAACTCCCAGAATTCCTCTGCCAGGCTGGATGAGGAATTCTGGGAGTTGAAGTCCACAAGTCATAAAAGGACCAAGTTTGAAGACCCCTGACATAGCGCTTTTTTGAGAGAAGGAAAAAGCACCCCACCCCTAAGCCTCAAGGGGGGGGGGCAGTGGTGGAACTCAATTCTGGATTATTATGCAATTTCCTTTCACTCTCAGCTCCTGCGTGGGACATTAACAACCTCGATGCCAGCAAGTTATGGAGCTGCTCAGAAAATAGCTGGAGGTGCCCAACTGTCTAGTGATGAGATGAAAATCGGAACACGTCATAGTATGTCTAAAGAAAGGCAATGGTTGGATGGCTGACTAAAATAGCATTCAACGCATTTAGTTATTTTTTTTAACTCCCTTTTAATTGATCAAAGTTTACCGGCTTATCTGGTTTAAATGTCAGTATTTCTTCATCAAGCAATGACAAAGTTTTAGGATTTCCAGCATCTTAGGCAGGGGTCTTCAAACTTGGTCCTTTGATGACCTGTGGACTTCAACTCCCAGAATTCCTCAGCCAGTGTGCCTGGCTGAGGAATTCTGGGAGTTGAAATCCACAAGTCAAAAGGGCCAAGTTTGAAGACCCCTGATCTTAGGTTTTCAGCTTTTGAAGGATTAGCCACAGGTGAACAGGTGTATGCTTTGGGGGGAGGGGGAAACCTGGTAGACCAAATACACTCTGGCTATTCAGTCATTTGAACAATAAAAATGTTAGGAATTGCATGTTCATTAAATATGCAGCCAGACACAAAATACATGCTTTATTTGTTTATTAATCAAAATTAGCCGTCCAATTGTCATGAAATGACTCTTGCATAAATGCAGCGGGTTGCTGTGCTTTGACCCAAATGGATCTTCCAGGTGCTCCAGTAGTTACTGAGACAAACATGCAGCGCAAAAGGATATGTACAATATGACATTCAAATAAAGACCTTGCTCTCTGATGCTGGGAACAATGGAAGGAAACAGAAGAGGATGGCCAGCAGGAAGGTGGATTGACTCAATTACAGTGATGATCGGTCCATTGTTGGAAGACCTGAAGAAACAGGCTGGGGATAGATCCTTCTGGAGGAAAATCTGTGGTTTCTAAGAGCCAACACAAACTTAACATACACAATCAATGCAACAATCAGGATGAAGTCGTTTATCAGCAAGCAAAAGTGATTTCCAATATTTGCCCATATCCATTTGCCCCATCCTGATTACAAAATTCAATCCCTACCCTCAGAGTCGGTTGCTATTCTAAAACAAGACTAGAATAAACTTGGGTAACCAAAGCCATGATTAACATGGGATGGGAGAGAGAGTGTAGCACATCACAAAATAGGCTCAGTTGGGTTTTAGGAAGAAAGGGCAGGGGTCCGACTTCAGTGGTCTGTATATTTTAGCATTTGCACTACAATTTTCATCTTCCCCACTTCAGAATGGTAGGAAACCATCTCGGTTTTCAGCAGTTAACGGCCAGAGGAATCACCCAGAACTACAAGTTGCTCGTAGTTGCTTTAGAGCAGGGGTAGGCAACCTTGGCTCTTTTATGACTCGTGGACTTCAACTCCCAGAATTCCTGAGCCAGCCATGCTGAGGGGAGAGGGAGAAGTTTCCATGCTTAGCCATGCTGGCTCAGGAATTCTGGGAGTTGAAGTCCACGAGTCATAAAAGAGCCAAGGTTGCCTATCCCTGATCTGGGGGGGACTGGAAGTGGAGGACACAATGCTACGCTGGGTCTCCTCCTTCCTCTGGGGCTGGTCCCAGTTTATTTGTTATATTTAGATGATCTCAAGTCTTTGGAAAAGTCAGTGACTCCCTTGCTTTTAGGCGAAGCAGTTCTAGGGTGGGTGGGTAAGTCCCATGCACTTCTGAATCTGCTCCACATAGACAAGACAGACGGGCCGTCTCCACGTCATCCCAAATGGCCAGATACAAACAAGAGAGCAACGGTTTCTGCTGGACAAGTAGAACATACATGTTAACACCTACACTGGAGAAATGAACCATAGGCCCTCCCTCCTGACTAGAGAGAACAAAGGTTTAGTCCAAAGAGAACAAAAGTAGGCAACCTTGGCTCTTTTATGACTCGTGGACTTCAACTCCCAGAATTCCGGAGCCAGCATGGCTCAGCTTGGAAACCTATCCCTTTCCCCTCAGCATGGCTGGCTCAGGAATTCTGGGAGTTGAAGTCCACGAGTCATAAAAGAGCCAAGTTTCCTATCATCTAGGGCAGGGGTAGGCAACCTTGGCTCTTTTATGACTCGTGCACTTCCAGAATTCCTTAGTCAGCCATGCTGAGGGGAAAGGGAAAGGTTTCCATGCTTAGCCAAGCTGGCTCGGGAATTCTGGGAATTGAAGTCCACAAGTCATAAAAGAGCCAAGGTTGCCTGCCCCTGGCCTAGAAAATGCACACTGCGGCCTGAAGTTGAAGGAAAGGCTCAGGCTAAAAGCTCCTAGATATAGTCCTGGCCTCTCCTGAGGGGCTGAGAAAGGTTCCATATTAAACTCTCGAAAAGCTGTTGCTTAATAGAGTCAGGACATAGATTAATGAACAGTCTGAGTGGGTAAAAGCAGTTTCCCATGTTCCCGTTCTAAAACACTGTGGACCTCATTCCCTTTTCAGCTAACAAATCATGAGGAAGAATCAATTGTATGCAAAAGGTGATACTGTAAGAACATTTTTAGAATGCTGTGCAATGTTTCTGTTGTGGAATACAGCATGGAAATATAAACACACACAGAGAGAGATGGAAATACCGGTCTATACGCTTCACCTGGTAGTAAAAACACCAGTTTTGTGACATGGCAAAAAATAAAAGCTTAAGCCAGGGCTCTCCAAACTTGGCCCTGTTACGACTTGTGGACTTCAACTCCCAAAATTCCTCAATCAGCATGCCTGGCTGAGGAATTCTGGGAGTTGAAGCCCACAAGTCACAAATGGGCCAAGTTTGAAGACCCCTTAACGCACATTTTAGCCATCTTAAAACCACTAGATGTTGCATGTATCTCTGCAACAGGCATTCCTTAATTAATTTAACCTAACTTGAATCACTTTTTCTGGGTTGACATGTTAATTAATCAACATTAGGTTACAGTTCTGGTTCTTGAGTACCAATGGGTCAAAGTAGGTGATTGGGAAGGCCGTTGCTCCCATCCGTTGCCTTGCAGAGAGACTGATTGCCAGTGGAGGTGGGACACGGATGGCCCTGAAAGAGCCAATGGGAAACTCCTTATCCTTTGGTGACAGAGTTGGCTAATCCCTGTTTGGTTAATTGCTATCATTTAGAAACCTCTCCATTTCTGGATTAACATGAAAGCTGCCTCTTTGAAAACAGTTATCTCCTTGTGTACATATAAAAGACGGCATGCACCTTATAAAGTTCCAAAACAACTTTAAAGAATTCAACATTCTAGGAGTCGCCAAGATTGAGAAACACCACTCTATTCTCCTTTTCAAAGACCTGTAAAAACTTGGCTCTTCAAAGAATTATTCGGGGCTGTTTGAGGATTCGGTCGCCCTTAGCATATTCCCCAAATCCTGCACGCATTTTTCACACAATTTTCAAACTACGTAGACGGACTGGCAAAAATGTGAACGACTCATTACAGCTATGAAAATTATTCATTAGCTCAGCATACATGCTTGCTCCATTTCCGAAGACTAAGCAACTTAGAAATAACAACATACAGCAGTGATGGCGAACCTTTTAGAGACCGAGTGCCCAAAAACCGGCCCGGCCCCTGCTCCGCCTGCCCGCAGGGCCACTCACCACAGATTGCTCAGGCAGCCTTGCAGCGCCATGGCGGCCACGGCCTCCGCCCGCACCCCACAGTATCATCTGCAGGTGATAGGGCATGAGGGAGGAGCCTTGCCCCTGCTGCCTGGCTGCCATGTGCTTGGCTGCGCTTCTCCATGTGGGCCGCGCCTAGTGGAGCCTCTCCTCCGGGCAGGCTGCTGGTGAGGAGGGGGTTGTGGGGGGATGCGGGGCTGGGGCAACAGCGCACATGCCCACAGAGAGGGCTCCAAGTGCCATCTCTGACATACAGTATAAAAAAAATCAGAAACATAAACTACGGAATTCTGATGCTCACCATTTGGGTGAAGGTATTCTGGAAGTTGAAGACCACGGATCTCAGAGTAGCTAAAGAAGTAGATAGATAGATAGATAGATAGATAGATAGATAGATAGATAGATAGATAGATAGATAGGTGGGTGGGTGGGTGGGTGGGTGGGTGGGTGGGTGGGTGGGTGGGTAGGTAGGTAGGTGGGTGGGTGGGTAGGTAGATAGATAGGTGGGTGGGTGGGTGGGTGGGTAGGTAGGTAGGTAGGTAGATGGGTGGGTGGGTGGGTGGGTAGGTAGGTAGGTAGATAGATAGATGGGTGGGTAGGTAGGTAGGTAGGTAGGTAGGTAGGTAGGTAGGTGGATGGGTGGGTGGGTAGGTAGGTAGGTGGATGGATGGATGGATGGGTGGGTTAGGTAGGTAGATAGATAGGTGGGTGTGTGGGTGGGTGGGTGGGTGGGTAGGTAGGTAGATAGATAGATAGATAGATAGATAGATAGATAGATAGATAGATAGATAGATAGATAGATAGATAACCTTTATTGCCATTTTTTACTGTGAGCAAATGGCACACATTAAAAATGAAATCTAGTTGCTTGTTCTCAAAGTGTACACATGCATAACACACACTTAAACATACTATATACAACATAGGTATAGACCTACACCCTTACGTATAAGTAACATATAAATATTAATCACTGTCCAATTTGAATACATAACGGAAGGAGGAAGCTAACCCTAACACTGTAATAAAGAATTGCCCAGACCAGCCAGCTTCCTTTTTTTCCTAAAAAGAGTATGTAAATTAATCTTAAGCAAATTTATTCAAACCAGAAGCTAGCACTAATTAAGACAAACATCAAGCAAAGGAGGAAGGTGTGATAGAACTGAATGTTTACATTTGACGGACAGATGTTTCACACTGTTTTATTTTGTGTAATTTTGATACTACCTTTATTTTATTGGGCAGCTATTATTTTTGAGGAGTGTTTTGCTTGGCAATGTTTTGGATGGTTATCTGCTCACAGCCTTTAGGAATGGGTGGCATACCAGATAAATAAATATTTTAGTAAAAGTTACTACTTAGAATTTACTTTTCTGCACTGATCATAATATAGAAATCAAATTCAATTCCTCATATAATAGTATTTTCTATTCTGCAGCTGAACTCAAGCAGTTAAAAATATAATTGGGGTTAGGGAAATGATTAATGAAAGTTGATCATTATCTGGTGGAAAAATGTGCATTTACATAGAAAAAATTAACCCTAAAGGAATAATTCAAGCAAGCTAGCATCAACTCCTATTCAGTTATTACTGGTTTCAGAGTAATTTACAACCAACTGACACATCTTAAATTATTGCCAGAATCCATGCATAGTTGTATAATAGTTAGTGCCTTTCATTTTTACTTTGATTATAGAGTTTTTGAAACATCTTCCAGTTTAAAGTTCTTTTCTTTTGTTGGGCTGATAAGATTCCTGCAACTGTCCCTGCCACATTTCTTCTGGTTTCTGTTGGCTTTGTTTTTATGATATTTAAGGATTTGGCTTGTCTTTTTAAGTTGATGAACTGTTTTTGAGTGAGTCGATTTATATCAAAGTATTATGTTATTATGCCCAAATCATTATAGCCAAACTCAGGCTTAAGATGAATCTGTCTACTTTCTTTTCTGTCTACTCACACTTAGTGAGTCCGTACTGTGAATTTGTAGGCCACCGTGTATTTTGCAATGCCATTACAAACCAGATTTTTTTTACAAGTTCCACTGGACATCACTTCAAATTCTCTTTAGAGAGTCTTTGGTACTCGCTGAGATTGATTGTTTTCTTGCAGACATTTCATCACCAAACTAAGTAACATCAATGCTAGAAGCACTGATATTGTCACCTAGTTGGGTAATGAGACATCTTCAAGAAAACAATCAAGCTCAGAGAGCACAAAGGACCCCCCAGTTCAATCCTGAGCTACAAATATTCTCGGGAATGGGAATGGGATGGAATAGAATACTGTAAATAGACAGAGACCAAAGCCCACTCCCTTTTAGCACTGATAATGTTATCTAGTTTGGTAATGAAACATCTCCAAGAAAATGTCCAAGCTCAGAGAGCACCAAGGACCCCCCAATTCAACTCTGAACTGCAAATATTCTGTTCTATCAAAATTTTCCTTGTGGGTCTGTACTGAGGCTCTTTCAACATTAAGAAAACCAAGATCATGGCATCCGGCCCTCTCAATTCCTGGCAAATAGATGGGGAAGAAATGGAGGTAGTGACAGATTTTATTTTTCTGGGCTCAAAGATCACCTCAGATGGGGACTGAAGCCAAGAAATTAAAAGACGCTTGCTCCTGGGGAGGAAAGCTATGGCAAATCTAGACAGCATACTAAAAAGCAGAGACATCACCCTGCCAACAAAAGTACGTATAGTCAAGGCCATGGTTTTCCCAGTGGCAATGTATGGCTGTGAAAGTTGGACAATAAGAAAGGCTGAGCGCCAAAGAATTGAGGCCTTTGAACTATGGTGCTGGAGAAGACTCCTGCGAGTCCCCTGGACTGCAAGGCGATCAAACCGGTCAGTCCTAGAGGAGATCAACCCCGACTGCTCTTTAGAAGGCCAGATCCTGAAGTGGAAACTCAAGTACTTTGGCCACCTAATGAGAAGGAAGGACTCACTGGAGAAGAGCCTGACGCTGGGAAAGATGGAGGGCAATAGAAGAAGGGGACGACAGAGAATGAGATGGCTGGATGGAGTCCCTGAAGCAGTAGGTGTGAACTTCAGTGGACTCCAGAAGATGGTAGAGGACAGGAAGACCTGGAGGAACGTTGTCCATGGGGTCGCGATGGGTCGGACACGACTTCGCAATTAACAACAACAACTGAGGCTCTTAAAGTTCTCTTCAATACATTAGGACTCTGAATTAAGAGTTTCACTCAATATCTTCTTGGCTTTCCACATTAGCAACCTGAAGCTCTAAGTCACCCTACTTCCTCAGGCAATTTTTACAAAATCAGGGATACCTTCACTAACTCTCCTGAATTTTTTTGTTCTGCCTTTCACTCTCACACTGGGTCAGTGCTTATTTCAGCATGGCCATATCCCATTTATTCATCCAAATCATCCATCCAAACAATGAATCCTTGTTTTATTTTGCTTTACAAAGAACGTATACAGAGATTTAAGAAACAAAGCAGCTTTCTTTCAAAATGCTGAAAAAGGCTTACCCAAAGTAAGCCATTGCTATTTCTGGTTGAAGTTCAACGAATGGTTGTATCTTGGTGTAGCCTAACCCGTAGAAAGGAAGGCGCAAGGAAGGCAAGAGGTCATAGAGAAGGATGATGAGGGAAAGTGGTAAGAAAAGAATAAGTACTGTATTCTTGAAAAATCTCTGGAAGCTCCAGTTGGTTCGAAATGCAACAGCCCCCATGGTTTTGTGCAAGTCTAGATTTGCTAATATGTCGCCTCTCTTTAGAGGTACCAATTTGTTTCTGGGTCCAATTCAAGGTGTTTGTTGTCACCTTTAAAACTCTACATGGCTTGAGGCCAGGTTATTTGAAGGACCGTCTTCTCTCAGTTACATTTACCTGACCCATCAGAGCAGGGATTCAGGCATCGTTATGGGTCTATTCTCTTAAGGAGGTCCATCTAGCAGGACCAAGGAGGGCCTTCTTTGTGGTGGGTCCTTTCCTGTGGAACATCATCCCTGCAGAAATGGGATTAGCCCTGACTTTGACACTCTTTTTCAAGACCTGGGGCTCCCAGGGCATTACAGAGCCCATCAAATCTCCAAGGTCCCTTTCAACTCTATTGCCTCCAGAAGCTGTGAATGCTCCAACACTGGAAGTTTTTAAGAAGTGACTGGACAGCCATTTCTCTTAAATGGTATAGGGTTTCCTGTCTGAGAAGTGGGTTGGACTAGATGACCTCCAAGGTGCCATCCAACTTTTTTAAAAAAATATTTTTGTTGTTGTTGTTATTATTTTTATTATTATTGATCATCGCACAGTCAGCCAGATGTTCAGACTGGATTTGGCATTTTTGTCTATCAAGTCCTTCCCAAGGACCTGAGAAAGGCAGATGTGGATGTTTGATGGTATTACAGATATCGTCGCAGGATGGAAGCAGTTCCTAGTAAGGCCGCCTTTTGCAGTTGACTAATGGCGAATTTGTCAATGCCAATGGTGCTCCAGTTGTTTTGGGATTGCACCCAAGGCACCTATGACTATTGGTACTACCCTTGTTTGCCTTTGCCACAGTCTTTCTATTTGTAAGTCTTTGTATCTTGTTATCTTCTCCAGTTCTTTCTATTATTATTATTATATTGTTGTTGTTGTTGTTGTTATTGATTTGATTGTTAGTGCTGGGGAGTTTCTGTAAGCTGCCAAGTGGTCTTGAGTGAGTTAATATAGATTTTCTTCATACATAAAAGTTCCTTAAGAACTTCCTGAATCAGTACAGCTGGAAAGAAATGACTCTTGCAGTCCGCGATTGATCTATTCAGATATGGGATTGGACGAGGCAGGAAATAGATTGAAAAGAGAAAAACAGACCCCCGTGGAGGTGAAGTAGCTGGACTTTCCTCCTCCTCCTCCTCCTCCTCCTCTTCACCGCAGCATCTCTTTCTTTTTAAACGTGACCTTTAATTTCTTGCTTTTCTGACATCTCTATGAACCCATAACAAGTCACATTCTCCAGGTCCCTTAACAGATTATTTTTCAGTGCTGTTCCAACTTGTTTCTGCTTGATTCTCTGTGATTAGCCACGACCTCTGTAGTTGGGGGTTCAACCTGCATTGGTTGGGGGGGGGTAGAAGGAGGAGGAGGGGAATATGAGAAAAGAACAGGGGTCTGAGTTCTTGAAACATTACACTGAAAATAAGCAAAGATTCTAACTTAAGCACGGGTTCCATATGTTTTCACCTTGGCATTTCTAGCAGATTTCTAGGCTTGCCAAACTTAAACATTCATGTATTCATGTATGTTTGCCCATATTTAGGTGGTGTTATTATTATTGGACTGGTCAACTCTGGGTAGTGAACATATGTTGAACATAGGAGGAGGTTAATGCTTTCACCTATTTTCCCCACAACGACAACCCTGTGAGGTGGGTTGGGCTGAGAGAAAGTGACTGGCCCAAGGTCACCCAGCTGGCTTTTGTGCCTGTAGAAGGAATGGAACTTACACTTTTGATGCAAATATGGATATAAAAGAATTTGCAAGAAGACGTAAGATGGAAGAAGTCACAAGAATGTGAGTAAAGAGAAAAGCTTTTGTCCTTGTCCAGGGGTAGGCAACCTTGGCTCTTTTATGACTCGTGGACTTCAACTCCCAGAATTCCTGAGCTAGCCATGCTGAGGGAAAGGGAGAGGTTTCCAAGCTGAGCCATGCTGGCTCAGGAATTCTGGCAGTTGAAGTCCATGAGTCATAAAGCAGCCTAGGCCTAGGCCAGAGATAGGCAACCTTGGCTTTTATGACTGGTGGACTTCAACTCCCAGAATTCCTGAGCTACCCATGCTGAGGGAAAGGGAGGTTTCCATGCTTAGCCATGCTGGCTCGGGAATTCTGGGAGTTGAAGTCCATGAGTCATAAAGCGGCCTAGGCCAGAGGTAGGCAACCTTGGCTCTTTTATGACTCATGGACTTCAACTCCCAGAATTCCTGAGCTAGCCATGCTGAGGGAAAGGGAAAGGTTTCCAAGCTGAGCCATGCTGGCTCAGGAATTCTGGGAGTTGAAGTCCACGAGTCATAAAAGAGCCAAGGTTGCCTACCCCTGTGACCTTGTCTAATATTAACTGAATTTGGGACTAAAATGAATCTTCATTAGCCCTGTTAGGTAGACCAGTGAAGAAAATTAATTCCATAGGAACACTAGAACTTCATTTCAGTGAGAGACGCTACAAAAGCAGAATCTGGCAAATCTGTTTGTACTTTATTCCGTGCCTTCTAATATCCCAGGGAATCAGGAAGGCCTTTGCATAAGCCTCTTCTGAATATTATCTTGTTTCTCACGGCTTAAAGAACATTTCGGCTTTCTTTGCCTAGGTCAGTCTTTCTCAATCTTGACAACTCAGGATATCAACTCCTAGATTTCCCCAGCCAGCATGGAGAATATTGCATATTTCTGTCAAGGTCATCTTCTTTACTCTGTACAATCTTCTGGAGGAAGGCATTCTAGAAATCAAGTCTCACTGTGATACTGTAAGAGCCTCAATGGTTATTATTGCTCAAATCTTTAATATATCTTAGTTTTGGACCTCCTTCCCTTCCTCCCTTCTCTATTTCTTTCCTTCCCCCTCCCTCCCCATTTCTCTCCTTTCTTCCTTCCTTCCTCCCACCCTCCCTCTATTTCTTTCCCTCTCCCTCCCCATTTCTCTCCTCCCTTCCTCCCTCCCTTCTCTATTTTTCCTTCCCCCTCCCTCCCCATTTCTCTCCTTCCTTCCTTCCTTCTGTCGGAAGAAATGTCATCATCGTGGTTCATCCAAGCTGGGAATAAACATGGCAACTGTTTTGGGAAGAAGGTTGTAGTTTATTGGAGAGGAGACCAGACAGGAAGATGGTTCTGGCAGCAAGAGAAGTGAAAAAAAAGGGGTGAGCACATGTAGGAAGAGGATTTTTATACCCTCTAGAGCCTTTTGTTTGGAGTTATTTCCTGTTCCTGTTTTGAGGCTATCTCCTGTGTCATGTATTCTGACCTGAGTTTGGGTGTGCCCTTTGGCCTTTGTGAGTCAATCCTACCATGTCCTGTCTCAGGTGGGGTATGCAGATTTTAGGTCTTTGTCTTCCTAATCTCCTAGCTCCAACTTTCCTGATGGTTTACATCTGCATTTGTACAGAGCTGGCTTCTGCTTGGGGGAGGGAGACCTGGGGCTATCAAGAAAACTGGACATGCTTTCCTGCCTCTTCAAGATCCTTTGAGAAAATATATTTTCTTGCCCTTTTAATATTTCCTTCTCTGGGGGCTGACTTTCCACATTTCCTTCCTTCCTTCCTTCCTTCCTTCCTTCCTTCCTTCCTTCCTTCCTTCCTTCCTTCCTTCCTTCCTTCCTTCCTTCCTTCTTTCCTTCCTTCCTTCCCTCCCTCCCTCCCTCCCTCCCTCCCTCCCTCCCTCCCTATTTATCTTCCCCTTATAACTCACTCCTGAAATCCCAAAACACACTAGGCAACATACAATATCAAAGAGCAAATAAAACAGCTTTAAGTCGCTTGCAGAAAAGCAATAAAGTGGAGGTTTGCACGAAGAGAATTCCACAAGATGAGGGCTGCTACGTGTTACCCATACCCTGTGTGCCTCATGGAGAGAGGCAATTCTCTGGATGCCCCCTCTCAGCTGGCTCTATCGTTGAAATAATGTTGAATTATATTATGATCTGAGCATAAAGATCCCAAAGGGAGCATAAATAGGTTAAGTATTTACAGCTTATCTGTCCAGTCAGTCTAGAAACATGGTCTGAATTTAGTCTTCCAGTACAACATTCTTATGTGTGCCTGCTGTCATATATTATTGAATACGTTCCTTCAAAAATCTAGCAGATCAGTAAGGATTGCTCTGAACTTTATTGCCTTGTGCAAACAAGGATAATCTTCAAAGTGGTCATTTACTATCTACTGATGACTAGGACAGTGTCCTAAATGTGCCTTAGAAAAGTCAGATGTTTCTCACCTTTCTGTTCTCTACAGCAGTTGCCCCATCTATCACCTCTCAAAAGGAGTTAAATGTTTCTCCACCCACCCGCAGTATCCAGCAAAAACTTGCTGTGTCCTTAAGCACAAAAGTATTATATTATTGAGGTGATTACAAGGCATTTACTTGAGGAAAGGAAAGAAGTGACCTATATTTAAGTGGAAAAAGCTCTCAGTCATATAATGAATGATGGGGATTTAAAATACACAAAATGCTGTACGGTAAATATCTTGAACTGGGCATAGACTGTGGGGTTCTTATCCAGATTCTTCCAGAAGAAACTGGATAAAGCCATCACTATACTAAGCAGGAGGTAACCAACAACACGAGGAGTTTTGAAGAGGGAATAAATTAATTCAAAAAGGAAGAATTCACCACTGGCTGCCTGCCATGTAATTTTAAGTCCAGCTCCAGGATCACGGACAAAAGATCTCTGCATATTAGCAAAGAGGATAAGGCCTGTACCTCTATGTTGCATGTTTTACTTCAGAAGGCCACCTGAAGAGACTAGAAGCATTTGAAATGCGGATTTACAGGTGGCTGTTACATATAAGCTGGGTTGACAAGATCAGAAATGAGATGATAAGCCACCTGGAAAGCCAAGGGAAATCATCAAAACAATTAAAAAACGAAAATTAGAATATTTCGGACATGTGATGAGACACCTAGAAAAATACAGCATACTCCATTTAATCCTCCAGGGAAAGATTGAAGGCAAATAAGGTCCAGGCAGAAGAAGAACATCGTGGCTTCAAAATCTAAGGGACCGGTTTGGACAAAACTCAGCAGCACTTTTTCGTGCAGCTGCTGATAAAAACAGGATCGCCAACATGATCGCCAACGTCCGGTAATGGATATGGTACTACAACAAGAAGAAAAATAGGCTTCTGGTTAGTCATAATAGGAAACAAGATACAGCTCTAGAAAATAAAGAGGAGGTAGATTATCTGTTGCAATTTGGAAACAGTATGAGCAACAGGATTATGACAATCTCCTTACCTTCTAAGCCACCTGGCAGATTTGTAACGTAAAATCAATACATCATAAATAGATGCACTGAGGCAAGGGTTTTTCCAGGGCTTTCGACATCCAGGAAAGATGAGCTAAGAGTTGCAGAGGTGAACTCTGTGACTTCTTCAGCGTTTTGTGTAGGAATAGATGCTCATAAGGCAGATCGCTTGGCACTTACGCTTGGCTCATTCACGGGAATTTTGATTCTGCGTTTTACTGATAGGCCTTTAAGTGGGTCACAACATTCTAGAGATGATTCACCGAGATATCATTGTCATTCCACACTGTGGTACTTAATGACCTGTCAAGCCCTAACCCGGGACATCAGGAGCTTCCAAAACGTCTTGGATTTGGTATCTGCTCAGAGCAACAAAAACTGGATGTTGATCAAGCACCTGTCAGGGCACAGCATGTGCTTACACAGCTGTTCTCGGCTCGCCTTTTGCAGATCTATTCGAACTTGTGCTGCCATAGGAAATGGCTCCAAGTTGACTTTTGCTAGCAAATACAGGTAGTCCTTGACTTACAACAGTTCATTGAGCGACCGTTCAAAGTTACACTGGAAAAAAAGTGACTTGTGACCGTTTTTCACACTGATGATCGTTGCACCGTCTCCACAATCACGTGATCAAAATTCAGATGCTTGGCAACTGGCATGTCCTTATAACCGTTGCAGTATCCTGGGGTCACGTGATCCCCTTCTGACAAGCCAAGTCAATGGGGGAAGCAAAATTCACTTAATAACCCTGTTACTAATTTAACAACTGCAGTGATCCACCTAACTGCGGCAGGAAAAGTTGTAAAATGGGGCAAGACTCACAACACTTGTCTCGCTTAGCAACAAAATTTTGGGGCTCAACTGTGGTTGTAAATCAAGGACTCCCTGTACTTAATTCATTCTTATGCCTACAAAATATATTGAGACTGCATCTGCAATTATTCTACCTAATCTACAAAACAGGGCATATTTTATAATTGCTCCTTTTCAAAAATACGCCAAACCATTTTAAGGAGGTTTTCATCAAATTTCAGTGGCACACTGTTCATTGTTACAAGGTCATGCATGTTAGCAAACACTAGAGAAACGGATTAAACCAAACGAAGCCCAAGGTTATGTGGAAAACAAAAATATTGGCTATTGCTCTTCTATGCAAAGTTTAGGCCCAGGTGAACTAAATCAGGCCCCATGGAAAAGTATTGAACCAAAGTTTGTGCTGTGCTCAGTTTTAAAAATCCAAAGGAACTATTTGTAATTTAAACTGCAACTGTATTTTACTTAATACGATTTTGCTAAGCTTGCTTGTTTCAAATATATTTAGAACATAAGGACTGGGACTGTAAGAATCAGGAAACTGAAAGTAACTGATGGAGGCATGTTCCAATGTACACGAGTATATGGAAAGTTATGTTCATCAAAGGGTCAGCAAAAAGTGTAAGATTGCTGACCATCTGTCTACGGCAGGGGTCTTCAAACTTGGCCCTTTTATGACTTGTGGACTTCAACTCCCAGAATTCCTGGGAGTTGAAGTCCACAAGTCATAAAAGGGCCAAGTTTGAAGACCCCTGGTCTATGTCTTAGGATGAGAAAGGGTATAAAAAATTGGGACTGGACCTGATTGATTTGCCATTGGCCTATAGCTGCCCTTGCCGGACCTGCTATGTCACTGGACCTCATTGCAATGGGTTTTTAACATAAGAGATGTCTATGTGTGTGTTCCAAATTATTGCTGAAATAAACCTCTGCATCTTAAAAGTAAGAAGTATTGCTTTGTGTTGCTGTCTCGTTTTTTTCATTGGGTTTTTCCACCGCGGTTACTAGGAGGGGAAGAGCAGAACACAGGTAAACATTTAAACGTGTCCTGGACCTTAGACTAGTTAAAAGATTCTGTGTTTCATGAGCTTGGAGAAGGATTGACATGAGATGTTTTGTCCTGCTGAAAGACAACAAGGATGGAATTTAGGTTGCACTACGAAATTCAGCAGAGAGAGGGGAGACTGGGAAAATGCTGCTAAAGGATCTTGCTTTTATCCCTTCCAGCAAAAGAACACTTCAACTTTCTCTTGCCCTTGGGATTGTACTTGGAAAGGAGGTATGTGCTGGCCTGGGGCCAAAGTGAGGCCCAAGAAAAGGTTATTCCCCCCCCCCCAGAAGAAAGTGGGAGTCTAGCTGCTCTATCAGCCAGAGAAAGGAGCTGCCTTTTCATTTCCTCTTTCTTATCCCACAGTTCTTTTCACTTTGTTGTATGAACTCACAGGCAAGGGCTGCCTTATCTTTATATGGTACTCTGAAAACATCAACTACATTATCAGTTAAATTAGCAACAATAATAACTAATAAAAAAATGCTTTGAGAGAATTTCAGCCTACCCAAACTAAATCCAATCCTAAAAAAACAGGTACGGGTAGAAAGCACATTGAGATCAACTGGGTGACTTGCAGGTGATCTGCTAATAACCTGCAACAATAAAATAACTCTTTTGTGCCCTAAGTTATATTACTGAAATAAAGAATTCTTAGGATTTGTGTATGTGTGTGTGTGTGTGGGGAGAAATTCCATTTGTGCAGAAAAGCGGGCTTAAGGTACTTTGACTTCAACTCTTTGAATATCTAGGATATTTAAATAAGTTTTATTACTTAAATTTAGCAGTGGTGTGCCACTGCTGTCTTGAGTTTGTCATGTGTTACAACAGCAGCACATTTCTGATGCTTTCTTTGCACCATGCTGAATCACAAGAAAAGATAGTCTTTTGTTTCCATCCACTGAATGGGAGGGGCCAATTCTGTGCTTTTCTCTGTACTGACGCTTGTTTTATTTCTTCTATTTGCTCCCCCCCACAGCCTAGAAATATTGCAGGAAACCATTTTACCTCCTTTACCTCTTATATTCTCCTGCTCGCCCCAATTTATCTTCAAAATAATCCTTTGAATAATATGGTTGTTAGACTACGAGTACCAGAAGAATGTTACGCTGACTAGCCATGTGAAACTATGTCTTAAACAGTACAAGCCTGGTTATTCCACATACGTAAGATTAGAATTAGCACATTTACATTGTGTGTGTGTGTACGCGTGTGTGTGCGCGCACGTGTCTAGGGAGAGAAAGAGGAGAAGGAGAGGGAAAGAGAGAGAAACTCATACTGCACAGTACGCACGTTTAATTCTTTCCCCAAAACAGTTACAGTTATTTAGGCAGTTTTACAATCTTTCAAGCCAGTTACAATATTTAATCTCTGTACTAATAGAATCTTTTCTGCTTCTGCTGTTTTCTTTGATTATTAAGTTCCGTACTATATTTAATTATTAAAATGGCCTTTTTACACCAGAATCTAGTCGACTAAAGTTCAATAATAAATTGGCACTAGGAATTCAAGAAGTTTGGATTTAAGACTGTTTGTGGCAATCTAATAACTCTAGGTCAGACATGTCAAACTTGTGATGTCACATGATGTCGCACAACGTAGCAGACTTTTTTCCCATTGCCGGCAATGGGGTGGGTGTGGTTTCCTCATGACGCGTCCGGCCTGCGGGCCGGCAGTTTGACACCCCTGCTCTAGGTTCTGCCCCCCCCCCCGGGCCCATCTCTGCCTGCTCTTCTCCTATATCAGTGGTTCTCAACCTGTGGGTTGGGACCCCATTTGGGGTCGAATGACCATTTCAAGGGGGTCGCCAAACAAGGCTGTCTGCCATTTTTTCCCCCTTTTCTTTGGCCACGCCCCTGGCACCTGGTGATGTATAAGTGGTTGGGGGTCACCACAACATGGGGAACTGTATTATGGGGTCGCGGCATTAGAAAGGTTGAGAACCACTGTCCTATATCTTTTTATGGATTTTATAAGCCACCCAGAGTCTATATTAAATAGAATATATTAGAGAATTTTTATAGGCTAAAGCTAAGGCTTTAAGAAACCATGAATGCCCCTGATTGACCTTACATCTGTTGAATTAAACACCAAAGCATATTAAACCCGAACAATTTGACTAATTTGGCAATAGGCAGCATAAGGTGTTACCATATAAAAGTGGCAATTGTTTTATGTTTTCAAAATTGTTATTGTTCTGTCTGTTAGCTAACTCTTTTAGCACACCAAGAAAATACCTAGAACTCTGTAATAGGTCATTCTTTCCTGTCCCCCTAATACAGATAGTTTCCTGCCTTTTTTAAAAAAAAAAATGCTACGGATGTGAATGAAAATATTATATTCGCTTAAGAATTTGAGGGCTACTAATCCAAAACTGAAATCCTGCATAATCTTACTTGGAATTAAATCTCACTGAATTTAGTACAACCTATTTTTGAATACACATAAATAGGATTTGGCTGAAAATACTATAGATAATCCAATATACAACAGTGACTAAACACACTGGGCAAAATGGATTTAAATGAGCATAGGCTTGTAATTATGAAGTATTTCTTCATTCTTTAAAATATTTAATAATCCAATTGATAAACTGCTAAAATAACACACACACACACACACACACACACACGTTAAAATAACTGTTAACAAATTAACATTTTCACACAAAAAAGAGATTTTGATTTTTAAACCTTTCTGATAAAAATTTCCAGATCTACATCTTTCTACTCAAATAATTTTCAATTATGACTTGCCAATGATTTTCAATTATGACTCTATGAATGACTCAACAAAATTCACATGCTGTTGTTTATATAATCTCTTGTCTTTTTAAAAAGTTGCTTAAACCTTTAATTACCCTTTAGTATATAAACTGAATGTTGCAATATCAGGATTATAGTCCAAGATGACTGTGTAAACTTTAAAAAACACTTTTATATTATTCTTCTAAATCTGGTTAATTGCTAAATTGTTAGTAGAAAAGAGATCTAATTCCACAAATAGTTAAACAGCAACAAATTTTGGAGACCAGAAAGATCAAAGTACTGAACTGCGGAGAAGCAAGAAAAAACAATTTTGTGATACGCTTCTGTAAGCATCAGCTTTCACGTTGAAGAACCTGTATGCAGTCTACAGATTAACCACAACTCTGATATTTTATTTGGAACTATAGGATGTGTAGTTCAATAAAAAATAATAAAGGTGGGGAAAAGTCTTATAAAAAAGTAAAATACACTAGTCTTAACTCATTTATCCCTTTATCTTCAGTTATTTACTGTCTGATTTTTTTCAGTCCTGGACTCTGGACTTATGCAACATCATCATACCTGCCAAAACAGCCAACTGTGGGTTAGACTGGCTCCTTCCCTGTTAATTTTCCTGAAGCCCCTCAATACTTGGTTCTGTCTTTGGGACCCCAAGGGATCTGTGAGTTGCTGAGGTGGCTCCATTGCTGTTAAGATCTGCCCATTTAACCTTTTAATTTTTAAAAATATTTTTAATTAATAAAAATTAAAAATATAATAAAGGCCTTTTAGTAATAAAATTTTATTTAATTAAAAATTAATTTTAACCCTTTTCATCCCAATTTTTAATTTGCTGAATCTGGTTTTTTTATGACTGTTTTGTAGATTTTATAGTAGGCCGCCCAGAATCACGCTTTTCCATTTAAATAGAATAGAATCAAATAATAATTCTGTCACTTTAAATGTTCGTTAATCAGCATACATTAAAATGAGATTTCGTTGCACACAGCCCTCAAAGGGTAAGCACCTCCAATATACACTGCATAAACATAACCATAATAATAATGCATATAATAATAATCGTGGCAACAAAAGCATGAACGAATAAATAAACTTTTATCTGGTGGTCGGACCCAAATTGGCAGCGCAAGGCAGAAAACCACACAATATTTCAGGCCTATTCCCCGCAGGAGCCACGAAATAACAAACGCCCTTGACGTCTGCAGCACAATCTGAGACATCGATCACTCTGGATCTTCCACGCAGCCTAGTAACCTAGGCAACCACAAACAGGTGCCCATCGAGAACCCGGTGCTCGATTACCAGGCCTTTCGCTAATTCCTCTCCCCGTTCCCTCTCTGGTTTGGATAACGGTTTGAGTAGATTAATTCAGTAGATTCTGAACCGTCGCCCGAAGACTATTGACACGGAAGCGAACGTGAAAAGCCCGTTAAAATAAATAAATAAATAAATAAGTCAAGGATCGGGAATGACGCACCGCCCGAGCAACCGAACCTGAGGCGAGGGCACCGCGCACGCGCACGGGGGGGGGAAACTCATCGGGCCGCGAGTCGAGGGGAAGAAAAAAAAAAGAGGACGTTATCCTGGCACTGCGCACGCGCAGTCTGGGGACGAAAGCGCGGAGGAAGCCCCGGCGGGCCGTCGCCGTCCCTCCTGCCCGTGCGTGCGCGCGCGCGCGCATGCGCCCCGGGGGCTTTGACCCGGGTGCCTTCCGCCTGCCTGCTTCTATGGAAGAAGCGCGTCGCCCGTTTGCTCCGCTGCCGCCGTCGGGGAAGGAGGCGAGAGGCGGAGCGCCAGGAAGATGCCGGGAAAGCTGAAGGTCAAGATCGTAGCGGGGCGGCACCTGCCTGTCATGGACCGAGCCAGTGACTTGACGGACGCCTTCGTGGAGGTCTGGCGGGGAGGGGCTTTTCTGCACGGCGCTCCTCAGCAGCAGCAGCAGCAGGGAGGGGGGATTACGTCGTCACTCCTCCTCCCCCCCCGCGTATTTGCATACTTTTGCATAACGCCCGCGAAACTAGTGCTACAGATGCGCCTGGTCCTACCTGCCTCCCTGCTGCCTACTTCAAGGCAGGGAGGACGGCAGCAGTTTTGCCCTCTTTTTTAGATGCCTCAGGGGAGGTCGATCCCGAGCAGGGGTCTTTCCGGGTGGGGTCCCATCCCTGAAACTTGAGATCCTCAGTTGGTAAATTGTGCAGGGTTTTCCCCTCCAGCCACGACTTGTTTCTTATGGTGATGATGATGATGATGGTGGTGATGTAGTGCATATTGGAGGTGATTACCCTTTGAGAGCTGAATGCAACGGAATTTCATTTTAATGTATGTTGATTAGTGTACATTTAAAGTGAGAATAAAGTTATTCTATTCTATTCTATTCTATTCCATTCCATTCCATTCTATTCTATATTCCATTCTATATTCTATTCTATATTCCACTCTATTCTATTCTATTCTATTTTCCATTCTATATTCTATTCTATTATAAAATCCAAATTTTATAATATAAATGATGTCGCAGTTGCGACTGCTGCCTGTGGATGGCTCTAGTTTGAGCTGATACAAGGCAAAAGATTTCTTTCTCCCATATTTGGGTCGACAGGGTGCATCAAAAAGCACTCAAGGTAATTCCTCCCCCTGTCTCTTCCCTCCCTGACACAGCTGACAAAGTGAGAAAGAGCCAGTGGCCTAGAGGTTAACACAGCTGCTTAACATGCAGACAGCACAGGTTCGAATCTCAGAAGGGTATGTCTGGTTGACGAGAACTAAAAAGTTCGAAATAGCTATTCCATTCTCCCTTAATTCTTTGTTAGCAATCCAAATTTTATAATATTCTATTCTATATTCTATTCTATTCTCTACTGTACTCTCTACTCTAGTCTACTCCATTCAGTCATCTCCGACTCTTGACAATTCTATGGGCTAGCTCTGTCCACATCTTCTGATCTTGCACTGCTTCTTTGAGTTTTTCCATGTTCTGGCTGGTGTCAGCGTTGATGGAGTCCAGCCATCATATTTTTTGGCGGCCTGGTTTCCGTTTACTGCTAACTCTTCCCAACATAATTGCTTTCCCCAGTGAAATCCCCTGCGGGACATGGCCAAAATGTAAGAAGCAGTTTTGTCATTTTGCTTTCCAGTGACATGTCTGGTGTTAAGAGCTTCAGGACTTGTTTGATAGTCCATGGAAAATGCTGGAGCCTTCCCCAGCACCACAACTCAAACAAGTCAATTTTCTTCCTTCTTGCTTTTTTAAGGTCCAACTTTCCCAATCAGAGGTATCTACGTGGAACACAATAGAGCAGACTAACCTACATTTGGCTGCCAGGCTCCTCTCCTTGCTTTTCCATATTCATTTCTTATGGTAGATGGCCCTATCTTTCTTATATACTATCCCTTCTTTTGGTACCTGATTTCTGCAAATTACATTGTGTACAATTGTCAGTGGTAGAGGCTGGAGTGACAAATATTTACAAGGTTGAGATAAATCATGTTATAGATCAGGGGTCTCCAATCTGTGGTCTGCAACCCACTACTGGGCCGTGGCCAGTGGGCTGCGGAACAGGCTGATTAGGGCGTGCACATGTTTGCGCGTGCTTATCCCTACTCGTGCTAGTGCTGCTGCCACGGTGAAAACGGGACACTGCAGCGAAAATGGGATGCCACAGAGCAAAAACGGGCGGTGCTACCGAGTGTCACCCAGGCGCTAGCACCGCCCCGTTTGTGTCACACGTGCTCACAGCCCCATTTGTGTGTGCACATGCGCGCATGTGTAAAATGCTTCCCCCCCTCTCTTTCCCTCCGGTCCACCAACGGAAAAGGTTTGGAGACCTCTGTTATATAGATGACTATTCTCAGCCAGGTGGAGATAGACAGCTAGTCCTTGTTTTACAACCACAGTTGGGACCAGAATTTCCATTGCTAAGCAAGGTAGTTGTTAAATGAGTCATGCCTGATTTTTTTTTAATCTTTTTGCCAAGGTTTGCTAAGTGAATCATTAACTTTTCAAGCATTGCAAGGCTGCTACTTCCGTTTCAAATGGTTGAGGTGTTAATGAAAAGGGAAGGAGTCATGCAGAGATTTCAGTGGTGCTTCTTATATGGAAGTTATTTTGATGCACGAGTTATATAAGAAGTAGGAATTTTGAGAGGAATTAGTCTCTACTGTACTGTCTTGTAAAATAAAAATGGAAACTCGGTGCTATTACTTGGGGTAGCCAGGAAGCTGTAAGTGGGTGTTCTCAGATGTTTGCATAGGTCAGGGGTCCAGACTTGGCCTTTTTATGACTTGTGGACTTCAACTCCCAGAATTCCTCAGTCAGCGTGCCTGGCTGAGGAATTCTGGGAGTTGAAGTCCACAAGTCATAAAAGGGCCAAGTTTGAAGACCTCTGGCGTAGGTTATAACTGTAATTCCCTTCACTGGCTAGGAATCCTGGGAATTGTAGTATCAATACTTATGAAAATGTAAAGATTTTGGCAGGCTGATTTAGATTTATTTGTTTTGGTTTTGGAGATTATGATACCTTTGAGATAATGACCTGGTAACAGAAATGTCTATTAAGAATTCACAGATAGAGATAAATCCGAAAGAAATTAGAAAGATTAAAGAGTTTGTGACCGATTGCTAAGGAAGTATTCAGGAGAGATTAAAGAATCGAGTTTTAATAGTGACAACATTTCTGGCATCAAGAATGTCACTAATATTTATGGATGTTGGGATGGAATGAAGTGAAGCAATTAACTTGGAGAACGTTTAAAGTATGTTGGCCTGTAGAGCTTTGTTTGGTTTAGTTTTGCACGCACCCTAGAGATTGGAGATGCCTTGTGGGCAAGGTAAGGAAAAGGAAAGGTAGAAAAAATGTAATTAGAAGCCTCTTTATCCAGCAGCAATTTTTCCTCATTATTGTTTGCGCATGGAAACAAACTCAAAGGTTGCATTTACATGACACGTTGATCTTACTCCTGGAAGGAAGGCTTAATTCATGGATGGCCCATACTCAATTCATGCACATGAATGCAGACAGCAGAGAAATGAGAGCCTTATAAAATGGAGCTGTTCCACTTGAACTACCTCTAGATTTTACTATTATTACTATTTTCACAAATGCATCCACCCACAGATTGGTGGGAGTGGGGAAGTCATTGGCAGAAACAGGCTGGGGGGGGGATGTGCACCCCCACTTCTGATGCTTTGACCCATTTAGGATTATACCATAACATTTTCCGGGACTGTTTTCAGAATGATTGGATAAGGGTCATATTAGGACAGTGCTGGCATTTCAGCTGACCTATTTATCTGAGATAATCAAACTGTGCCCTCGCTTTGTCAGTTTTTGGCACATTTTTTTTTTGAGCAAAGATATTTCATAACAATGTATTTGGGAGAGCCTTTAAGCCAGGATGGTGGCCCGACCGTGGCGACTTTAAGACTTGTGGACTTCAACGCCAGAATTCCCCAGCCAGCCATTTGGCTGGGGAATTCTGGGAGTTGAAGTCCACAGGTCTTAAAGTGGCCAAGGTCGGACACCTTTGCCTTAAAAAGCCCAACCTGATGAACAAGATCACATGTGTTATCCATTCCTTATTGCTCTTTCACCAAGTTCAGTTCTTCCTACAGGATTATGCATGTCATCTGAGCCAGATCAGCTACCATTTCCAAAATGGGAAATAAGAATAGATCTTACTTTTGAATGTTGCTTAGCAGACATTCAGAACTGATGGTTATTCTAAAACCAGCCTGCTTAATTTGATGGGAAACGGTGGTGGTGCTTAGTAAGCTGTGCAAAGAGAGGGTTCAGAGGAAGATTGAAGAGAGCCATCTGTTGTGACCGGAGGGTGTCATCTATGTGAACTTGGAGTCAGTGTGATGTGACACTCTTAACAGCTTCAAAATTAAACCTAGTCCAAAATCAGCCAGTGAACCATAATACTGCCTCTGAACGCTTCCTTCATCCTGCCTGTCTGCCTTTGAACGCTGAAAACCCTCTGACAAATATGTTGATCAGGCTGTAAAAAAAACAGAATAAAAGCAAAACAGAAACCATTCACACGAATGATGATCAGGCAGTAATAGGAGATTGTAAATGAGATACTGTGTGTTTTCACATAGAAAATAATCTTCTTTCTTCAATTTTTCCTGTATTCCACTCTGTAGTATGTATGCAATTACGGGTAGTCCTCGAATTAAGACCATAACTGAGCCCAACATTTCTGTTGCTAAGTGAGATATTTGTTAAGTCACATACACTGACTTCAGTTGGATGGGTTCTCACTAGCCCAGGGGTAGGCAACCTTGGCTCTTTTATAACTCGTGGACTTCAACTCCCAGAATTCCTGAGTCAGCATGGCTCAGCATGGAAACCTCACCCTTTTCCCTCAGCATGGCTGGCTCAGGAATTCTGGGAGTTGAAGTCCACCAGTCATAAAAAAGCCAAGTTGCCTACCCCTGCACTAGCCTAAGTTAAATCTGAATGGCCTCAAGTTTACTTGTGATCTGTCTTTCCTCCTCTCTCTTTAGCTTGTCATCTGCTGGTGTCTCTGGGACTTGGGAATCCTTCAATGAAAAACATTATTTGCAGCCTTCTGACTTTCTATCTTCGGGATGTCCCAAAATGTTGCATTTCTTGCTTTGTGAGGCTAAAGATGGCTTAGTGATTTTCCATCTTACAGTAATTTTTGAGATGGCTAACGAGTTATCTCAGGCCTGAGTGATTTTCCATCTGAACTCTTACAGTAATTTGTTGACAAGCTTTTTTTTTTTTAACCTTTCTCCTGTTGATTTGTGTCGTTCCGGACTTTTCCTGATTCGTTTGTTGTATTTGACTAGATCTTAGGAAGGGTTGCTAGTGTGGACAGTTAGCCCTTGACTTATGACCGCAATTGAGCCCAACATTTCTGTTGCTAAGCGAGACATTTGTGAAGTGAGTTTTGCCCCATTTTACGACCTTTCTTGTCACAGTTGGTAAGTGAACCACTGCAGTTGTTAAATTGGTAACAAAGCTGTAAGGTGAGTCTGGCTTCCCCATTGCTCGTTAGAAAGTCACAAAAAAGTGATCACATGACCTTGGGACCTGGCAACTGTCATGAATACAAGCCAGTTGCCAAGCATCTGAATTTTGATCATGAGACCAAGGGGACACTGCAACGGTCATTACTGTGAAAAACGGTCATAAGTCACTTTTTTCAGGGCTGTTGCACGTTCAAATGGTCACTAAATGAACTGTTGTAAGTCGAGGACTACCTGTATAGGAATGGCCAATTACTTGAATCATTTGATTGCAGTTCATTTGCTTGAACATTCCCTTTAATTATATAATCAGGGTCATTTCGCCTTCCCTCAGGTCAGAAAGCCCATAACCGCATTTTAGAGCAGGGGTCTTCAAACTGGCCTTTTATGACTTGTGGACTTCAACTCCCAGAATTCTGAGGAATTCTGGGAGTTGAAGTCCACAAGTAATAAAAGGGCCCAGTTGGAAGACCCCTGTTTTAGAGGGTTCTGCCATCTAGCTTGAATTATATGGGATTAATTCCCTCTTGAATTACATTTCCTAAGATGTTCCAAAGGCTTTTTGAAGATATCTTTTTATGGACATTTTAGGAGTCAGAAGAACATTAGCTTTCAATGGCAGTATTTGATTTACTGATTACCTTTAGGCTGTGGTAAGATTAGATAATATTTGTTACATTTATTATTATGTTGTCTTGCTTTCTATATTGTTCATGCAGAGTTGTGATTTCCAATAATTTGGAATAATTTGTCCTGAGCTTCAGTATAAGCACAGACCAAATAACAATATTATGGTAGTACTAAATAAAACTGAGGTGTTTTAAAATAATGCCAGCAAGGGTTCTGATAACACCAAAGAATGTCATTGCTATATTGCTTTTAGATTTACTTATTTATTTACATCCCCATCTTTATTATATTTGTAAATAACTCAAGGCGGCGAACTGTAAGAATATCCCTATATTGTCGATATCATCGTTGCCTTTAAGGCATTGTTTGATAAGGTTACATTTCTAAGGAGTAAATTTAATGATAAACAAAAGAGAATGGAAGGAGATAGTGTATGTAATAGTTAAGAAATAGTTGTTGCTTTATATTGTTTAGAAAACTATAATAATAATGATTTGGTCCATTCAACTGAATGGGAAAGTGATATGCGCATTAAGAAATTAGGTCCTTCAAAAGACTTGCATAATATTGTTTAAGAACTATTATTAATGGAATAAAATGCAAAGACAAAAGTGGTTTTGTTTTTAATTTTTCATATGTTTTTATATTTTTCAGGTAAAGTTCGGAAATACCACATTTAAGACAGATGTCTATCCCAAATCTCTCAATCCTCAATGGAACTCAGAGTGGTTTAAATTTGAGGTAAATAGACAAGTACACACACAAACACACACACAAAGACACACACACACACACAAACATCCTAATAAATAGAATTTATTGATAGGCTCAAAGGCAGAATTATTATGAGGCTGGCACTCCATTTCTGGTGCTCCTTTCCTGGACCAAAAATGCAACATTGGGAAGAGAAGTGTTTGGGGAATGGGGGAAAATGAGAAGACGTGAGGGACATCTGTCAAAATGGCTAAGAAAAAATATGAAAAGAAAAGACTGGGAAGACGGAGCAGCTAGGCTGGTTGAATAATGTCCTTGACTTCCAAAAAGCCCTGTCCCCCACTCTCCTCCTATCTGCCTAGGCCAGGGGTAGGCAACCTTGGTTCCTTGATGACTCGTGGACTTCAACTCCCAGAATTCCTGAGCCAGCATGGCTCAGCATGGAAACCTCTCCCTTTCCCCTCAGCACGGCTGGCTCAGGAATTCTGGGAGTTGAAGTCCACGAGTCATCAAAGAGCCAAGGTTGCCTACCCATGGCCTAGGGCTTCTTAGTCCCTCTTATCCTGCACTTAAAGTCAAGTGAGGATGAGCATTTGACAGTGGCTATGTGTCTATGGTGATTCTCAGTCGTCCAGGTCATGGTTGTCCCAAAGGTGTTTTTTTCAAAAGGCAACTGGACTTTCTTAGATTTTCCTTGAAGACGTTTCGCTTCTCATCCAAGAAGCTGCTTCAGTTCTGACTGACAGTTAGTTCAATTTTGACAGTTCTGATAGTCAGAACTGAAGCAGCTTTTTGGATGAGAAATAAAACAACTTTTTTTTTTTTTTAAAAAAAAGCACTTTTGGGACAGGCTAAGGTAAAGTAGGGAAAGAAAGGCCCTGGGAAGACTGTGGGGAAAGGTCAGCTGCAAATCTGCCGCCTGTCAACGCTGTGACAGATTGAACTGAAGCCATTTTTTCATTTTGTCTTCATTGCCACATTTTAGTTTAGAGATTTTAGATGAAGGAGGGAGAGGGGGGATGTTAAGTTTCTCAGTTAGACATAACAATACTTCTGTGTGAGAATCAAGGTCAGTCCTGATTAAGAATTTTGGCGGCTGAAAAGCTGAGAGGAGAGCCCCTGTTTTGAGATAATTGGTGAATGTGATTTATGACAGCAATTTGGGGTGGGAATTGCAAACTTGTTACTTTGTAGCCTGGGGGGGGGGATTTTAGTCTTGGGTTCACCGTTGTATGTGCCAGATATCTTGTTTCCTAAATAAAATGTTCCTTAAGGAAGAAATCCTTGCCTTGAAGTTCTTTTAAATGGTTTCATTTATCGGAACCATGACGCTGCCTTTGATGTCATTGGCTTTCAGTCCTTCCCATTTCCTTTGGCTAGACCTTGCCTTTCCCTCTTTCCCACCTTCCTTCCTCTTCCTAATGGGAGGTAGAGAGAATGAAAAGCATTGAAAATTCAGAGGACAGGATACCACACAGAGATCATACAGAGACGGGGAGAGAGGAGTGAAGTGATGCCACCCTTGACCTACTCATCTTCTCCACAGGGCTCCTCCAGATGTTGTCTCTGCCAAAAACTGGAAGAACCAAATGTTCTGTGGTTTGGTTTTACCAGATTGCACTCTGCCTGGAACGATTGTGTTCGTTTGGGGTCAGAAACAAAACCACTTTCTCTTGCTCATGCATACCTCTGAATTTTTCATATTTTAATTTGCCTGCCGTGTTGGAAAATATCACAGGCTTTGGTTAAAAAAAAAACCTTGAGGAAATGTAAGGAAGGTTAAAGAAAAATACATTTGTGAAGGAAAAGAAACAGGATGTGGAGGGAATATAAACGAGAGGAAATTTGTGCTTATAAAACAGTGTTTCTCAACCTTGACAATTTTAAGGCATGTGGACTTCAACTCCCAGAATTCCACAGCTGGCTGTGGAATTCTGGGAGTTGAAGTCCACATGCCTTAAAATTGTCAAGGTTGAGAAACACTGTTATAAAAGGTTAACGTTTTATCTTTGAAAATCCTACCCAGATGCTTTTTGTAGAAATTGTTATCTGGAAGAAAAACAGGCATGAGATAAAGTAGTTTGCAGTGATTTGGTTCATGAGCGAGCTTGCCCGTTGGAGAGGACTAGTGTTGCTCCCATACCTCAGAGGAGCAAAAGATTGTGGGGGTATTAATTTAGAGCTTTGTGAAGAAACCTTGGGGTTAATCATATCCTTCCCCTAAACCTCCACATTTTCTGACATGATTGTAAGAAGCGACCGGATGCATTTACTTCTGTTTTCAGCTCACCAGTAGCTTTTAGAGCTTGGAACAACTTTCTTTAAAAGCTCCTGTTTTGTACTGCAGTTAGGCTGTGCAATTAATGTAGAATGAGTAGGAATTTCAAGAGTATTCCAGTTTTATATTTCAGTTGCTTCTAATAGAAGGATCCTGTTTGAACCGAACATCAACCCACCGTTCAAGCTCTGTGCTTAAGTCAAAGCTATGTCTTAAGTGCAAGAAAATAGTTTGCATTAGAATTTACGCATGACCTTGTGACGTAGCCCCATTCAAACGTAACTAATGACCAACAAGACTAATCACACTGTGGTTTCATGCATTTTATGAAGAAAGCAGAGCTGGATGTTACTTGTTTAGACCAGGGCTTTTCAACCTTTTCACCCATTGTACCATTTTTAGGATACGACAACATCCGAGTACCACCAGTCGCCTAGCAAGATGTCAAAATCTTGATGTCAAAAAAAAAAAAAAGGAAAAAAGTGATAAAGTACAGGTAGTCATCGACTTACAACAGTTTGCTTAGTGACTGTTCGAAATTACAGTGGCACTGAAAAAAAGTGTCCCCCAAGCCACAGCCGAGCAAGTCACCTGCCTGCCCACCCGGTGGCGCTCTTCCTCCTGTCCAAGGTTTCCATTGTTGTGAGCATTTCTGTTGAGGATTGGTAGTGGGGGTGGGGTGGGGGTGTGTGGTTTTTATTCCCCCCATCTGCTGGGTGGTTGCAGCAGGTTTTGGTCACTTCACATGACCCTGGGACACTGTGACTGTCATAAATATGAATCAGTTGCCAAGCATCTAAATGTAAATCACAAGACCCTGGAGATGCTGCAACATTCCAGCTGATTGGTGCTTCTTCTGGGCTCAGCAGAAGCACCAGGACCAGTGCTGCTTTCCAGCTGATTGGTGCTTCTTCAGGGCTCAACAGAAGCACCAGGATCAGTGCAGAGCTCCAGCAGGAGCCTGGCACTGGTCCTGGTGCTTCCACTGAGCCCTGACAGCCCGAAGCGCTGATCAGGTAGAAAGCGGCACTGATCCTGGTGCTTCCGCTGAGCCCTGACAGCCCTGCAGCTCCAGCCATCTCTCGCTCAGGCTTATGTGGTGCTGCTGTCACCGGTTCAGCTCATTCCCCTCCCCCACTACCACTTTTCTAGGATGGTCGTATACCACCTGCCAGGTGCCAATGTACCACAGGTGGTACCCGTACCACTGGTTGAAAAGCCCTGGTTTAGACAAATTATATATTGAACTCAGCACCATTTTTCTTCATAATGGAATGGCTCTGTTTGATAAAACGCTGAAGCCTCGTTATTCTGTTTTCTAGGTGGATGACGAAGATCTACAGGACGAACCTCTGCAGATAACTGTTCTTGATCATGACACTTACAGCGCTAATGACGCTATTGGAAAAGTTTACATTGATATCGATCCTCTTCTCTACAGCGAAGCAGCTACGGTTATTTCTGGCTGGTTTCCAATTTATGACACAATACACGGTGAGACTTTCAGTGGTTATAAAATACAAGTGGTCCTCCATTTACAACTGTAACGGAGTCTGCCCATTCAGGTCATAAGGCGGGAAGGTTGTAAAGTGGGCCGTCATGCAACCAACTTGATTTTATGACGTCTTTGCGGTGTTTATAAGTGAATCACCATGGTCGTTAAGCAGATCGGCAGTCATTAAGCAAATGCCACGGTCGTTAAGTGAAACGGTTGTTTACTATGATGCGTTTTTGCCAAAAAGGAGAAGTAAATGCTGGTTTTCTGCAAAAATGTGGTAAATTGTGGTCACATGACTGAGACACTGCAAACAGGCATCAGTTGCAATCCAGTTGCCAAGCACCCAAAATGTAATCACGTAATCATGGAGGGGACAGCAGTCTAAATTCAGTCCAGGATTGTAAATACCATTTGGGGGTCCATCATAGCTTCAAACAGTTGTTAAATGATTGATCATAAATCAAGAACTACCTGTATTTCTATCAGACAAAACCTGCATGAGCATTGTGGGCAAAATGAGAAATGGGAGTGGGGTTGGGAGAGAAATATTTGTATAGTTCTTTGTATAATAATTTTTATTTTACAGTCACAGACCAAAATGCAAGTGCAACAAAAGAAAACACAAGAAAAATACAATCACAAACAGTTAACACCAGAAGCCTTGGCTAAGAGGGAATTACAACGTTCTCCTCTAATAGTTACAGCTCTTAAAAGAAATTTAGAAAATATAGTTCTTTGTATACAAAAAGACTTTTTCTTTTAGTTCTTTTTTCTACCTGCTGCAGGAATTGTTCTTTTTAAATCTTGATCTTTTTAAAAAGATTTTATTTATAATTGTCCTGCCTGTTTCTTTTTGTAAAGACTTCAATAATTTTAGCAGGAGAAAAAAAATAAATCTGGTAGCGTGAATGAGAATTCAGGCCCAAAATTGACTTCTCTTCATTCTTGGATTCTTAAAGTGATCATTCAGACTATGTTCTTAAAAAGGCCTCTTTCTTTTTCCAAAGACTTGCTTCTAAAAATGTATTTATGGATGCATCGTGTGTCAGTTTCTCCGTGTAGTATCAGATCTATGTTACGGTATGAGCTCAAATGCTTTCCAGAATTTGCAGGACAGAACATAAGGTCATTAAAGATGTTGTCCCCCAGCCACCTTCCTGATGGATTTATTGACTCCTTCTAATGTTTCATGAGTCTGGAGTTCAAACACTAGTAAGCAAGCACAATAAAAGAAGAAGGTTTAAATGACATTAGGCTTACTGTTAGGTCACACGTTGGAGGGTTCTCCTGTAGCTATAATAAAATTCCTGCTGCACTCCCAGTTCTTCACTTAAGAGTGCCTTATATTTCTGGGATAATTTGTTTCCAACAAGCTTTAATGCACCAAATGTTCGGCGCTTGTTTGTCTGTTTATTAAATTTATAGGCCACTCATCTCACTATCAAGCACCTCTCGGCAGCTTATAATGTCATAAAATAACAGCATAAAACAATTAGAACATTGAAAACATGAAGCATTAAAAGTTAAAACAGTAAAATTAATAACAAACTGGAGAAAAAAGACCAAAAGGTAAACAGAGTGGAGGTGAGATCTTCTCCTAATCTACTCACCACCTTCAGAATGGGATGTCCCCATCGGTGTCACAAGCAAGTTTTCAGGTCTTTTTGGTAGGCCAAGAGGATGGGGAGGACCCCACCTCAAGGGACATGATGTTCCAGAGGGTGGGAGCCATGGTGGAACAGGCTCTTCTCCTGGACTCTGCCAGGCAAAATTCTTTGACGGTCCAGTTTTTGGCAAAAGTGCCCCATAGCAAACAATAGCACTAGGACTTAGACTTATATATCCTTCCATAGTGCTTTACAGCTCTCTCTAAGTGGTTTACTGAGTCAGCATATTGCCTCAAACAATCTGGGTCCTCATTTTACCGACCTCGGAAGGATGGAAGGCTGAGTCAACCTTGAGCCGGTCAGGATCGAACTCCAGGCTGTGGGCAGAGTTAGCCTGCAATACTGCGTTCTAACCACTGTGCCACCATGGCAATAGGTTTGCTTAATGACTGCCACATTCTCTTAACGACCAGCACAAAAAGGATTGTAAAAATCAGTTTAGTTACATAAGTGACCTGCTTTACCACTCTCGTAATGGTCACCCTCCGTTATGGTCATAAGCCGAGGACTACCTGTCTTATATTTTTAGAAGCTTTTTTTTTTTCTGTTTGAAATTGTATCTGAATTGTGTTAAGAGTTTAGAATGATAAGGCTTCAAAGAGGTAACTTGGATAGTCAATTATTTGTGTTCTGACTTAAATTCTCACCCTATTGCTTTTATTTTCACATCCAGGTATACGTGGGGAGATCAATGTGATGGTGAAGGTAGACCTTTTTAATGATTTAAACCGTTTTAGACAATCGTCATGTGGAGTAAAATTTTTCTGCAGTAAGTCGAAAAACACGTTTTTTTGTATATGAAAAATGAAAGAACCGGTGAACCAATTCAGACCATTTAAGATTAAGAGTTGTAAATGTTCCAACACTGGAAGTTTTTAAGAAGAGACTGGACAACCATTTGTCTGAAATGGTATAGGGTTTCCTGCCTGAGCAGGGGGTTGGACTAGAAGACCTCCAAGGTCCCTTCCAATATTACTACTACTGCTGCTGCTGTTATTATTATCATCATTATCATTATTTTTATCTTTTATTCATTAGACATGAACCTCAGTCAACTGAACATTCAAATTGGCTGGCGCTGATGGTTGACACAGGTTGCTACCAGCATCCTAGGTGTCAACCAGGTACCTCCTTAAAATATAAGATATTCCGAGTAGCGCAGTTTTTTGTAACATTGCTGGAGTTATTGCAGGAAGCTGCAGTTTCTTGATGTATTTTGCAAAGTTTTTGGACATAGTTCCCAGTGCCCCGATGACAACGGGTATCACTGTTACACGTTTCATCCATAATCGCGCAGTTTTGATGGCCAAGTTGCGATATTTTGTAATTTTTTCCAGTTCTTTTTCTTCCACTCTGGCATTTCCTGGTACAGCAATATTATTGTTATTGTTATTATTAAAGTTTTCTTTAGGTGTTCCTCTGTTGCAGCATCTAATGCAGTGGCTCTCAACCTTTCTAATGCCGTGACCCCATAATACAGTTCCCCATGTTGTGGTGACCCCCAAGTGGGTGTGGCCACCAATAAGAGGGAGTAGGACAGCTAGGGAAAAGGGAAAAAAATGGCGGACAGCATGGTTTGGTGACCCCCGTGAAATGGTCATTCGACCCTAAATGGGGTCCCGACCCACAGGTTGAGAACCACTGATCTAATGCATTCTTTGATAATTCTTATTAGTGCTCAATAATTTCTAGAATTGGTTAGTGCAGGGTTTCACAATCTTGGCAATTTTAAAATGTGTGGACTTCCAAGTTGCAGAATTCCCTAGCTGGCTTTAGGTTACTGGGTCCTCTCACTTGTTACACCTGTCTTTGTAGTGAGATTACTTTTTATTCAACTTTTGTTCTCTGAAATCATCTTCTGATACTCTGCCTCAACTGCCTTCTGTTCCAAACATCCTGTTTGGCAGAAGTACACAACTGTGCAACAATATAACAAAGTTTTCTGTTTAATATATTTATCTATCATTATTAATATATATTTATTGGGAATATGGGGCTCCCTTGAATCAAAATGACAGCATCTCTATAAATTATTTTCATTGATTAAATATAAGTCATACTATATCTTCAACAGCTACGTCTATTCCGAAGTGCTATAAAGCCGTAATTATTCATGGATTTGTAGAAGAACTTGTAGTTAATGAAGATCCAGAATATCAGTGGATAGACAGAATCCGTACACCAAGAGCATCAAATGAAGCCAGGCAAAGACTTATTTCATTAATGTCAGGTATTTATTTTTTTTAAAAAAAAATGGGCTGCAAGTAATAACCATGTTGCATTATTGTGCATTTTAATGATTTGTTTGTATTATTTAATTCATACCTTGTAAACTAATGTGGCAAGTTATAGCTACTATATCCTAAACAGAAAGAGATAATATTTTGTTTGCATAGTATATATTATAGTAGGTATAATGGATGTTGTAAAGGCAATGAAATTGCTTTTATATTTGTAGCTAAGAATCTACCCAAACAATAATTGGTACGCATTTTACCTGTTAACATATAACTTAATCCAACAATAATTTACAAACAGATGGTGGTGATGTTGAGTCTGATCTGAAACTATAGTTAAGGTTATAAAGCAGCCACGTAGTCTCTGGCATGTTGGAATTTCAAAGGTCCCTTTGTATTGTTGAACTATGTAAGTGTACATTTCAGGATGATAAATTTAGGCACTGAATGTGTGAACAACTGAGCTCAGCCATTAATTTTATGGATTCTTTTTCATCCAGTTGGAAACTTACCCAGCCCATCATTCTAAGATAGGAATCATTGAATTGATCTACTAGTTTGTTTATTTTAAAAATTTGTCCCAGAATTTTAGGTGGCTAACCATGAGCTCAAATTAGCAATTTTTTTTTAAATTATGAATCAAAAAAATGCATGTATCTGACCACCTAGAACTAGTGCACAAATAAAAATATATATATGAAAATACCACAAAGTAAATTACATTGAGTTAAAGCAGTGGATACAAAAGTGTTAGAAGTAAAGTCTTCATCCTGGTTCATCCAAGCCGGGAATAAATAAGCAAACATGGCGACTGCTTTGGGAAGAAGGTTACAGTTTATTGCAGAAAGATGGTTCTTCAGGAAAGAGCAGAGGAGAGAAGGGCTGAGCACATGGTGTTGTAGGTTTTTATATCCCCTCTAGCCTTTTGTCTGGAATAGTTTCCTGTTCCTGTGGCATGAACTTTGAGGCTATTTCCTGTGTCATGTATTCTGACCTGAGTTTAGGTGTGCCTCTATGGTATACTTGATGGTAATGGGTTAGTCCTATTATATCCCAGAAGTCATCTCCTGCTTCTCTGGGGCTGGGCTAATGACTCTTAAGAGTTTCTTTGTCTTGAGTTCCCTGGCTCCAACCTTCCTAATGGTCTTATATCTGCATTTCTATGAGGTTAGCTCTTGCTTGGGGCAAAGAAATTTGGGGCCAGGTTTGGTTTCTGCTTTTCAAAAAATCCTTTTGGTGAAAAATATATTTTCCTTTTTAATATTTCCTTCTGGGGGGGGCTAACTTCCCTCAAAAGCATATACATAAAGGGGGAAAAAAATAGTGTTTCCACAGAAAAGACCTGGGTGAACTTAAGATGACAAATAGGTACTTAAAAAAAATATGTAACAGTAGATGCTTCTGGAAAGTAGTGAGAACTTTCCTGAAAGTAGGTGCTTTCCGCTGGGAAAAACCCCTTGTGTGAGTATCCTGGAGGGGACCTGGTCAAGGCAAAGGGGGGGAAAATCACCAGTATTCGTAGCCTGAAGATACCTTGAACCATCTATGACAGGGGTCTTCAAACATGGCCCTTTTATGACTTGTGCACTTCAACGCCCAGAATTCCTCAGCCAGCCTCCATTTTGTTAGATTTAAGACAGGGGTCTTCAAACATGGCCCTTTTATGACTTGTGGACTTCAACTCCCAGAATTCCTCAGCCAGGCACGCTGATGGAAGAATTCTGGGAGTTGAAGTCCACAAGTCATAAAAGGACCAAGTTTGAAGACCCCTGATCTGTGACAAAAGTAGAAGCTTGAATCTGGCTTAATAATTACCAGCCATGCAGTGGCTTCATCACTGTAAAATATGTAAAATGGCTGCTGCCCCATTTTGCCGCTTGGCCACTGCATTCTGCAGCTGCTGCTGCTGCAGTTTCCAAACTAAAGGAACTTTTGACCTTTGGAAAACGGAAATGTAGCAAGCTGACAGGCTGAGTAATCCCTGTTTTTATAATTCGTTAGAAAAGTGTGAAGAAACTGTTTTTAATTTCCTAGAATCCTAGAGCTGGGAGAGTCCATACAGTAGAGTTAATCTAGACCAGTGTTTCCCAAACTTGACAATTTTAAGGCATGAGGACTTCAACTCCCAGAATTCCACAGCCAGCAACGCTGGCTGTGGAATTCTGGGAGTTGAAGTCCTCATGCCTTAAAATTGTCAAGTTTGGGAAACACTGATCTAGACCAATCTCCTGCTCAGTGCAGGATTTGTGAAGCATTTTGGCCTCCAGTGAATAGTAAACGTCACTTCACTGGTTGAGACTCCTTATCTTCAGGGAATGTTTTTTTTTTTTTGGTATCTTAATTTTTTTTTTATTTTACTAGGTTTTTATCCTGCCTTCATTACTTATAACTATCTCAAGGCATTGGACATACATAATACTCTTTTCTGCTCCTATTTTTCCCATAACAACCCTGTGAGATGGGTTGGACTGAGAGAAAAGAACTGGCCCAAAGTCACTCAGCCGGCTTTCGTGTCTAAGACGGGACTAGGACTCTCAGTCTCCTGGTGATTGTCCCAAAGTCATCCAGCCAGCTTTCGTGCCTAAGGCGGGACTAGAATTCCCAGTCTCCTGGTGATTGTCCCAAAGTCATCCAGCCAGCTTTTATGCCTAAGGTGGGACTAGAACTCCCAGTCTATTGGTGATTGGCCCTAAGTCATCCAGCCAGCTTTCGTGCCTAAGGCGGGACTAGAACTCCCAGTCTATTGGTGATTGGCCCAAAGTCACCCAGCCAGCTTTCGTGCCTAAGGCGGGACTAGAACTCCCAGTCTCTGGGCTTTAGGCTTTAACCACTACATTAAACTCGCCTAACTTCTAGTCTAGTACAATTTAGTACCATATTGGGAAAATTGAAGTTTGTTTTATCAGTGTTCAAAATTATTTTACATTAATTCTGCATTAAACGATGTGTATTTCTTTGACAGGGGAACTGCAAAGGAAGATCGGCCTGAAGGTACTTGAAATGAGAGGAAATGCAGTGGTTGGCTACTTGCAATGTTTTGATCTGGAGGGAGAATCTGGCCTAGTAGTGCGAGCCATTGGGACAGCCTGTACCTTGGACAAATTAAGTAACACACCTGTATTCTTACCTGCATGTAATTCCCCATCCAAGGACATAAAGGAGTAAGTATGAATTAAATGTTCCCTGGAAAGTTTCTTTTGTGTGTTTGTTTCGAACTCATTGCCTATTTTTGTTGGTCTGCTTTAATTGAATATACACATCCCTGTTTCCCTTTTATGTTGACAACCTGTTTTGTGTTGAGAAACCTGGGTAATTAAAGCAAACCCTTTGACCAGAAGTTGTAGGAATAGTGTGGTATATCAGATGCCTCAACTACACACAATTCCTGCAGTGTTGCACAGCATGATGGGGATGACATTAACCTGTTCTCCATTCCAGAGTGCTTTCTCTTCTTAATGAGCAATTGAAATTAAATTGCTTCAGGGGGATGTTTGCATTTTGCAATGTATTTTGCAAAATAAAATCCCACAGGACCTCTGTTTTGAGCTATTTTTATTCTGAATGCCATTGCTTTACGTGGACCTAAGAGGAAGAAGTCTTCAGTGTAATTCTAAGCCAGTATGTCATAACTGAGTGCTATCAGGTTTTTACAACTGTCTGCAATGCTTCCCTCTCTCTTATTTAGAACAAATTAAGTTTTGCTGCCCTTTCATTTAGTCAGTAGGCAATTGGCCAACTCTTGAGTTTTACAGAAGTTGATGGGGTTCAACTTTTAGAATGAGCCAGAGAAATAGAAATAGCAGTGTGCCAATCTGAAACTACTTTGTTTGGGAAAGCTAAGTGCCAGTGAGAATATATTACTTTATGTCTTGCAATTATATGGCCTTTATTATTGAAATCTAAACAGGAAATAATGGCTACAAAGCAAAGTGAGATTATCTCAGTCATGCTTACCGAAATGTTCAAATTATGTAATTTAACATATTGGCAGATGCCTCTCTTTAAGTTATTTTTTTTTTCTTTTGGTCCAAGTGGGCACCCAGATAAGTGTGAGACTTCTATTTTAAGTTTTATTTAAAGTATACCATGACCTTGTTGTTTTTTATAATAGCACTTTTCCCTTTGCATGCTTAAAATTAAGTTGGTCTAGTTCATTTCTTTGAATTCAGATTTCAAAAATTATTGGGGGCTTATTTTTTAGCTTTCCAGCTAAACATTTAGCAGAATTATAATTATATGTTAACCAAGTAATGTTTAGCTATTTTCTTTGTCTCAGTTCTTTAGAGCAGGGGTGTAAAACTCAAAATGAATCAACAAGGGCACTGCATTCCTCTGTGTAGATTCTGGAAAACTGTATATCTTCTATTTTAAAAAAAAAATCAATTAGGTTTCACTTTGTTAAATATCAATCTCCCCAATTCCTCTTCTTGATATAAAGCATTGAGGAGGAAGAGGAAGGTCATGTGTGATTATCTAATAATGTCTTTCTTCGTCTTCTCCATGTGATGATAATTAACTAATTGCACGCTTAAGTGTTAAGCCAGGGGTCTTTAAACTTGGCCCTTTTATGACTTGTGGACTTCAACTCCCAGAATTCCTCAGCCAGCGTGCCTGGCAGAGGAATTCTGGGAGTTGAAGTCCAGAAGTCATAAAAGGGCCAAGTTTGAAGATCTCTATGTTAAGCTAACTAAATTGGCAAGCTGGAGCCATTGCATCAGTGGATTGAATTTTTAGGAAGCTTCCCAATTTCCCATTCAGCCCCTGATTGAAATTGGTGGAACTTGGTTGAACCCTGGGGGCGCAGTAGTTACAAGGCAGTATTGCGGGCTAACTCTGCTCACAACCTGGAGTTCGATCTTGATGGGGCTCGAAGTTGACTCAGCCTTCCATCCTTCCGAGGTTGGTAAAATGAAGACCCAGATTGTTGAGGGGCGATAGGCTGACTCTGTAAACCGCTTAGAGAGGGCTGTAAAGCACTGTGAAGCGGTATATAAGTCTAAGCACTCTTGCTCTCGCTAGTAAATCTATGGGCCACATTGGGAATCCCCGCAGACCTTACGTGGGACACCCCTGCTTTAGAGTTTGCTCCTCACCCACAAGCAAACCGCAACTGCAACCTTCCAGTAACTAGAAGAGGGGTCCCCAACCTTGGCACCTTTAAGACCTGCGGACTTCAACTCCCAGAATTCCCCAGCCAGCATGGCTGGCTGAGGAATTCTGGGACTTGAAGCCCGCAGGTCTTAAAGTTGCCAAAGTTGGGGACCCCTAAACTAGAACACCCTAGAACAGTGTTTCTCAACCTTGACAATTTTAAGGCATGTGGACTTCAACTCCCAGAATTCCACAGCCAGCATTGCTGGCTGTGGAATTCTGGGAGTTGAAGTCCACATGCCCTTAAAATTGTCAAGGTTGAGAAACACTGCCCTAGAATATTTTTTTTTTTAAAAAAATGTAACTTTGCCATTTTTTTTTTTTTTTGTATGTATTTTTTTCCACCCCTTTCCTTCGATCTCGGCTGCAAATTCTCTCTCAGGTCTCTGCTGGCTCATCCTCCCAACCATGGATGTCGTTCGACTCACAACAGTCCAATTCACACTGCTACTGGCTCACGGCTTACTCAGAACTTCTCTGTGTCTGTTCCCACTCTCATCTACACTGGTACGCGGACTGCTCAGATTCAGAAGCTGGGGAGAGACAGGCAGGCAGGCACAACGACAGGCAGGCAGGCAGGCAATGTAGGCAGGTGTCTGCATCCCTCAGAGTTCTTCTCCTCCAGATAAGTCCTTTGTATTCACCTGCTAAGTCAGAGGAAACAGGAAACCTCAAGGATAATCTTCTGATCTCTCTTTTTTTGCTTTATTGTGCATACCTGTTTTCTTTTTTTTTCCTTTCCCCCATCCCACCCTTTCCAATAACGACGTTTGCATCTCAGGTGTGTCTCTCGTAGTAGGGGGAGAAATATACATTTTGATCGGGCTTCAGGCTTGATCACGATGTTCTCAAAAAAAGGTTTCTGTGCCTTAAACTGGACCGACAGGTAAGGCCTTGCTACAGGTAGCAGCGCTTGTGAGTACCAACGTCTGGGTACGATTCTCCTCTTTCCGCTTTGTTTTTAGCTGTGGCAACCTGCAAGTGCTAACGGATAAGGAAACATTTTTTTTTTAATTTCCTGGAAATATATATGCGTCTTTATATATATAAATATATAAAATATTTGTCTTGTGTGTACGTCGGGGCACAGATTATATAATCTGCAACATCGCTTTGTTTTCTTTTGTAACGATCCGGTTCAAAAAAAACATACCGTATTCTTGCAGCCATGGTTTTTGATGGGTTTTATGTTCTCGTTTACTTTCCCGCTTTTCAATGCTTTATGCTTTTAGCTGTGGTTTTTGTTTTGCTGGTCAATAATGCTCATTTGCCTCCAGGACGTTGCCCGGTGAACAACCTTGTCCGATGCCTGTGGGCATCGGTAATCCAGCTTCCCATCTGAAGTGAATCATTGGCCCTGTCCCCTCCCCCCTCCCTGTCCACATCCTGGTTTTGGGATCATCAGCCCGGTCCTTTGATGTAGGATCACTGAATCTGTTTCCACCTTCCTTCTGGCAGGATTCCTTTCAATGAAGATCCCAACCCCAATCCTCATTCATCAGGACCCTCCACCCCTCTGAAAAACCAAATCTATTCCTTTTCACCTTCCAAGTCCTACAGTCGACAGTCCTCCTCTTCTGACACCGATTTGAGTTTGACACCCAAAACGGGTAAGGTGCTTCCACCCACGTTATTTTAATTTGTTTGTGATTTGTTTTGCTGAATTTGTGTTGTTTCTATTTTAGCTTTTCACTCACGGCCTTTCTCTGTTTTGGGCATCTAGTAGCTATTTGCATAAATCTTTGAATTGTTTATCGAATGATGTGGCATCTGGATATCTTCTGCAAGCTGACATATAAGCCAATACACTTAAGATTATCCTAAGGAGTTGTCTTTTCATTTCCTCCACATCATATTGTAAATTATGGGGATTAAAAGTAACTCTGATACATTTGGGAGATAGTCTGGGAGTGTCTTTCTGAAAATGTGCAAATAGGTATAGCAGTGTAAAACTTTTCTTGTATCTGCACGTCTTTGCAATCCGCTGAATAAGGGCTGGTTGACTGTCTCTTGAGCAGCTTTGAAGATGACAATAAGATATCTTTCATGTTAGAACAATCTTCAGTTTTCTAAATCTTGATTTAGAAAATGAAATTCCACATTAACTTTTTACCATTGTCAAAACGTAACTTCAGATATGACAAACCCAGAGAGTCCTCAACATACGACCACAATTGAACCCCAAATTTCCATTGCTGGGCAAGATAGAGGTTTAGTGAGTTTTGCCCCATTTTACGACCTTTCTTGCCACGCTTGTTAAGTGAGGCACTGCAGTTGATAAGTGAGTAACACGGTTGTTAAGTGAATCTGAATTGCCCCATTGACTTCGCTTGTCAGAAGGTCACCTAAAGGAGATCACATGACCCCGGAACACTGCAGCCGTCATAAATGCGAGTTGCCAAGTGTCTGAATTTTGATCATGTGACCATGGGGAGGCTGCAACGGTTGTAAGTGTGAAAAACAAACATAAGGCACTTTTGCTGTTGAAACTTTGAACGGTCACCAAACGAACGGTTGTAAGTAGAGGATTACCTGTATATGTGGAGTGTATGCATATCATATCAGAAACAGAACGGAGCAGAAAAGCCTCTGTCTTTTCATGTGGCTGCTTCGCTCTGCCTACAAAACGCAGTGATTCTCAAGCTATTAGCCAGAATTCCCAGGAGTGGCACCGAAACTGAGACTTAATAAAAAGCCACAATAAACTATTGTTTCTCACTTCTAACGACAACTCTGAAATGAGAAACCAGTGGCTGTGAGAAGAGGCCAGATGAAATAGCAAGGTTTGTTTATAGTTCATCTTGTTAAGCTGGGATTTGGGTTCACTAAAAACGTGAACCTCCCATTCCCTGCGCGTATGTCTGTTCTCCAATCGAGAAGCATGGCAAGGAATTTTTAACAATATGGCTTCTCACATTTATAATGCTGAAACATAATGGCTTTAACAGAATATAAGTAAACCCGATTCATAATCTGCACATCCCTGGGTGGGCAAAAAAAACCCCTATGCTTTTGCTTTCTTAAGATTAGGAAGGATAATACAGTAGTTCTTGACTTACAGCCACAATTGGCATCAGAACACTGGCCAGTATGGTCTACTTCAGGTTTGTTGAATCCACAGCTCTGAAAATAATTCCATGAGCCCAAGACAACTTTAGGCAAGTGACACCCTCATATTGCACTGTTAAATTAAAAAGGAATTTGAAATTATCTCGAGTGCTATTTTGAAATACTTCCAAGGATCCCTGGAAGTAGATAGGAAATGCCAAAGCTCTGTAAATTATGTCTAGTATAGAACATAGACTAATAGGGTTGGAAAGGACCTTGGAGATCTTCTAGTCCAACCCCCTACTCAAGCAGGAGACCCTATACCATTCCGGATAAATGGCTGTCCAGTTCATTTTTGAAAGCCTCCAGTGATGGAGCACCCACAACATCTGGAGGCAAGTTGTTCCACTGATTAATTGTTCTAACTGTCAGGAATTTTCTCCTTAGTTTTAGGTTGGTTCTCTCTTTAATTATCTTCCACCCATTACTACTTGTTCTGCCCTCAGGAGCTTTAAAATAAGTCAGATTCACTGCTTGTAATAATGCATATAATAGATGGGAAATTTAGCTTTAGAGTGTTATGTTAAGTTTTTCAGTTATGGAAGCTCGGAGTCTGAAAAACGAGACTTGTACTTTATTTACTAAATCAACAATCTAATACAGAGATTGACTATTTTCTGAATGAAGATTTTGGTGCTTACCCAAAGTATATATACATATATGTGTGGAGGAAAGTGAAAAGAAGGGAACAAGGTGATTTTATCTCTTTTATTTTCAAATAAAAAGTAAAATGCAACGTATCTTTTAAAACTGAAGGCTTTCAAAGCGAGCTGCTCCCATTTCCATCAGAAAAAGTGCAAAATCGTTCTGAAAAGGGGAAATTTGTTTATTTATTTGTTGTTTATCAAATTTCCGCACCATTCATCTCCCCTCTGTAACGTATGGGTATTCCTCTCCTGTAAAACCCATTCGGTGGGGTTTTTACAAGCTTTTAAAAAAAATAAAAAATAAAAAAAAATTAAAGCACACTTTCACGACTTTAAAAATGGAGAAACAATAGATGAAGTTGTCTTGTTGAATGTGCCCCTTCATTGTGCTGCATTTCGTCATCCTGTGAATTGTAAATCTGTAACGGTTCATAATGCTGCTCGTTGTTTGTTCTCTCTCTCTCTCTCTTTCTCTCTCTTTTTTTTTTTTTTACAAACCTGGTTTTGCTTGAGTCATTTTGCTCTTTCTTTTCTGCTTGATTTCTTTTTCTTTTCTTTCTTTTTTGTCATTTTCTGAAATCTACCATCTCTTTACTGCTTTTCTCCGCAGCACTTCCCCTGTGGGGACCCAAGATTTGCCTGCTTCCCAGTTCCCCAACCTTATCTTGTCGTTCCCCACCACTTACAAAGCCCCGTCTTCTCTGCTCCGAATCTAGCTCTAACCCTCTTCACCCTAGCCCAGTTCTCAGGAAAAGTATTTCTTTCACTGAAGAGCTACTTCTGGCTGCTTCCGGTAGGATTACTCATCAATCGCCTTGATGGTTTGGGTCGTGGCACCAAGCACAGTCTGAAAGCTTCTTATGATTTCTTTTCTTTTCTTTTTTTTTTCCTCCCTAGCCCAGGGGTAGGCCACCTTGGCTCTTTTATGACTCGTGGACTTCAACTCCCAGAATTCCTGAGCCAGCATGGCTAAGCACGGAAACCTCTCCCTTTCCCCTCAGCACGGCTGGCTCAGGAATTCTGGGAGTTGAAGTCCACCAGTCATAAAAGAGCCAAGGTGGCCTACCCCTGGCCTAGGCCCGTTTTAAAATCCCAAAACTGCTGGCTACATGACGTTGATGTAATTACTCTGCCAGGATTGGTTTTCCCATTCCCTTTCCCCTGCCCCCCCCCAAACTTTATCACTATTGGATTTTTTTAAAATCATTTTTATCATGCCTTTTTAAACATTCTTTTCCCCTCCCAAAACTTTATGAGATAGATAATTGGTCTTTATTCCTTAAAAAAAAAAAAAGAATTGTGGTACAGGCAGTCCTCACCTTACGAGCACAGTGGAGACCAAAATTTCCGTGGCTAAGCAAGACGGTTTTTAAGTGAATTTTTTCCCCTATTGCACAATCTTTCTCGGCACCGTTGCTAAGGGAATCGCTGCAATTGTTAAGTTAGGCCAGGGGTAGGCAACCTCGGCTCTTTTATGACTCGTGGACTTCAACTCCCAGAATTCCTGAGCCAGCATGGCTCAGCTTGGAAACCTCTTCATTTCTCCTCAGCATGGCTGGCTCAGGAATTCTGGAAGTTGAAGTCCACGAGTCATAAAAGAGCCAAGGTTGCCTAACCCTAGCCTAAGTCCTCCTGTTCTAAGCGGTGAGCCTCCTAGCCTGGGGGTAGGCAACCTCGGCTCTTTTATGACTCGTGGACTTCAACTCCCAGAATTCCTGAGCCAGCATGGCTCAGCTTGGAAACCTCTTCATTTCTCCTCAGCATGGCTGGCTCAGGAATTCTGGGAGTTGAAGTCCACGAGTCATAAAAGAGCCAAGGCTGCCTACCCCTGAGTTAGAAACATAATTGTTAAGTGAATCTGGCTTCCCCATTGGCTTTGTTCGTGAGAAGGTCACAAATGGTGATCACATGTGACATACATGTCCAGGATAAATGAAGTCAATGTAAATACGAACCGGTTGCCAAGCATCAACATTTTGATCACCTGACCATAGGGGTGCTGCTCCACCGGTTTTAAGTTGCAAAATGGCCAGAAGTCCCTTTTTTCCCAGTGCTGCGGTAACTTCGAACAGTCACTAAACGAATGCTTGTAAGCCGAGGACTACCTGTGTAACCGTCCCATTTTTGGCCATGTTTCAATGCTCCTCTGTTTCGAATGGGAGGAACATTCTTCTTTTTCTCCTTCGTCTTCTTCAAGTCATTCATATTACTCTGTGGACCATCATGTGGCCATCAGTCTTGCTTTTTTTTTTTTTTTTTTGTATCTGCAATTTAAATGCCCTTCTAAATGTTCACGGTATAAATGTCAGTTTTGCCTGTCCTTTCACAAGGCTGTTTCAGCGAATGTGAACTTGGTTGATGCTGTGGGGCAACAGAGTTTGGGTTGTTCTCTTCCTGCCCATGAAGTACGTTTCATTTCTACAACAGCCTTCATTCCATTTCTGTCTCTGCTCTTAGTATCGTATAGTCCCCTTGTCAGGCAGATTTGACTGCGGAAAGAAAAAGAAAGGACAATGTGATTGCCTGCACCATGCAGAATGGGACTATATGGATGCTAATATTTGTTTCCTTATCCAAAAACAGCTAAAAATGGAGGTTTTAATAGGACAGGCGTGACCAGGGATCTGTAAACATAAATTTAATCGTGCAATCGAGCAGATTTGTTTAAGAGCCTATCTATCAAGCAATCTTAGATGGTGTAAATTAGTATCCATTTACGTTCTTACTGTGTTTGTCCATATTTTTCCTTTTTTCACACAAGCTGCAGGATGAATAGTTTTAACAGAATGTCCAATCCTGGAGTTTTGTTGTTTTTATCCAGAGAAATGAGAATTTTTAAGCCACCTCTCCCCCCCCCCCCAGTTTAAAATTAGCTTTCATTCTGGTTCATGTAAGCATATAAAATTGTGCCCCTGGACTTAACCAACATACTAAGGTATCTCCCTATTAATTAGTTTGCTGATGGTTTGTTAAGAGAAATTAGAATTCTCTCCTTATTAGTTGTAATTGTAGACATTGAGTCTGATCAGGAATCCATTTAGCTCAGTATTATCAAGGCTGATTATCACTGGGTGTTTGGTGTTTATGGCAATTGGAGATACCAAAGACTAATACTTGGAACTTTGAATTTAAATTATATCTTTATGACTTAGATACAACCTTTTCTAAATAAATTTAATGGAATTACTCTCTAAACACTGATGTGAAATGCTCATCATTTTGGCCTTGAAAATACATTATTTTCCTTTATATGATTACACTTTTTTTCTAATAGCTGTGTGGGCTCCTTAAATTATCATAGAGTACCAAGTTTTAGTCCCTTGCTATGTCAAAATGTTGCTAGAAGTCAAAAAAGACTTGATGGCATATAATCATGTGAAAACCTATATATCTCAGACTGCAGTCTAGTAATGCCATCTTTAAATGCTCTGAAATATTTAACTTCTGAATTCTGTTTGGGTTTTTTAAAAGTTCAAATAGTGCTGAGGGGCATAATCTTTAGCCAATGGCTTACTAAAGTTTACATCTAGCATGATCATGATTAATAGCTTTTGCACATAAATCATAGGCTATGTGCACACTAATTACAGTTAAAAATTATAGCCTGTTAAATGAGGCTTATCTTTTTCCTACTACATATATCTTTTCATAAATTAATTGATACACAAATTTGACTTTTTGACCATCTCAGGTTAGACTTTCACAGGGTTGTCTACATTTGCTAGTCATCAAACATGTGCCATATTTTTAATATGACTTTGATGTAATGTCTGTTAATTGTTTGATTTCACTTTGACTTACGTGCTAATGTTCTTTAGGAATGGGAAGTGGTAGTGCTGGAAAAGAAGGGGGGCCTTTAAAAGCTCTGTTAAGACAACAAACTCAGTCAGCTCTGGAGCAAAGGGTAAGAAATTCATTAAATCCTGTTATATATTTGATGTATGCCAGCATAGTTCATGTCCAACAATGGGATTAACTTCTCAGAAAATCTGTGTAGGATTTCAGCCTAGAGTTATCACCTTAGAAACATTCCTGTATTTTCCTACTGCTGTATAGGAAAACAGCATACTGTTTCCTTTGTTATTAAATGATTATCTTTCTGCTGCAATTGTGAATTATATAGGCTGCCATCTTTATTTGGACAGAGGAATTAAATGCATATGCCTATAAAGAAGAGATTTACATCGTGAAGATTTTCACGAAGGTCATAAGGTTTTAATTGGTCTTTTTGTGGATGACATAAAGGTGTGTAATCAAGCTGACCCTCCTGGGGCTATTCGTAACATGGAAAACGATTTGGCTTCGTTGGAAAATTGGTAAAAAAAATATATATATGGTAACAGCCGTTCAATGTTTCTAAATGTAAAATTGTGCACTTAGAAAAAAGGAATCTTCTGGCAGGAGACAATACTGGAAGTTCAGCATTAGACAAAACAGCAGAAGAAAAGGATTTATAGTAGATGATTGCAAAATGAGTAAATGGTGTGGCCAGGCAGCTGCAGAGGCAAACAAAATTCTGGGATGCATCACTAGAGGGATCACCAGCAAGAAAAAGGAGGTCTTAATCCCACTATATAGGGCAGTGGTGGCGAACTATGGCACGGGTGCCAGAGGCGGCACTCAGAGCCCTCTCTGTGGCCACGCACGCCATCACCACAGCCCCACCACCCCCCATGCCCCCCTCACCAGCAGCCCCCTTGGAGGAGAATGGCCCCGGGTGCAGCCTGCGCAGAGCAGGGTAGCCAAGGACATGGCAGCCGGGTAGTAGGGACAAGACTCCACCCTCGCGCCTCATCGCTTACAGATGATGCTGTGGGGTGTGGAAAGAAGGCGTGGCTGCCATGATGTTGCTGGGCCACTTGGGTGATCTGCTGTGGTGGGCCGTGGAGGTGGTGGGTGGCCCTGCGGGCAGGAGAGGCAGGGGCGAGACGGTTTTTGGGCACTCGATCTCTAAAAAGTTTGCCGTCACTGATATAGGGCTTTAGTCAGACCCTATATAGAGTGTGATGGCTCAAATGGTTAGGACTGGGTTGGAGGTTAGCAAGCCCACGTTTGAGACCTGAGTGCTACTGCGGGGCAGGGTGAGCTCCCATCACTCGCTCCAGCTCCTTGACGGAGTCATGAAAGGAGCCCCCACGGGTGTAACCCAGGCAACAGTGATATCCTTTCAACCGGGAAGCACCTTAAATGGTTCCTCCGACATGAACGGGATGAGGTCAGACCCCATTTGGAATACTGTGTCCAGTTCTCACTTAAAAAAAGATATTGATAAGACTCAGCGAGTCCAGAGACGGCCAATAAGAGTGGTGGAAGGGTTAGGGTTAGGGTCTGATGGACAGAACATATCAGGAGAGATTGGATGCACTGAATATGCACAGCCTGGAGGACAGAAGGGAAAGGAGGGACATGATTGAAACCTTTCAATATATTAAGGGTATGAATAAGTATTTTCAATATTAAGCAAAAATCAAGGATCCAGGGGCATAGCCTGAAACTGACAGAGGGAAGTTCAAATGTAATGTTGGAAAGTATTATTTTACAGAAAGAGTAGTAGATGCTAGGAACCAGCTTCCTGTGGAAATAGTGGGTCAATCATCAGTTTAAACTGAGTTTAAACATGCTTAGGATAAACCAGGGGTAGGCAACCTCGGCTCTTTTATGACTCATGGACTTCAACTCCCAGAATTCCTGAGTCAGCATAGCTGACTCAGCATAGCTGACTCAGGAATTCTGGGAGTTGAAGTCCATGAGTCATAAAAGAGCCGAGGTTGCCTACCCCTGGGATAAACCAATATCTATCATCTAACCAAAATTAAAAAATAAAAATAAAAAACCCCTCAAAAGGCAGACTAGATGGACCACTAGGTCGTTTTCTGCCATCTGCTTCCATGTTTCTATAAACTTGAAAGTATAAATATATGCATTTTTTTTCTCATCAGCCTATCTTTCTCATAATTCCTATTTTAGTCAACTTTGAGCTGAAGCAAAAATAATAATTCTCCTTTACGTGAGGAATAGTAATCTAAACACACAAGCTACCTTCCTCGTATCCTACATGCACACTTTAATTTTATATCTTTAAATGTTTAATTCTGATGATTAGAGCTGAAAACCACATTGTGAATAAGGACCTCACTTTCACTGGGTGAATTTCAAGTCACTTGTAGCAGTGAAATTTTACTTGAGTGAAGAGGGTTCTGCCGAACATGTTTTTATGTCATGTCCCATTAAAATGTGGATTAATTCGAAATGAATAGCAGTAGCATTATATCAGTGGATAATTTTCTCCCCGTTTTTGTGTTACCTATTGCTAAGGGAGGATCGCCTCATAAATTCTGTAGAAGGCGGGTATGTTCCAATTGTTGTGTGACACTTCACCTCTTTCTCTTTGTGTTCATATTTATTTTGAGACGCGTTTTTCTACCTCAGAGCTTTTATTTGAGGAATTTGGAGCCAATTATTATTTTCTCCACATTCCTTTTGGAATTGTTCCTAGGCAGAAAAATGAGAAAGCTGTCCGGAACTTTTAAATAGTCCAGTTGCTCCTTTGAGTTCGGCATGACTGTACATTTCATGTAACATATCATTTTTTATTGATTTGATTTTGTAATATTTAATTTGAATGCTAACAACGGAAAAAATGTGTTGACTTCGTTGACTTAGCTGCTTATCCTAACTATTTATATATTTTGTGGATAATGGGTTTAGTCTTTTAGTTGATATGCAGTAAATGTTTTCATTCTTTACAAATGTTGACTTTGCAGTCGCAGTAGTTAAATGTACATTTTTTTTGTAAGTCACAGTCATACAATTTTATAAGATCTTTAAACGATTTTGCCTTGAACATGATGTATTAAAAGCTTCTTCACAAATGACATGCATAGAGAATATGCATGATGCATGTTCAGATTAGCTTCATATTGGAAATATGATTTTTTATTTGCTTCTGCTTTCCCCCCTATCAAATCAAGTCCTTTTTGGCATTTATAGTGCAACATGTCCAATAGTGACTAAATGGTCCTCCACGGGAAATACTAATAGTATAATAGCTATCCGGAAATATAACATTATTTAACCATTGTATCCTAAAGAAACTCCACAGGTGCTACTAGGTATTTGTAAACTTTACTACTGCTTATGTGCATATTTTGTACACTACGATAGAGTTTCACAAAAATTGGACGAGAATATCTTGAATTAAGATATTAAAGCAGAGAAATAATTCATTTGATGCTTTTCATTAGGTACGTTCTTCACATAAAAATATTTTTAATCTTCTTGGTCTAATACAGTGTTTCCCAAACTTGACAATTTTAAGGCATGTGGACTTCAACTCCCAGAATTCCACAGCCAGCATTGCTGGCTGTGGAATTCTGGGAGTTGAAGTCCTCATGCCTTAAAATTGTCAAGTTTGGGAAACACTGGTCTAATACAGTGTTTCTCAACCTTGATGGAATTCCATCTTTTCCCCGTGAATATTCTATATATTTCCGATTCACTAGCTAGCTAAATAGTCTATGCCAGACAGACAGACTATACCCTGTTTAAAGTTCTCTTCCACAAGAACCACGTAGGCACGCATATCAGTTATAGTAATAGTAATAGTAATAATAGTAAAGTTGGAAGGGACCTTGGAGGTCATCTAGTCCAACCCCCTGCTCAGGCAGGAAACCCTACACCATTTCGGACAAATGGCTGTCCAGTCTCTGCTTAAAAACTTCCAGTGTTGGAGCATTCACCGCTTCTGGAGGCAGGTTGTTCCACTGATTAATTGTTCTCACTGTCAGGAAGTTTCTCCGTAGTTCTAGGTTGCTTCTCTCCTTGATCAGTTTCCACCCATTATGGTGAAATTCCTTTTATCTGAATTGCATATTTTTTTTAAAAAAAAAATACAGAATCCTTATCTATGAGCAAATTAGATTAGTGCCAATAAAAGAGAAATTATTACATTATCGATTTAGTGCTTTAAAGCAGCAGTTTTTCTAATGCTACTCCTTTTTTTAATGATCCTGTAATCCCTTAATTTGGAGTAGAGTTGGGGTGACTGGATGGAGTTGGGCATTTACTGGCCGGATCCTTCCCGACACCATGCCGAATTCTCAGCAGATATTTTTATGTTGCGCCCTAGGATTGAACTCTCAACCTTCCGAGTGGGAGGCGAGCGTGTTTATCACTAGGCCACCATGCCACTCGCAGTTTTCCTAATACCATCAGAGATTTTTCATTAATCCAGTAATAGCCATTGCCAGAATCAGATGCTTATTCCTCTGCTTCCAAACGTTACCCAGTGGATTCTAAAATAATGCTGAAGTTCCTCTAGCTGTGTTTCATATTAAAACTTACATCCAAATATATATTTCCAGTTGTTATATAGGTTCCTTTTATACTGTCTCTAGGAAGCAAGTGTTTCTAAATCAAGGTTAAGTTGCTGTTAGTTTTGAATTTGGGTGAGGTCACTCAATTTCACAGCATCCATGTCCAGCTTACAATTAATTTTTTTTCAAAATGTAAAAGATAACAGAAATATCAAAATGAAAGTATGCAGGTTACTGGAAGTCAAGACCAAAAGACACCATAGGGCCGTGGTGGCGAGAACCTATGGCACATGTGCCACAGGTGGCACGCAGAGCCCTCTCTGTGGGCACGCGCGCTGTCGCCCCAGTCCTAGGCCTTCAGCTGGGTTTTATAAAACTATTTCGCTTTAGGCCTCTGCCGCTGTGTGCAAAAAAAAAAGGTTCAATCAATCAATTTCAACTTCCCGTGGGAAAAAAATCTCGCAAAGTTGGAATTGATTGATTGAACTTTTTAGTCCCACGCAGTCTGCCGTTACCACCACAGCCATGCCCACCCAATTGGCCACACCCGCCCAATGGGCCACACCCACCTAAAGGGCCATGCCCGCCCGGCATCCGACACATAAGTGGGTTTTGGGTTGCAGTTTGGGCACTCGGTCTCTAAAAGGTTCACCATCACTACCATAGGGACTCAACTGCCATGTACGCCCAAGGCCTGGGAGAACAATCACGTCTTTTATTATTTGTAGAAAGTCAATAGGGCAGGAACCATAAAGATCACTGCAAAGGTATCATTCCACAGAGCAGGAGTGATCTCCCAAGAAGTTGCGCTTTCTGGATCCCGTGAGAGGCACTACAACAGAGGTCCCCAACCTTTTGAGCACCAGGGACCAGTTCCGTGGAGAAAGGTTTTTCTATGGACCGGAGAATGTGTGGTTTTGTGTACTGCCTGAATCCCACGGATGGGATTTTGCTTGTTTGTGCGGCCCTGTTGCTGGTGTGCCGCGGCCCAGTACCAGTCCATGGACCAGGGGTTCGGAACCCCTGCACTACAAGATCTGTGCCTGCACTGAATGGACAGAAGCAGTCCCTCTAATAGCCAGGCCTATGCCATGAAGAGCTTTATGGGTGATAAGAATTGCATCCAGGAGTCAACTGGCAGTCAGTGCAGCTCACAAAGCAGAGGGGGACATATATATGTTCCACAACATAGCCATCACTGCCTATGCAGCTGTGGACCAGTTGTATTTTCTGAGTGGTGTTCCAGAACAGCTCCAAGTAGCATGCATTATAATAGTCCAATCGAGAGGTGACCAAAGCATGTGTGACTATTCAAAGGACCTCCTAATCCAGGAACAGGCACCATTGCCACACCTTGATGTACCTGTACAAAGGCTTCAAGCAGGAGCTGTGTGTTCAGAAAGACCCTCACGTCAACGTGCACCCCATTAAAGAATAAAGATGGAGTATCACAGAAAAGGGGGAGGTGAGGTCAAACATGGTTCTGACAGAGCAAACCGTTGAAAAGAACTTCAAGCCAAGGATTTCTTCCTTAAAGAACATTTTATTTTAGGAAATAAGATATCGGCAAGTACAAAGGTGAACCCAAGACTAAAATCCCCTCTCTCTGGTTACAAAGTTGCAAGTTGCAATTCCCACCTCAATTAGCTGTCATCAATCACATTCACCAATTGTTACAAAATGGGGCTCTCCTCCTAGCTCTCCAACCCGCCAAAATGTTATCAGCAATGACCTTGGTTCTCACACACATGAATTGTTTTGGCTAACTGAAAACTACAACTTTCCCCCCTCCCTCCTCTTTCAGCTAAAGCCTCTAAACTAATATGTGGCAATGAGACAAAATGAAAATGGCTTCAGTTTGGTTTGTCACAGCGTTGACAGATTGAGCTAGACCTGCAAATTGGATCTGATCTTCAACAGCATCTCTTAATCAGCCCAGAGCCAAGAGATATAACTGGGGATCATTAGCATATTGATGATATTTGACTCCAAAGTGATGGATGGTCTCACCTAGTGGATTCATGTGAATGTGAAAAAGGGAAAGAGAGTTGAATCCTGGGACACTCCACAAGTAACAGATTATAAGTGTGATGTGTCAGGATTGAAACTAGACACAGAGCCAATGCAGAGTAGTGCCTTCCATTTCCAATCCCTGAAGCTACCTAAGAGAATGCAGTAGTTGGTGATACCGAAAGCTGCCAAGAGATCAAGGAGCGCTAAGGTGATTGTACCCCCCATCCTAGCTCCACTGCAGATTATCAACTAGCAAGACCAGTGTGGTCTCCATAACTGCATATTGGCCTGAAATCCAACAGAAATTGGTCTAGATCAGTGGCCTCCAACCTTTTGAGCACCAGGGACCGGTTTCACGGGGAAGCATTTTTCCGTGGACCAGAAGAGGTGTGGTTTCACCTGCATCCTGTAGATGGGGCTTCACTTGTTGGTACAGACCAGTTTCTGGCATGCCGCGGCCCGGTGCTGATCTACGGACTGGGGGTTGGGGACCCCTAGTCTAGATAATCTGTTTCTTCCAGGGTCCTTTAGAGTTGAAGCATTAGATTTCAACAGCCATGTTGTATGAATCCTTAATTAAAAATAAATCGCTACTGCAATTTTCTCCCAAGTAAGTGTACACAGCATTATAACTTGTAATACGGAGAAGAAGCAGTAAATGAGATTAGTACATAAAATTTCAAAATAAAAACAGGTGGGGTGCCACAATATAGAGCTCTTTAAAATGTGTTCCCCTTTTAAGGCCCTCGCCATAAAAATCTGACTCCAGCTTTCTATGGTGTCACAGCATATGGTTAACAGTTTTGTCTAGCAGCCGGATTACCTGGGGGGAAAGTAGCATTTTATTGGCTTTTGAGATGTCTGCTGCCCCAAGCAAACTGGATGGCGTACATTTTGCTTGCTTAATGCATAATGTAAACCAGGGAGAGGCAACATCATGATCGTGGACACCAGCATACACACGGCACCTCCTTTTCTATCTCCGCGATTTCTGGGGGTTTTTTTTTTTGAAGAGCAACATGCTACAATGTCATTGTTTAGCATCGGCATCATTTGCACATGGAACTCCCCAGAGACATTTTTAGAAAGTAAAATGGTGTGTGTGTGTCCGTGTGTGTGGCTACAGCCCAGTGTTTTGTTGGATGATGTGAACATCTCCTAAGTGGTAGAATGCACCCTAGGGGGAAGTGAGCCTTGGTGTCCACGCAGCCATCCTGCAAAAGAGTCCGTGTGACTTTCCCAAAACTCTTACCTGTGTCTGTTGACTTGAAGAGGTTGCCTGCTCCTGGTGTATATTTGAAGGCAGCCTTTTTCCCAGTTGTTTCCTTTCATTTGTATTTCATGAAATCCATGCATGTTGAGTTGGTGAGCCATTCAACGGCTGTTTTGTTCTTCTGATTGTCACAGGAATTCCCTTTTTTCACTTTGACGACGTTTCCTCCAGGCTTCCTTCTCCACGTAGGTGGGGTCGTCAGCGCCCGCTCTGTGAAGCTCTTGGATCGTATCCACAATCCAGGTACGTTATAAGCCTAAATCTGTTTACATTTCGGTCTGACCTTGTCTCGTTGTGCATTTATGTTTATCATCTGCTGGAGGTAAGAATTTGGATAATGTTTAATGGTTAAGCATACAGAGTGTTTAGCAAATATTTCAGACAGCTTCCTTGTAATGTGTTGTGGTTGGGTTTTTTTTTTTTGTGTGTGTATGTGTGTGTGCCATTGAGCTATATAACTCACACTCTAGAAATAATTGCTCTCATTTTGTTTCCAGAATCTGAAATTTAAATGCCGAGTAAGACTTTGAATAAATAAGTGCAAACTTATTAAGTCTTCTGTACTATCTCTTTTTTTAAATCTATAAGTTTTGACGCTGAAGAACGCCAACTGACGCGAATGATGATGATTTAGATAAGGTTCTTAAAATTACATAAAGTGTCTTCAAAAGATCCGTTTTAACTCAATCAGAATTACATTTTGGAAAGAGGAAATGGCTTCCTCCAACTGATAAGGAAATTATTATAGAAAACTAAGGATGTCAGTGGAGATTCTCAATCATCCAGGTCATGGTTGTCCCAAAGGTGCTTTTCCAAAAGGCAACTGGACTTTCTTGGGGTTTTTTCCCCCCTTAAAAATATTTCGCTTCTCATCCAAGATTTTTTTTTTAAGGGAAAAAAACAAAGAAAGTCCAATTGCCTTTAAGTTTGCTAAAGAAGGTTGATTCCTAGTGCCCAATCTGTTCTACTAAGGCTAGAGCAGTGGTTCTCAACCTGTGGGTCGGGACCCCATTTGGGGTCAAACGACCATTTCACGGGGGTCGCCAAACAACGCAGTCCGCCATTTTCCCCCCCCTTTTCCTTAGCTGTGCCACTCCCTTTTATTCTACTGGCTTTTGAAAGCCAATAGAATAGACTCTCTTGAATAGAGTCTAATTCTATTGGCTTTCAAAAGCCAATAGGAATTGTCCAGGCTGTCTCTGCCCTGCTGAGCCCGCCAAAAGTCCCATTCTGCAAACGGTGCTGTACCAGTTGAGTAGTCCTCAACTTACAACCGGTTGAGTAGTCCTTGACTTACGACTGGTTGGGGGTCGCGGCATTAAAAAAGTTGAGAACCACTGGGCTAGAGAATGCATTTCAAACAAAGATCTTCTTTCTTGTAAGGCTGGTCTTTTCATTTTCATTCTGATTATAACCATGTTTTCCAGTCTAGTACCTTTTCCCATGGAACAGAATGTGCATTGGTCTTGGTGGAGTCTTAATGACTCAGGATTAGTCTGGGAATTATACAATTAGTGCAGGAACTACTAGAAAATGATTGTTTAGATTTGTCCCCTTGAAAAAAACATTCTACGTGCTTGGCCTAGCATGGATTTAAGCTGGGCTCTCCAAACATGGCAATTTCAAGACGTATGGACTTCAACTCCCAGAATTCCCCAGCCATCCAGGAGCTCAAGCAACAACATGACTCTGGCACAGAGACATTTTTCCTAAGATAGCATTAAAGACCCCATCCAGCTTTGCTTATTTTGTTTGATCTTTTAGCCAATTAGAGCAGCCTAAATGGTAGACAAATTGATGAAATTAAAAAAAAAATATTAAAGATCTTCAGTCTTTGATCAGAACGAGCTAGTCCGAATGGATTATATCTCTGAGCAATAACTAGAAGCAGCAAATGTGAATGCTGCAAACTTTATTAGGAGCACAAAGCTCTCCAAATAATGTTCTATTACAGGTTTTTGTTCTGTAGTTAACTGGTCCAGGGTCTATAAGAGACTGGGTTAGATTCTTGCCCTTCCCCTGCCTATCCAGTCTTTTTAATTAGATGGCCAGATTTCTAAATAAATGAATAAATAATTAATAATTCTATTCATATAACAGGGTCCTTCTTGCCAATAAAAATAAACTCTGATAATTGATTAGAATGGAAGTTAATTGGAATTTGCTTGCCTTTTTGTTGTGGTACGGCTGAACAAATAAATGTTTTGATAGGAGACACATTTTTTTTTCTCCAAGAAGTTTTGAGAAAATTTTCTTAGGAATGTACCAAGTTATCCAGAAGATTCCCTGAAGGCTGATTCCAGCTTGTAATCTTGTCTAGTCTTTTCCTATAATCTTGTCTAGTCTTTTCCTATAATTCACTCCGGTCCCTTCCCAACTTCCTTTTGAGCAGATACTGATGTGAATGGAAGTCTCCATTAGGAACAAAAACAGCCAGCAAATTTACCCGCTTGTGTATTGTCCTTGTCCCCAACCCCCGGTCCGTGGACCAGTACTGGGCCACGGCATGCCAGCAACCGGTCCGCACAAGCAAGGAAAGCCCCATCCACAGGGTATGGGCAACTCACAAAACCACGCCCCCTCCAGTCCACGGAAAAACCTCTCTCCACGTAACCGGTCCCTGGTGCCCAAAAGGTTGGGGACCTCTGCCTTAGGATATCTTTGATCATCTGAATTGAATGCTTCTGTAATTACTTTGTCTGCTTTAGTGGAAGATTACATTGAATGCAATGAATTTTTTTAACAAAATGTCAGAAGAATGATCTTTAGCAGAGGAACCTCTGTCAGGGATAGCTAATATCAACATCTTGACTGCAGCAGCCATGTTTGCCATAACAGATTCACTCTGGGACAATAAGCTAGCTAACATTTTTTTTTCTATTAATCCTCTCCTTATTAATTTTTGTGGCCATTGCTGTGCTGAATGCTTTTTTTACAAAGTGTAGCAGCCAAGGTCAATATAGTTACTACTTAAAATTTTGCCAAGCTCCATTTGTGGGGAAGGGAAAAACGGTTTTATGATGTTATTTATTTTGGATAATGAAACATCTGCAAGAAAACAACCAAGCTCCGAGAGCACCAAGGACCCCTCGTTTCAACCCTGAGCTGCAAATATTCCCCTTTATTGGTAAAATGTTTTTGTCCTACCTGAATCTTTGACAAGAATCAAAAAGAGACTTTGGCCTACCCATTTTAATTGTATTTTTTTTAAAAAAGATAGGTCGGTTTTTAATTTTCCCCATTCTCTGCTTTCCCCCACCCCTCAGGTGAAAATACCAAAAATTAAGACTCTCCTTCAGCCAATGACATTTCTTCTCTTCAGTTTCCCAAAGAAACTTTCTCCCTTCCTAATGCCTCTCTGTTCTTGCCAAGAATGGATAATTGCCAGATAAGACAAGATGGGCTCTCTCTGGTAGAGGTCTAGCCATGGTTTTTGTTCTATTTATACCCTGTTATCAAAATAATGTTACTTTCAACGTGGCAATGATGGGCATAAGGCCCTGGTTGCTTTTGGCTTTGGCATGAAATTTGTGGATCATCATGCCTACTTTTGTGCTTGTAGACACACGTCAACCACCCAATATGTAGTCAACTCTGTAAGAATATTTTTTTTAGATTTTTCTACAAATCTCCTTATTTATTTATTTAGGAATGGTTAGTAAGATAGTATCATGAAACATGATTAAAGTTTATGAGCCTTTCTAGCACAAATAGGAGAGACTTTAAAATGCATAAACTGCTAGCTATGCACGGAGAAATGTAACCCAAACTTTCAAAAGGTGGTATTAATTATTTTATTTATTTGTTTTACTTAACGCCTACCCTTAGATTAACGCAGTATATTCCTTCTGTCTTTCTCTGTTTTCATTCTCTTATTAACTCTGCTGTCTATGTCTTTCCAGTTCCTTTGGACAACATTCTCAGTTGTGTTCTTGTTGGGTGTGTGTGTGAGACTGTGTGTGTTCTTTTTCTTTCTTTCACTATATTCTGCTGCCAAAACTGATCTATTTATTTGCTGTTTTGAACTCAGCCTTTGTCGGAATTATGGGTAACACAAGATCACACAAACTACTAGACTGGAATAGTTGCAATTCAGGTATTTTATTAGTCATTCAGTACTACATACACTGACAAAAATTATGGCAGCTCAGTGAAGTCTTTTTTTAGAAATACCTTACCTCATTGCCAAGCTAAATGTTTCAAATTTCATCACTTTTTTAAATTGTGAAATTTAAAATAAATTTTACGATAAATATGGTAGGTGATATTGTGAAATTAAATCCCATTAAGTTTGTTGCTAGACTGTATATCCCTCATTATCCCTGTATATCAATATAATTTAAATCACGCTCCAAAATCTTTCCATTTGAAATTTAGCTTTTTCTGGACTAGAAGCAGGATTTTCTGTGTGGGTCTTAGTTACGGAGATATTTCATTTGAAGATTTTATCTGTATTAGAAGCAAAATATGTTGCTGTTGAATAAGACTTTCATACTGTTTAGGTTATTTGTGGATTTTTGATATATTTACAGTTTTAATATGGGTCATTTAATTTTTAAATCGTCCCATAATATAATAATGGCTAACTGAAGAATACAGCCAGAGCCACATTATCAAGCTACAATATTGAAGTAGGGCTGGAAACCAGGTGCATGATTAGATTAGATAAGATAAGATAAGATAAGATAAGATAAGATAAGATAAGATAACCTTTATTGTCATTTTTTTACTGTGGGCACAAAGGCACACATAAAAAATGAAATTTAGTTGCCCGCTCTCAAATCATTATGTATGATTTGGTCTGTGTATTGCAGGAGTGTCAAACTTGCAATGTCACATGATGTATTGTGACTTTTTTTCCATTGCCGGCAATGCAGTTTTGCCATGATACATCTGCCCCGCAGGCTGGCAGTTTGACATCTCTGTTATATTGGATATTAGGTTACTGGATTAAAGAAATGAAAAACTTGTGTCTTACTTATTCTTTCGTTCAAGATCAGATAATTTAAATAGTGCTGAGGACCTGACTATGCAAAATGAATGACATACTCCTGTCTGGAACCTATAGATGGAGAGTTATTTTTTAAAAAATTGGAGAAAACAGCTGATCAGAATGAGTTGTAGTATACTTTTTCTACAAATGAATATTCAGCTTGCTTATGTTAATTATGTTACAGTGAGTTTGTATTCATTTGCTTCACTGTAGGAAGTTTGAAAAGGAAACCCTATTCTGGAATCTCTTTTCTAGTTGTACACAATTTCAGTCAGTGAAAAAGCATGAGATACATTTATAATGTTACATTTGTACATTTACTTAGCCATTGCATTTAAATTCCACCCTTTGCCCCACTGTACAGTACTTTAATTCAAGGAAACAAACAGGCAAAGAAGTAGAAGTAGCACAAGTCTCTCAAGCTATTTGTGGTCTTATCTGTGAGTCAACAGCATAATTTCATGTGATTGTTTCCTGTCCAAGAAGGGTGATTTGCAAAATCATATTGAATTCTCCAGTTATACTAAATTGATGATTGATAAATTTACCACCTAGATTTTTGTCAATAAAAGCATTCAAAATAAATCAGGTTATTCTGTTTAATCATTCTGATGCTGTATTTGCTTTTGCTCTGAATATTGATTTAAAAATTTCAAAACCATCCACTGATGGTTATTTATGGTATTCCTAATATTTCTGTATCCCCAAAATTACAGGTCTGTGTACAGTTGATAAATCAAATCACAAAAACCAATAGGAACCATAAGCATAATAAGGGGAAAAAATCAGTAAAATGTAATATAGCCTATTATTGATTGGATAGGAAACAGAGAGTAAATATTAGATTCCAAAGTCCTGTCAGAAAAATCATATATATATATTTCACTTTTTTAAGGGCAATTAAAATGGGATTTAGTTGGATTTGGGGGATAGCATATTCTAGAATATAGGTATTCTGAACCCTTTCTCTGTAGACTTTTAGAGATTAAAAGAAGAACTTTGAATTCTACTTGTACGCTTATTAAACACAAAATAGATAAGAGAGAGAATGATTTATTTCGGTTGTAGATCAGCAGAGCAATTTATGAACTAAATACAATTCTGCAACCCAAAACAAGTTAATCAAAATCATTAAAAGCACATAAAAACATAACACACAAATAAAAATCAATGACCCCAGGTAGTCCTCAATTTGATACTCTAATTGTGCCCAAAATTACAGTCGTAGGTCATGCTGATTGTTGGTCATGTGATCCCTGATTTTACAATTTTCTCTGTGGTGGTTCTTAAGCGAGCCCATTGTCCATAATTAGCCCTTTTTGCCAGAATTAAATGCTTTTGCCAGAATTAAATGCTGGTTTCTGTCAGAAAGCATTGTAAATCATGGTCACGTAACTGCAGGATGCTGCAAGCAGTAGGAATGCAGGCCTGTTGCTAAGCGCCCCAAATGCAGTCATGTAACCACGGGATGGAGGGGATCATTATTCCTAATAATATCAGCCTTTTTTTATTAATGGCTCAGTGCAGCATCAGCGTGTTTGAATGTTAAAATTAGTTAACTATTTTTTTTTTTAACCTCAGCAATTTCAGTAGAAGTAGATTAACCTTTAGGATTGCTTACAGTGGCTTGCTTATTCCACCTAATACCGGTAACGGTAAACCAGTGATACAGTAAATTATTGTATACACTGTTTCTGGTTCCTTGACTATTGCTAGGATTGATAATTTCATAGTAGAGTAAATCATGGTTGGTTCTCAACTACTTGAGCACTTGTAAAGTCTTTTTTATTAATCATTTCTTGGCTTGATAACACTGTTATCAAAGACAAAACTTATTTAGTCAAGCTGCAAAAAAATGATTGAAACTTGTAAGGAATATGCTTTCATTTGTCTCTGAAGTTCCCTGGTTCAATAATGGCACCTCCGGAATATTAATCAATGTTGGTTAGAGAGGGAAATATTTCTTCATTTATTTTGAGCATTGCCATTTCCAGTATATGTGTTCTTTCATTTACCTCAGTTGATTGATTTTGTATAGACACTGACCTATTTGTATTAAGCGGTCTACAAAGGAGTATTGTTAAAAAAAATGATGGCCTATGTTGCATTGGAAAATCTATGGTTATTTGTGTTCTGGCTAACTTTAGTTCCTGCAGAAGTTCTACTACAATAGTTATGTGAATACATTTGCATTTGGGTTTGGTTCCTGTTCCTCAGAAATGGAGAATCTATAGTCCCTCAGATGTTATAGAAACATAACTCTTATGGATTTTTACGTGTTCACTGGCCCTTGTTCTAGACCTATTGGAAGGCTACAGGTTCTCTAACCATGTAATATCTCTGTTTCTGTGAAATAATGATTGTGTGGAACAGCTGCTTTAGGTTGGGCTTGCAACCAGTCGCATGCCTAGTGCCATAAGAGTTTGGCATGTCGTATTGGAATATTACACTTTCGATAAATTGTTTAAATTCTTTATTTCTGATTCTCCAGGTTCGGCGATAATTACAGGTAGTCCTTGACTTACAACCATTCATTTAGTGACTGTTCAAAGTGACAGTGGCACTGAAAAAGTGACCATTTCTCACAACCCCGGCAGTATCTCCATGATCAAGTGATCAAAATTTGGATGCTTGGCAAGTGGTTCATATTTGTGACGGTTGCAGTCGTATGATCTCCCTTTGTGACCTTCTGACATGCAAAGTCAATAACGGAAGTCAGATTCACTTAACAACTGGGTTGCTAACTTAACAACTTCAGTGATTCACTTAACAACTGTGGCTCGTAAAACGGTGTAAAATTCACCTAACAACTGTCTCGCTTAGCAACAGAAATTTTGGGCTCAATTTTGGCCATAAGTCAAGGACTACCTGTATAGGATTTTCTGAGTAGCAGTTGGAAGACAGTGGCTGGATATCTTTTTAACAAAAGAGAGCAAATGTTCTCTGGTGAAGCTTACGTTTCATTCGCTTAGGTCCACACAACTGGATAACTACTGTAGATAAATTCTAGTTGTGTGGACTTAGATAATACCCTAGCATAGGCATCAAATGGAAGTCTAGGAGTTGAAGAGCAATACCTTGAGAGTGACAAGGATTGTCTGTATGGATGCATGTGGTTTGCCTTTGCCTTCTTCCTAGGGTTGAGAGAGGCTCACTGGCCCAAGGTTAGCTGGTTTTGTGCCTAAGGCAGGAGTAGAACTCATAGGTTTCCACCTTTATGGCTTAATCTCTACACCAAACGAATTCTTGATGATAAAGGCTGGGGGAAGCAATTTAACAGAAAACAGAGTTGGAAGAGACCTTATAGGTCAGTGGTGGTGAACCTATGGCAGGTGCCAGAGGTGGCACTCGGAGCCCTCTCTGTGGGCACACATACCGTTGCCCCAGCCTTGCTTCCCCCCACGACCCCCTCCTCTCCATCAGGCCCCCTGAAGGAGAGTCACCCTCGAGCGTGGCCCACACGGAGCAGCACAGCCAAGGACATGGCAACCAGGCAGCGTAGATAAGACTCTGCCCTCACACCCCATCATGCAGTTGATGCTGCAGGGCATGGGTGGAGGGTGTGGCCGCCATAGCGCTGCTGGGCTGCCTGGGCGATCTGCAGCGGGCCCTGAAGGCAGTGAGTGGTCCTGTGGGCAGGCGGGGTGGGGCAGGGGGTGGAGCGGGGCCAGTTTTTGGGCACTCGGTCTCTAAAAGGTTCGCCATCACTGTTGTAGGTCTTCTAGTCCAATCCCCTGCTCAAGCAGGAGACCCTACAACATTTCAGACAAATGACTGTCCAATCTCTTCTTAAAAACCTCCAGTGATGGAGCACCCACAACTTCTGGAGGCAAGCCATTCCACTGGTTAACTGTTTACAGTTTTTATGGTTATTTTTAAGGATTACTAATGCTATACACATCATTAGACCTTTGCTTGCTTTTAGTATAATTATGTATTGATTGACTACGTGCCATCAAATAAGTGGCAACTCTTAGTGACTTAGAGTAGACCTAAGTCTTCTCCAGTCTGGCCCTGTTGGTTTTTCAGCAGGGTATCCGTTGCCACTATAATTGAATCCATCCACCTTGATGCTGGTTATTTTCTCTTTCTCTTTCCCTCCT